TGCCACTGGTTCTTCACGTTCTGCAGATGTAGATGCCACTGGTTCTTCACGTCTTGAAGATGTAGATGCCACTGGTTCTTCACGTTCTGCAGATGTAGGTGCCACTGGTTCTTCACGTTTTGCAGATGTAGATGCCACTGGTTCTTCATGTTCTGCAGATGTAGATGCCACTGATTCTTCACATTCTGCAGATGTAGATGCCACTGGTTCTTCACATTCTGCAGATGTAGATGCCACTGGTTCTTCACGTTCTGCAGATGCCACTAGTTCTTCACGTTCTGCAGATGTAGATGCCACTGGTTTTTCACGTTCTGCAGATGTAGATGCCACTGGTTCTTCACGTTCTGCAGATGTAGATGCCACTGGTTCTTCACGTTCTGCAGATGCCACTAGTTCTTCACGTTCTGCAGATGTAGATGCCACTGGTTTTTCACGTTCTGCAGATGTAGATGCCAATGGTTCTTCATGTTCTGTAGATGTAGATGCCACTGGTTCTTCACGTTCTGCAGATGTAGATGCCACTGGTTCTTCACGTTCTGCAGATGCCACTAGTTCTTCACGTTCTGCAGATGTAGATGCCACTGGTTTTTCACGTTCTGCAGATGTAGATGCCACTGGTTCTTCACGTTCTGCAGATGTAGATGCCACTGGTTCTTCACGTTCTGCAGATTCCACTAGTTCTTTGCGTTCTGCAGATGTAGATGCCACTGGTTCTTCACGTTCTGCAGATGTAGATGCCACTGGTTCTTCACGTTCTGCAGATGCCACTAGTTCTTCACGTTATGCAGATGTAGATGCCACTGGTTTTTCACGTTCTGCAGATGTAGATGCCACTGGTTCTTCACGTTCTGCAGATGTAGATACCAATGGTTCTTCACGTTCTGTAGATGTAGATGCCACTGGTTCTTCACGTTCTGCAGATGTAGATGTCACTGGTTCTTCACGTTCTGTAGATGCGACTGGTTCTTCACGTTCTGCAGATGTAGATGCCACTGGTTCTTCACGTCCTGCAGATGTAGGTACCACCACCGCCATCTATTGCGCGGAGGTTGAACTTACGGCTCTCGGTTTCGAACATCAAAAGCACGACTTAAGCACCGCCACGTAACTACAACAACTCCTTAGTTTCATCAACCCCTACGCATTCATGAACACTGCAGATTTGTTTTACGATTGAGCGCGACAAAGAGGCGGCACGGCTGCGGTGAAATGTTGAGAACCACCGAGCTAACCCAACAGGACCAGCAATGAGAATCAGCCTGTAAGTTCTGAATGACACGACGATGTTTCGCCAAAGAATCCACGGCGAGCGAGGACCGCTAAGGCTCGCGTGACGATGACGAGCGATGGCGACGAAGATGATGACGGCTTATTGGCGGTGTCAATGGGGGGGGGGGGGGGGGGGGCGGAATCATTTTTGGGTTTCTCAGCAAATCGCCGAGGAAGAGGCGGAGAGGGAACGTCGGTGGGAGAGTCCCCCGGCGTCGAATCGAGAGGCGGACGGCGAGACATCGCACGTGGTTTGACCATACTTCACCACCGACCCGCGCGTGGTCAAGTATGGTCAAACGTGTGCCGTGAGCGACGAGGTGTGATTTGCGGGGGGGGGGTGGTGGTGGTGGGGTGTCGGCCTTGGCTCAGAAACTGTCGGGCGGTGGATATTGTTCGCGGCGTCGTTAAACCCGCCACCACCCGACGCGGCCGATGAGTCGAAGTTGCCACGTCAACAAACAGGCCAATTCGTGTTCGGCACGAACCGGTTGTGTGACGGAGAGTGATCCCACTGCAGGCTACAACGACGTCGACAACTTCAGCATCATCGGCATGTCAGCAGTAGGGGAAATCCCGTTGACCCCGAAATCAAATTCCCCCAAAAACCCCACCCCCAAACACCACCCACCAACTCCACCCACCAACTCCACCCACCAACTCCGCCCCCAAACTCCACCCCCAAACTCCACCCACCAACTCCACCCACCAACTCCACCCACCAACTCCACCCCCAAACCCCACCCCCAAACTCCACCCACCAACTCCACCCACCAACTCCACCCACCAACTCCACCCACCAACTCCACCCCCAAACTCCACCCACCAACTCCACCCACCAACTCCACCCACCAACTCTACCCCCAAACCCCACCACCAAACTCCAGCCACCAACTCCACCCACCAACTCCACCCACCAACTTCACCCACCAACTCCACCCACCAACTCCACCTACCAACTTCACCCCCAAACTCCACCCACCAACTCCACCCACCAACTCCACCCACCAACTCCACCCCCAAACTCCACCCACCAACTCCACCCACCAACTCCACCCACCAACTCCACCCCCAAACTCCACCCCCAAACTCCACCCACCAACTCCACCCACCAACTCCACCCACCAACCCCACCCCCAAACCCCACCCACCAACTCCACCCACCAACTCCACCCACCAACTCCACCCCCAAACTCCACCCACCAACTCAACCCACCAACTCCACCCACCAACTCCACCCACCAACTCCACCCACCAACTCCACCCCCCCAACTCCACCCACCAACTCCACCCACCAACTCCACCCACCAACTCCACCCACCAACTCCACCCCCCCAACTCCACCCACCAACTCCACCCACCAACTCCACCCACCAACTCCACCCCCAAACTCCACCCCCAAACTCCAACCAACTCCACCCACCAACCCCACCCCCAAACCCCACCCACCAACTCCACCCACCAACTCCACCAACTCCACCCCCAAACTCCACCCACCAACTCCACCCACCAACTCCACCACCAACTCCACCCCCAACTCCACCCACCAACTCCACCCACCAACTCCACCCCTAAACTCCACCCCCAAACTCCACCCACCAACTCCACCCACCAACTTCACCCCCCCCAACTCCACCCACCAACTCCACCCACCTACCGGAAACCCCCGCACCTCCCTCCCCACAACTCCACCCACCAACTCCACCCACCAACTCCACCCACCAACTCCACCGCCAAACTCCACCCCCAAACTCCACCCCCAAACTCCACCCACCAACTCCACCCACCAACTTCACCCCCCCAACTCCACCCACCAACTCCACCCACCTACCCCACCCCCAAACCCCACCCACCAACTCCACCCACCAACTCCACCCCCAAACTCCACCCACCAACTCAACCCACCAACTCCACCCACCAACTCCACCCACCAACTCGACCCCCAACTCCACCCACCAACTCCACCCCCCCAACTCCACCCACCAACTCCACCCACCAACTCCACCCACCAACTCCACCCCCCCAACTCCACCCACCAACTCCACCCACCAACTCCATCCACCAACTCCACCCCCAAACTCCACCCCCAAACTCCACCCACCAACTCAACCCACCAACTCCACCCACCAACCCCACCCCCAAACCCCACCCCCAACTCCACCCACCAACTCCACCCACCAACTCCACCCCTAAACTCCACCCCCAAACTCCACCCACCAACTCCACCCACCAACTTCACCCCCCCCAACTCCACCCACCAACTCCACCCACCTACCGGAAACCCCCGCACCTCCCTCCCCACAACTCCACCCACCAACTCCACCCACCAACTCCACCCACCAACTCCACCCACCAACTCCACCCACCAACTCCACCGCCAAACTCCACCCCCAAACTCCACCCCCAAACTCCACCCACCAACTCCACCCACCAACTTCACCCCCCCCAACTCCACCCACCAACTCCACCCACCTACCGGAAACCCCCGCACCTCCCTCCCCACAACTCCACCCACCAACTCCACCCACCAACTCCACCCACCAACTCCACCCACCAACTCCACCGCCAAACTCCACCCCCAAACTCCACCCCCAAACTCCACCCCCAAACTCCACCCACCAACTCCACCCACCAACTTCACCCCCCCAACTCCACCCACCAACTCCACCCACCTACCGGAAACCCCCGCACCTCCCTCCCCACAACTCCACCCACCAACTCCACCCACCAACTCCACCCACCAACTCCACCCACCAACTCCACCGCCAAACTCCACCCCCAAACTCCACCCCCAAACTCCACCCACCAACTCCACCCACCAACTCCACCCCCCAACTTCACCCCCCCAACTCCACCCACCAACTCCACCCACCTACCGGAAACCCCCGCACCTCCCTCCCCACAACTCCACCCACCAACTCCACCCACCAACTCCACCCACCAACTCCACCCACCAACTCCACCGCCAAACTCCACCCCCAAACTCCACCCCCAAACTCCACCCACCAACTCCACCCACCAACTCCACCCACCAACTTCACCCCCCCAACTCCACCCACCAACTCCACCCACCTACCGGAAACCCCCGCACCTCCCTCCCCACAACTCCACCCACCAACTCCACCCACCAACTCCACCCACCAACTCCACCCACCAACTCCACCGCCAAACTCCACCCCCAAACTCCACCCCCAAACTCCACCCACCAACTCCACCCACCAACTCCACCCACCAACTTCACCCCCCCAACTCCACCCACCAACTCCACCCACCTACCGGAAACCCCCGCACCTCCCTCCCCACAACTCCACCCACCACCTCCACCAAATCTCCTCCCCCCCCCCCCACCACTTCGCCCCGTCCCGCCCACTCCACGCCCACGCCGCCCCCTCCTACCTCGCACGTGACCACGTGATGAGGCGTCGGTGACACGGGGCTACGGGACAGCTCCAGTTAGCAGCAGCAGCATCTCGGTCATTGTCTGCTTCTGATCGCTGTCTCGCCAAAGCAGGACTACGGCCCCACGCAGAAGAAGAGTCAACTCCTCAACCATCGACTCCACCACCGACTCAACCACAGACTCAACCACAGACTCAACCACAGAGTCAACCACAGACTCCACCACCGACTCAACCACCGACTCCACCACCAACTCCACCACCAACTCAACCACCAACTCAACCACCAACTCAACCACCAACGCAACCACCAACTCAACCACCGACTCAACCACCGACTCAACCACCGACTCCACCACCAACTCAACCACCGACTCCACCACCAACTCAACCAGAGACTCCACCACCAACGTAACCGCCGACTCCACCACCAACAACTAAACACCAACTCAACCACCGACTCTACCACCTCCAACTCCACCACCACCATCCCAGACGTTGACCTCCAGGTGAGCCGAGTCCCATGAGAATGTGGAGTTCGCTTAATGGGCAGGCGGATTGTGTGGACCGCATTGATTCGCTCAACACACAGGCAAAGGTCGCCCGTGTAGCTGATGCACGGCTGTTGGGGCAAGTGCTGTGGGGGAAAAAAACACACACACACCCGGCCGCCTTTGTCTCTCCGGCGCTGATGTTTTATACGCGCCGCACCACTCGGTACTCAGTTCAGGCCGAGTCGACCTAGGGGAGGCCCAGGGAGCGGTTCGGATATTCGTCGCTGGTGTTGGCCGTGAGCGGGAATCGAACTCTGGTGGGCCGGGTTCGTAGCGCAGTGCGCTGACCACTGCGCCACCGCTCCCACGCCCACAGTTACACAGACACACACACATAGACATAGACACAGACACACATAGACATAGACACAGACACACACACATAGACACACACATAGACACACACATATAGACACACAGACATAGACACACACACATAGACACACACACATAGACACACATAGACACACACACAGACACACAGACACACACACACATAGACACACACACACATAGACACACACAGACATAGACACACACACACATAGACACACACACAGACATAGACACACACACACATAGACACACACACATAGCCACACACACATATAGACACACACATAGACACACACACATAGACACACAGACATAGACACACAGACACACACATAGACACACACACATAGACAGACATAGACACACACAGACATAGACACACACAGACACACACACATAGACATAGACACACGCACACACATAGACACACACATAGACACACAGACATAGACACACACAGACACACACACATAGACATAGACACACGCACACACATAGACACACACATAGACACACAGACATAGACACACAGACACACACATAGACACACACACATAGACACACACAGACATAGACACACAGACATAGACACACACACACACATAGACAGACACAGACACACATAGACACACACAGACATAGACACACAGACACACAGACACAGACACACACACATAGACACACACACATAGACACACACAGACATAGACACACACATAGACACACAGACATAGACACACACAGACACACACACATAGACATAGACACACGCACACACATAGACACACACATAGACACACAGACATAGACACACACAGACACACACACATAGACATAGACACACGCACACACATAGACACACACATAGACACACACACATAGACACACACAGACATAGACACACAGACATAGACACACACACACACATAGACAGACACAGACACACATAGACACACACACAGACATAGACACACAGACACACAGACACACAGACACAGACACACACACATAGACACACACACATAGACACACACAGACATAGACACACACAGACACACACACATACACACACACACAGACATAGACACAGACACACACACAGACACACACACATAGACACACACAAACACACAGACCAACAGTTATCTTAACAGTGTTAAGATAACAAAAGGGGTTCCACAGGGTTCCATCCTCGGCCCCCTCTTGTTCTCTCTTTATGTCAATGACTTGGGCACTGCCCTGGATCATTCCAGGGTAAATCTTTTTGCAGATGGCACGATACTGATTACTGCTGGCCGCTCTCCGAATGACGTGATTGCTAAGCTCCAGGGTGATTTCAACAAACTACATCAGCTAGTTGCTCTTAAACTAGTCCTGAATACCTCCAAAACCAAGGTGCTATGCTTCTCACCGGGACTAAAGCATGAGTTATTTTTCCCCAATTACATTCCTTAAATAATTATCAAATAGAGCAATTCAAGATCTATAAGTATCTTGGGGTCATCCTGGATTCAAAACTGAATTATGAAGATCACATTGATTATATCGGTAAAAAGACAAAAATAAAAATTGGTTTTCTGTATCGACACAAGCACTGCTTCCCCCCAATGTTCCGTTTGGAATTGATAAAAGCTACCATGCTGCCTCTACTTGACTACTGTGATATCGTGTATAAATCAGCCCCAAGTACTGTACTGAAGCTTGATTCCATCGATCACTCGGCCTTAAGATTTGCACTGAACTGCCCATATAGGACTCACCACTGTGATCTCTACATTGGGTCAAACTTAACATCTCTTAATGTTCGACGGCTTGTGCACCATATCTTATTTATTCACGATGTACTTACAAAAAAATCCGCAGACTACCTACTGGATCTCCTCTCTGTTTAAAGAACAAATTTGACCTCAGGTCTTCGCTCATTTACCAGCTTCACATTCCCTACTGCCGTACAAAAACCGGAGGAAGGGCCTTTGCTATTGATGCCCCCAGGGTCTGGAATGCTATTGCCAATAAACTGCAACTTGAATCACTACCTATGAGATCTTCACTCAAAACTGCTCTAGAGGAGTTGTACACTGCTATTCAGTGGCCTAAAATATGTAGTTTATTGTTAAAAATTCGGTCACAGACCCTATGATCACTGTTACATTGCATTTATGGCTTTTATTTTGGTGATTTCGAAAACTTTTTTGGTTTGGCCATGTTTTTGTTTATTGTAGTACGGAGTTAGACTGATGGCCTTAATCTTAGTTGTCTTGTGGTTGTTGTTGTTATTTGACTTGCATCCCACTGGGATTTTTGCACACAGCGTTGGTGTACGGTGCTATTTCAGGAATATTTTGACGTTTTTTTCCTGGATTTTCTGTTTGCACAGTCACATAATCAGTTTAAGATGTTTTCTTGTTCATGTTTTTGTTTTTTGTGTGTTGCGGTTGCACCCGATTCAAGAGCCGAATGGCTCACAGGGCTATACCAAATAAATGGAACTAAATGGGACATACACACAGGCATAGACACACACAGGTATAGACACACATAGACACACACACAGACACAGACATACACACAGACACACCGACATAGACACACACACAGACACACACAGACATAGACACAGACACACAGACATAGACAGACATAGACACACACAGACACACAGACATAGACACACACAGACATAGACACACACAGACACACAGACATAGACAGACATAGACACACACAGACACACAGACATAGACACACACAGACATAGACACACATACAGACATAGACACACACAGACATAGACACACACAGACATAGACACACAGACATAGATATAAACACACACAGACACACACAGACACACACAGACATAGACACACACAGACACACAGACATAGACAACACACAACAACCGGCATTCCCCACTAAGTGGCGCTTGTGCCAGGCCATGTGCACCTTGAGGCCACGTGAAGTGTCGAACGCCCGCCGGTAGGAGGTCACGGGGCAGACCCAGGTGCCACGGATCCGATAGACACGTACAGACATAGACACACAGATATAGTAGATAAATACAGACACAGATACACACACAAAGACACACAAAGACATAGACACACAGATATATTAGACACATACATACATACAAACACAGACACACACACAAAGACACAGACATAGACACACACAGATATAGTAGACACATACAGACAGACACACAAAGACACACAAAGACATAGACACACACACATATATAGACACATACACAAAGACACACAAAGACATACGACACACATCGATATAGTAGACACATACAGACAAAAGACACAGATCAAACAAATAAAACGACACAGGCGTAGGACACAGAACGCATCCCAACCCACTGACCCTGGCCGAATGCTCACCGTGTTGCTGTCCACTCGCAGGACCAGGTGAAGGTTCACCACCTCACCCAGGCTGCTCACTCAAGGAAGGTTACCCGTGACCTGGGAGAGAGCGAGAGGGGAGAGAGAAGAAGGGAGAGAGAGAATGGTGGCAGCCACCTATGCTCTGCTTGCCGCGGCGGTGAGTCTCCACGTGTAGCCCACGGACACCTGGGACCGGGGGTCACACTTGGGGACCGGGAACACCTGGGACCAGGGACGCTTGGGAAACCTGGAACCAGGGACACACTTGGGAACCAGGGACACTTGGGAAGCCTGGAACCAGGGTCACACTTGGGAAGCCTGGAACCAGGGACACACTTGGGAAGCCTGGAACCAGGGACACACTTGGGAAGCCTGGAACCAGGGACACACTTGGGACCGGGAACACCTGGGACCAGGGACGCTTGGATCACCTGGAACCAGGGACACTTGGGATCCAGGGACACTTGGATCACCTGGAACCAGGGAAACCTGGAACCAGGGACACACTTGGGACCGGGAACACCTGGGACCAGGAGCACTTGGAACACCTGGGACCAGGGACACCTGGAACCAGAGACACTTAGGACCAGGGACACCTGGATCCAGAGACACTTGGGACCAGGGAAACCTGGAACCAGGGACACCTAGAACCAGGGACACACTTGGGACCAGGGACACCTGGAACCAGAGACACTTGGGACCAGGGACACCTGGAACCAGAGACACCTGGGACCAGGGAAACCTGGAACCAGGGACACCTGGAACCAGGGACACACTTGGGACCAGGGACACCTGGAACCAGAGACACTTGGGACCAGGGACACCTGGAACCAGAGACACTTGGGACCAGGGAAACCTGGAACCAGGGACACCTGGAACCAGGGACACACTTGGGACCAGGGACACCTGGGACCAAGGACACCTGGGACCAGGGAAACCTGGAACCAGGGACACCTGGAACCAGGGACACACTTGGGACCAGGGACACCTGGGACCAAGGACACCTGGGACCAGGGACACACTTGGGACCAGGGACACCTGGAACCAGAGACACCTGGGACCAGGGAAACCTGGAACCAGGGACACCTGGAACCAGGGACACACTTGGGACCAGGGAAACCTGGAACCAGAGACACTTGGGACCAGGGACACCTGGAACCAGAGACACTTGGGACCAGGGAAACCTGGAACCAGGGACACCTGGAACCAGGGACACACTTGGGACCAGGGACACCTGGGACCAAGGACACCTGGGACCAGGGAAACCTGGAACCAGGGACACCTGGAACCAGGGACACACTTGGGACCAGGGACACCTGGAACCAGAGACACTTGGGACCAGGGACACACTTGGGACCAGGGACACCTGGAACCAGAGACACTTGGGACCAGGGAAACCTGGAACCAGGGACACCTGGGACCAGGGACACACTTGGGACCAGGGACACCTGGGACCAGGGACACCTGGGACCAGGGACACCTGGGACCAGGGACACTTGGGGCCAGGGAGACTTGGGGCCAGGGACATTCGGGGCTTAGATCCAGCCACTGAATGTGGGGCGCCGGGTATGTTGTTGATCGTCTTCGTCTCTATGGCAGCGGTTGTATTTTGTTGCCCTGCTGTCTACCTGGTGGTTGTTGCCTCTGATTGACACCTTTTGCCTTTGTGCACGGCACACGCCCCGGTGATCTGCGTAGGTATATGTCACGTGACTCATGGGAAATTCTGACCCGATATTTCTACCTCTCGGCCCGTGCCGCCCCCCCCCCCTTCCCCACCCACGTGCCCCGAAGCTAATTCCTCTGGATAGGCTTCACCTACTATATATGGACACTCACCTGTATGGGCACCTACATTTTCCGATGTATAGACACACTCACCCACTCACCTACTATTACTAAACTTTACTCGTTGATTTCTCCACCCAGACAATGACTTGCATCCACACAGCGTTCAACCACGACGCTGCAAGCCACATCAACAACACCCTGGGCATTCACCCACCCACTCATTCTCCCCACCCACCACACTAAAGGTCTCAACAACACACTCACCCCACCCTTTCTTGCACCTATCCACTCACCCACCCACTCATTCACCTACCCATCCACCCACTTACTCAACTACTCACTCACCTACTCACTCACCCACCCATTCACCCACGCACTCACCCACCCACTCACCCCCCACCCAACTACCCACCCACTCACCCTCACCCACCAACTCACCTACTATCCACCCACTCACCCCCACCCACTCACCCCCACCCACTCACCCCCCACCCACCCACCCACTCACCCCCCACCCACCCACTCACCCCCCACCCACCCACTCACCTCCACCCACTCACTCACATCCACCCACTCACCCCCACCCACTCACCCACCACTCACTCACCCACTCACCCCCCACCCAACCACCCACTCACCCCCCACTCACCCACTTACCTACCCACCCACTCACCCACTACCCACCCACTCACCCCTGACCCACCCACTTACCCCCCACTCACCCAACCACTCACGCATCCACTCACCCACCCACCCACTCACCCACCCACCCACTCACGCACCCACCCACCCACTCACCCACCACCCACCCACTCACCCCTGACCCACCCACTCACCACAACGCAGGTCCCACTCGCACTCTGGAATCCGCTCCTCCCATCATCGTCATCGTCTCTCCCCCCCCACTTCCCCCACACGCAATCACAGCAAGAACCTCGCTGAGCACAGGGAACTTTGTACCGTGCCACACTGCCGTGAGCCATTACGACTGCGACAGTGCTGTTTGTTGCTGGCCAATTGACGTTTTGGGCCCTGTGCACAGCACCTCGAATTCAATACCGCAGGCAGCGGGCAGCCAGCGACCCCTAGCGGTGGCAATCGGGAGAGACTCGCGTGCCTCACCCGCTTCCTCTCGTGTCTCTGCTGTCTCCTCACCTGTCTCCTCACCTGTGTCTCTCACACCTGTGTCTCCTCACCTGTGTCCCTCACACCTGTGTCTCCTCACACCTGTGTCTCCTCACACCTGTGTCACTCACCTGTGTCTCCTCACCTGTGTCTCCTCACCTGTGTCCCCTCTCACCTGTGTCTCCTCACCTCTCACCTGTGTCTCCTCACACCTGTGTCACTCACCTGTGTCTCCTCACCTGTGTCCCCTCTCACCTGTGTCTCCTCACACCTGTGTCTCCTCTCACCTGTGTCTCCTCTCACCTGTGTCTCCTCACACCTGTGTCACTCACCTGTGTCTCCTCACCTGTGTCTCCTCACCTGTGTCCCCTCTCACCTGTGTCTCCTCACCTCTCACCTGTGTCTCCTCACACCTGTGTCACTCACCTGTGTCTCCTCACCTGTGTCCCCTCTCACCTGTGTCTCCTCACACCTGTGTCTCCTCACACCTGTGTCACTCACCTGTGTCACTCACGTGTGTCTCCTCTCACCTGTGTCTCCTCTCACCTGTGTCTCCTCACACCTGTGTCTCCTCTCACCTGTGTCTCCTCTCACCTGTGTCTCCTCACACCTGTGTCTCCTCACACCTGTGTCACTCACCTGTGTCACTCACCTGTGTCTCCTCACACCTGTGTCTCTCACACCTGTGTCTCCTCATCTGTGTCTCCTCACCTGTGTCTCCTCACCTGTGTCTCCTCACACCTGTGTCACTCACCTGTGTCTCCTCACCTGTGTCTCTCACCTGTGTCTCCTCACCTGTGTCTCCTCACCTGTGTCTCCTCACACCTGTGTCTCTCACCTGTGTCTCCTCACCTGTGTCTCCTCACACCTGTGTCTCCTCACCTGTGTCTCCTTACCTGTGTCTCCTCACACCTGTGTCACTCACCTGTGTCTCCTCACCTGTGTCTCCTCACCTGTGTCCCCTCACCTGTGTCTCTCACCTGTGTCTCTCACCTGTGTCTCCTCACCTGTGTCTCTCACCTGTGTCTCCTCACCTGTGTCTCTCACCTGTGTCTCTCACCTGTGTCTCCTCACCTGTGTCTCTCACCTGTGTCTCTCACCTGTGTCTCCTCTCACCTGTGTCCCCTCACCTGTGTCTCCTCTCACCTGTGTCTCCTCACCTGTGTCTCCTCTCACCTGTGTCTCCTCACCTGTGTCTCCTCACACCTGTGTCACTCACCTGTGTCCCCTCACACCTGTGTCTCCTCACACCTGTGTCTCCTCACCTGTGTCTCTCACCTGTGTCTCCTCTCACCTGTGTCTCCTCACCTGTCTCCTCACACCTGTGTCCCCTCACCTGTGTCACTCACCTGTGTCTCCTCTCACCTGTGTCTCCTCTCACCTGTGTCTCCTCTCACCTGTGTCTCCGCTCACCTGTGTCTCCTCACCTGTGTCTCCTCACCTGTGTCTCTCACCTGTGTCTCCTCTCACCTGTGTCTCCTCACCTGTCTCCTCACACCTGTGTCCCCTCACCTGTGTCACTCACCTGTGTCTCCTCTCACCTGTGTCTCCTCTCACCTGTGTCTCCTCACACCTGTGTCACTCACCTGTGTCTCCTCACCTGTGTCTCCTCACCTGTGTCCCCTCTCACCTGTGTCTCCTCACCTCTCACCTGTGTCTCCTCACACCTGTGTCACTCACCTGTGTCTCCTCACCTGTGTCCCCTCTCACCTGTGTCTCCTCACACCTGTGTCTCCTCACACCTGTGTCACTCACCTGTGTCACTCACCTGTGTCTCCTCTCACCTGTGTCTCCTCTCACCTGTGTCTCCTCACACCTGTGTCTCCTCTCACCTGTGTCTCCTCTCACCTGTGTCTCCTCACACCTGTGTCTCCTCACACCTGTGTCACTCACCTGTGTCACTCACCTGTGTCTCCTCACACCTGTGTCTCTCACATCTGTGTCTCCTCATCTGTGTCTCCTCACCTGTGTCTCCTCACCTGTGTCTCCTCACACCTGTGTCACTCACCTGTGTCTCCTCACCTGTGTCTCCTCACACCTGTGTCACTCACCTGTGTCTCCTCACCTGTGTCTCTCACCTGTGTCTCCTCACCTGTGTCTCCTCACCTGTGTCCCCTCACACCTGTGTCTCCTCACCTGTGTCTCCTCACACCTGTGTCTCTCACCTGTGTCTCCTCACCTGTGTCTCCTCACACCTGTGTCTCCTCACCTGTGTCTCCTCACCTGTGTCTCCTTACCTGTGTCTCCTCACACCTGTGTCACTCACCTGTGTCTCCTCACCTGTGTCTCTCACCTGTGTCTCCTCACCTGTGTCCCCTCACCTGTGTCTCCTCACACCTGTGTCTCCTCACACCTGTGTCACTCACCTGTGTCTCCTCACACCTGTGTCTCTCACCTGTGTCTCCTCACCTGTGTCCCCTCACCTGTGTCTCCTCACACCTGTGTCTCCTCACCTGTGTCTCCTCACCTGTGTCTCCTCACACCTGTGTCCCCTCACCTGTGTCTCCTCACACCTGTGTCTCCTCACTTGTGTCTCCTCACACCTGTGTGTCCTCACACCTGTGTCACTCACCTGTGTCTCCTCACATCTGTGTCTCCTCTCACCTGTGTCACTCACCTGTGTCTCCTCACATCTGCGTCTCCTCTCACCTGTGTCACTCACCTGTGTCTCCTCACCTGTGTCTCCTCTCACCTGTGTCTCCTCACACCTGTGTCTCCTCACACCTGTGTCTCCTCACCTGTGTCTCTTCACCTGTGTCTCCTCTCACCTGTGTCTCCTCTCACCTGTGTCACTCACCTGTGTCTCCTCACTTGTGTCTCCTCACACCTGTGTCACTCACCTGTGTCTCCTCTCACCTGTGTCTCCTCACACCTGTGTCTCCTCTCACCTGTGTCTCCTCACCTGTGTCTCCTCACCTGTGTCACTCACCTGTGTCTCCTCACACCTGTGTCACTCACCTGTGTCTCCTCTCACCTGTGTCTCCTCACACCTGTGTCACTCACCTGTGTCTCCTCACACCTGTGTCACTCACTTGTGTCTCCTCTCACCTGTGTCTCCTCTCACCTGTGTCCCCTCACCTGTGTCTCCTCTCACCTGTGTCTCCTCACCTGTGTCTCCTCTCACCTGTGTCTCCTCACCTGTGTCTCCTCACCTGTGTCTCCTCACACCTGTGTCACTCACCTGTGTCCCCTCACACCTGTGTCTCCTCACACCTGTGTCTCCTCACCTGGTCTCCTCACCTGTGTCTCTCACCTGTGTCTCCTCTCACCTGTGTCTCCTCACCTGTTCTCCTCACACCTGTGTCCCCTCACCTGTGTCACTCACCTGTGTCTCCTCTCACCTGTGTCTCTCTCACCTGTGTCTCTCTCACCTGTGTCTCCTCACCTGTGTCTCCTCACCTGTGTCTCCTCACCTGTGTCTCCTCCACCTGTGTCTCCTCTCACCTGTGTCTCCTCTCACCTGTGTCTCCTCTCACCTGTGTCTCCTCACCTGTGTCTCTCACCTGTGTCTCCTCTCACCTGTGTCTCCTCACCTGTCTCCTCACACCTGTGTCCCTCACCTGTGTCTCCTCACCTGTGTCTCCTCTCACCTGTGTCTCCCTCTCACCTGTGTCTCCTCACCACCTGTGTCACTCACCTGTGTCTCCTCACCTGTGTCTCCTCACCTGTGTCCCTCTCACCTGTGTCTCCTCACCTCTCACCTGTGTCTCCTCACACCTGTGTCACTCACCTGTGTCTCCTCACCTGTGTCCCCTCTCACCTGTGTCTCCTCACACCTGTGTCTCCTCACACCTGTGTCACTCACCTGTGTCACTCACCTGTGTCTCCTCTCACCTGTGTCTCCTCTCACCTGTGTCTCCTCTCACCTGTGTCTCCTCACACCTGTGTCTCCTCTCACCTGTGTCTCCTCTCACCTGTGTCTCCTCACACCTGTGTCTCCTCACACCTGTGTCACTCACCTGTGTCACTCACCTGTGTCTCCTCACACCTGTGTCTCTCACACCTGTGTCTCCTCATCTGTGTCTCCTCACCTGTGTCTCCTCACCTGTGTCTCCTCACACCTGTGTCACTCACCTGTGTCTCCTCACCTGTGTCTCCTCACACCTGTGTCACTCACCTGTGTCTCCTCACCTGTGTCCCCTCTCACCTGTGTCTCCTCACCTGTGTCTCCTCACCTGTGTCCCCTCACACCTGTGTCTCCTCACCTGTGTCTCCTCACACCTGTGTCTCTCACCTGTGTCTCCTCACCTGTGTCTCCTCTCACCTGTGTCTCCTCACCTGTGTCTCCTCACCTGTGTCTCTCACCTGTGTCTCCTCACCTGTGTCCCCTCACCTGTGTCTCCTCACACCTGTGTCTCCTCACACCTGTGTCACTCACCTGTGTCTCCTCACACCTGTGTCTCTCACCTGTGTCTCCTCACCTGTGTCCCCTCACCTGTGTCTCCTCACACCTGTGTCTCCTCACCTGTGTCTCCTCACCTGTGTCTCCTCACACCTGTGTCCCCTCACCTGTGTCTCCTCACACCTGTGTCTCCTCACTTGTGTCTCCTCACACCTGTGTGTCCTCACACCTGTGTCACTCACCTGTGTCTCCTCACATCTGTGTCTCCTCTCACCTGTGTCACTCACCTGTGTCTCCTCACATCTGCGTCTCCTCTCACCTGTGTCACTCACCTGTGTCTCCTCACCTGTGTCTCCTCTCACCTGTGTCTCCTCACACCTGTGTCTCCTCACACCTGTGTCTCCTCACCTGTGTCTCTTCACCTGTGTCTCCTCTCACTGTGTCTCCTCTCACCTGTGTCACTCACCTGTGTCTCCTCACTTGTGTCTCCTCACACTGCTTTGTCACTCACCTGTGTCTCCTCTCACCTGTGTCTCCTCACACCTGTGTCTCCTCTCACCTGTGTCTCCTCACCTGTGTCTCCTCACCTGTGTCACTCACCTGTGTCTCCTCACACCTGTGTCACTCACCTGTGTCTCCTCTCACCTGTGTCTCCTCACACCTGTGTCACTCACCTGTGTCTCCTCACACCTGTGTCACTCACTTGTGTCTCCTCTCACCTGTGTCTCCTCTCACCTGTGTCACTCACCTGTGTGTCCTCACCTGTGTCTCTTCTCACCTGTGTCTCCTCTCACCTGTGTCTCCTCACACCTGTGTCTCCTCACCTGTGTCTCCTCACACCTGTGTCACTCACCTGTGTCTCCTCACACCTGTGTCTCCTCACACCTGTGTCACTCACCTGTGTCTCCTCACCTGTGTCTCCTCTCACCTGTGTCTCCTCTCACCTGTGTCTCCTCACACCTGTGTCTCCTCACCTGTGTCTCCTCACACCTGTGTCACTCACCTGTGTCTCCTCACACCTGTGTCTCCTCACACCTGTGTCACTCACCTGTGTCTCCTCACCTGTGTCTCCTCACACCTGTGTCTCCTCTCACCTGTGTCTCCTCACACCTGTGTCACTCACCTGTGTCTCCTCACACCTGTGTCACTCACCTTTGTCTCCTCACACCTGTGTCTCCTCACCTGTGTCTCCTCTCCTGTGTCTCCTCTCCTGTGTCTCCTCTCACCTGTGTCTCCTTAGACCTGTGTCTCCTCACCTCTCACCTGTGTCTCCTCACCTGTGTCCCCACACACCTGTGTCTCCTCTCACCTGTGTCTCCTCTCACCTGTGTCTCCTCACACCTGTGTCTCCCCACCTGTGTCTCCTCACACCTGTGTCTCCTCTCACCTGTGTCTCCTCTCACCTGTGTCTCCTCAAACCTGTGTCTCCTCTCACCTGTGTCTCCTCACCTGTGTCTCCTCTCACCTGTGTCTCCTCTCACCTGTGTCTCCACAAACCTGTCTCCTCTCACCTGTGTCTCCTCACCTGTGTCTCCTCACACCTGTGTCTCTCACCTGTCTCTCACCTGTGTCCCTCACCTGTGTCTCAGTTATGTCTGTCACCTGTCTCTCACCCGTCGTCTCTCACCTTGCGTCTCTCACCTTTGTCCCTCATCCAAGGCTCTCATCTGTCACTCTAAATTGTCTTATGGTTGTTGTTGTTGGCTTGCACCACATTGTGATTTTTGCACACAGCGTTTTAATAAGTTTTTTTGTGTGTGGAATATTTGCTGGTTTATTCCAGGATGTTTCTGTTACGCGTTGTCGCTTTAAGATGTTCTGTGTTCAAATTTTGTTTGTTGCGGTTGCGCCCGACTTAAGAGCCGCATGGCTCAAAGGGCTGTACCTAATAAATGAAACTTGAAAACTTGAACTCTCGCCTGTCTCACCTGTGTCTCAACTATGTCTCCCTTCTGTGTCTCACCTATGTCTCCCTCCTGTGTCGCTCACTTGCGTCTCACCTGTGTCTCACCAATGTCAGCTGTGTCTCTCACCTGTGTCTCACCTGTGTCTCACCTGTGTCTCACCTGTGTCCCCTGTGCCCCTCACCTGTGACTCACCTGTGTCTCACCTGTGTCTCACCTGTGTCACCTGTGTCTCACCTGTGACTCACCTGTGTCTCACCTGTGTCTCACCTGTGTCCCCTGTGCCCCTCACCTGTGACTCACCTGTGTCTCACCTGTGTCACCTGTGTGTCCCCTGTGCCCCTCACCTGTGACTCACCTGTGTCTCACCTGTGTCACCTGTGTGTCCCCTGTGCCCCTCACCTGTGACTCACCTGTGTCTCACCTGTGTCTCCTGTGTGTCCCCTGTGCCCCTCACCTGTGTCTCACCTGTGCGTCTCTCACCATGTGTAGATGCTGTGCGTGGGCGGGGCTCCAGTCACCTTGCCTCCGTGCACCCTGCCTGGGCCCTGGGACATCCGCTGTCTCCCAGGTGAGTTACTGCAGTCTAGAATATAGACTGTTTCAGTTTCATCTATTAGGATTTACCCTGTGAGCCATTCGGCTCTTGATTTGGGTGCAACCGGAACAAACAAAAAACATTACAGAGATGCACCTGAAATTCCTTGTACACAAATCTAAACATCACCTACATTAAACAATAAAATCCTACAGAAAAAGCACCACCCGGTCCACGCCGCGTACAAAAAGTGCAAAAAATTTAAATTTCCATGTTTGATCCCAATAACAATCATAATACAATACAGATACAAAATGTTAGTATAAATCTATACTAAATAAAAAAAATCGGGCCAAACCAAGCCCCTTCTAAAACTTACTAAAACAATGCTATATAAACAACGTAACAGTTTTCCCAACAAATGTGATTACAAGTTTACAATAGCGACACACACAACACACATCACTAAACCTAGCGTCCTTCGCTAGCTGCACAAGTCAATCCATAACAGCCGGATTAACAATAGCAGCAGTAGCAGCTCACTGCAGTGTATAGTGTACACTGCACATCCACCCATTATGGTGATGATAAGGATGAAAGAGCCTGTGGTGGTAGTGATGGTGGTGATGTGAACGATGTTTGTGGTGGTGGTGGTGATGGTGATGTGAACGATGTTTGTGGTGGTGGTGGTGGTAATGTGAACGATGTTTGTGGTGGTGGTGGTGATGTGAACGATGTTTGTGGTGGTGGTGGTGATGTGAACGATGTTTGTGATGATGGTGGTGGTGATGTGAACGATGTTTGTGATGATGGTGATGGTGATGTGAACGATGTTTGTGATGATGGTGATGGTGATGTGAACGATGTTTGTGGTGGTGGTGGTGATGTGAACGATGTTTGTGGTGGTGGTGGTGGTGGTGATGTGAACGATGTTTGTGGTGGTGGTGGTGATGTGAACGATGTTTGTGGTGGTGGTGGTGGTGATGTGAACGATGTTTGTGGTGGTGGTGTGAACGATGTTTGTGATGATGGTGATGTGAACGATGTTTGTGATGATGGTGATGGTGATGTGAACGATGTTTGTGCTGATGGTGATGGTGATGTGAACGATGTTTGTGATGATGGTGATGGTGATGTGAACGATGTTTGTGGTGATGGTGATGTGAACGATGTTTGTGGTGGTGGTGGTGATGTGAACGATGTTTGTGGTGGTGGTGTGAACAATGTTTGTGATGATGGTGATGTGAACGATGTTTGTGGTGGTGGTGATGTGAACGATGTTTGTGGTGATGGTGGTGGTGATGTGAACGATGTTTGTGATGATGGTGATGGTGATGTGAACGATGTTTGTGGTGATGGTGATGGTGATGTGAACGATGTTTGTGGTGGTGGTGGTGATGTGAACGATGTTTGTGGTGGTGGTGGTGGTGATGTGAACGATGTTTGTGGTGGTGGTGGTGATGTGAACGATGTTTGTGGTGATGGTGGTGGTGATGTGAACGATGTTTGTGATGATGGTGATGGTGATGTGAACGATGTTTGTGGTGATGGTGATGTGAACGATGTTTGTGGTGGTGGTGGTGATGTGAACGATGTTTGTGGTGGTGGTGTGAACGATGTTTGTGGTGATGGTGATGTGAACGATGTTTGTGGTGGTGGTGTGATCGATGTTTGTGATGATGGTGATGTGAACGATGTTTGTGGTGGTGGTGATGGTGATGTGAACGATGTTTGTGGTGATGGTGGTGGTGATGTGAACGATGTTTGTGATGATGGTGATGGTGATGTGAACAATGTTTCTGGTGATGGTGATGTGAACGATGTTTGTGCGGGCCCCAGGGTGTTTCCTCCAGGTGGAGAGCGGGACCTGCGCCCCGTGCCCACATGGCTCCTTCATGGAGCACACCAACACCGACCACACCTGCCGCAGGTGCAGAAGCTGCGATGGAGGTACCGCTCACGAGCCACGTGAACACTCCTGAGCCATGCATGAGTCACGTGACCCCTCGTGAGCCACATACTGGCCACGCACGAGTCACATGACCATGAACGAGCCACGCGCGAGTCACACGGTGGCGAGATGTTAACTCTCTTGCCTGGTATACAGCAGGTCGTGGGTTCAATCCTGACTGACGCCTGCTGTATATTTGGAGTTTGCGTGTCTCTCTCTCTCTCTCCCTGTGGTCGTGTGGATTTTTCTCTGGGTCCTCCGGTTTTCCCTTCCACGTTTAGAAATATCCGTGTGGAGTATTTGGCTGCTATACATTTCCACGTGACGATAAGCCACTTCGTCGGGGTATCATTTTTTATAGCCAGGGTCGCTTTTGAAAAAGAGCCACATAGCTCAGTGGGGCCTCACCTGCTAAAATTAAAATATTCTTAGCTCTTTCGGTAAAGTCACGTTGAAGGGAAGCAATAAAATAATAATATATATAAAACAATAAAAATGTAATGTGTTGAAACGGACCTGGATCTTGTGTTTATTCAAGATTTTGGAGATCTTTTTTGTGATCCCCGCAATGTAGGGTAAAGTGATGGTTTTGAAAGGCTCCTCAAGAGGGTCCTTCTTCATGGTTTGAGTGATAGCTTTGCGGATTGTAGAGTCCTTAAACACGGTAGGACCAACACCTCGGCCGTGGCAGATCATTGTTATAATTCAGTAGGCTCACATGACATTGACTTTTCCAAGACAGAGGTTCTTTGTAAGCCATCTGGCTACCATGAGAGATTCGTTCATGAGGCTATCCACATATACAAGCACAGAGACAATTTCAAACGAGAAGATGGATTCTGGCTTAGCAATCATTGGAAGGATTTGATAAACCATTTCAGGTCTTAATTGATTGTTCACGCTTACGGTGGCTTTCAGACAGCATACATTAATTTTTCGTCTCCCCCTTCCGCTTTTCAGAACATAGATGGACTAGTCCTTCTAAATAAACTGCCAAATCGCTGCGCGTGGCGCTGACGTTTTTTAAGTAAATAAATGCAGCGTTTAAAAAATAAATAAATTAATGCGAACCGACACACCTGATGACGACCGTTTGTGTTATGGTCGAAACGTCGTGAGAATTTTTATTGTTTTATACACATTTTATTTTTTTATTGTTTTCCCTTCAACGTGACTTTACCGAAAGAGCTAAGGATATGAATTACTGCAGTCACGAAAGCTTTAAATCAAAAATTAAAATAGTTTAGTAGTTTATAACATGACCATGTACGAACCACGCTCGCCACCCAGCGCAACCAACGGGCAATTACGATGAATGTGCCATCGCATTCGGCACGGTGTCCGACGTTTCTCACCACGTTCCTTGGGGGGGCTTCTTCAGGAACCGAAATGATCACATTTGCAACCAGGAATTGACTGCAAAATAAGCCACATGTGACTCATCCCGTCCAATCGCAGGCAGCTATGACCAGGAAGTTGTAGAATAACCTCTGACCCCCTCCTCCTCCCCCCTGCTCCCTCCCCATGTTCCCTGCCCCTACTCTGCCCTGCTGCCCCCCACCCCTGCTACCCCTCCCTCACTCCCCCCTCCCCTTGTCCCCCTGGAGCAGGTGCCGGCTTCGAGGAGGGGCGCCCGTGCAGTGCGCCGGCCGATGCGGAGTGCCGGTGCCGTCCCGGCCTGCACTGCGTGAGCCCCGACTGCCCGCTCTGCTCGGGGCAGCCGCTCTGCCCCCCGGGGCGGCAGCCCGGGCCCCCCCCGGAGGCCACCTCCTGCGTCCCCTGCCCACCCGGCTCCTACTCCGACTCCACGTCCGCGCTGCCTTGCAGGGAGCACACGCGGTGAGTGCCGTGGGTGTGGTGGTGGTGGTGGTGATGGTGATGCAAGTCGGGGAGCGGCGGTGTTAGCGGTCAGCGCTGCGCTACGAACCCGGCGACCCGAGTTCGATTCCCGCTCACGGCCAACACCGGTGACGACTATCTGAACCGGTCCCGGGCCTCCCCTTGGTCGACTCGGCTTCAAATGAGTATCTGGTGCGTCGCCACGAGGGAGACAAAGACGGCCGGGCGTGGGGTGCTGGCCACCCACCCTCTGTCATCTCAGTCAGTCGACCCGTGGCACCAGGGTCTGCCCCTTGACCCCCTGCCAGCGGGCATTCGACACTTCACGTCGCACATAGCCTGGCACAAGCGCCGTGGTGAGGTCACCGCCGTTTGGTGGCCAATGGCGGCTGCCGTTGTTGCCGTTGATGGTGATGACGGCGGCGGAGGTGACGGGATTGCTCGGGGAACGCTTTTACTGTACACGTGACTTCCACACAGTGCACCAGACGCACGCTAAACAATAAACTCCTTCAATAAATGCGTACACACACACACACACATGTATGTCGGTGTCATGTTGTGAGCGGACGTCAGCCCCACGTAGCCACGGAGCCACCTACTCCTGCATGTGCAGGGCGACCAGTTCGGCTCCGGCACGCCCTGACGGACTTCGCCGCCAGAGTTGATGTGCGTCACGGTCTCACTGCTCCCTGCATCCACACGGCGGCGGTGGTGGTGGTGGTGGTGATTGGGGCGTGTGTGTGTGTGTCTCCGCAGCTGTGAAGATCGGGAAATGTCGACGTTCATCAACGGAACCCAGGAAGCAGATGCCATTTGTAAACACCAGAATAATCCCATGGGTACGGAGACACACGTGGAGACACGCGTGGAGACACACGTGGAGACACGCGGACACAACAAACATTTACACAGAATGAGTGCAGCGGTGAGTGAATGTGTTGGGGAATGAATCAGTGAGTGAACGGGTTGGAGAATGAGTCAACGAGTGAATGGTCGAGCGAGCGAGCGAGCGGGCGGGCGGCCGGGTGGTCGAGCGGGCGGGCGGCTGGGCGGGCGGGCGGGCGAGCGGGTGGGTGACTGTTTGTGTTGTCTGTTCTCCTCAGTCCTGATTGGTTCCTGTTTTTTTGGAGTGCTCGTGATCGTGCTGACCTTCCTCGCGCTGTTCTTATACAAAAGTGAGCAGCATCATCATCACACAGTACAACTCGCCACCTCGTCACACCCATCATCATCATCATCACACTCACAACACCACCCACCACCTCGTCACACCCATCATCATCATCATTACACTCACAACTCCACCACCTCGTCACACCGATCATCTCAATTACTCATTCCTTACTCTTTGGTTCTTTCGGTAAAGTCACAAAGAAAGAAAATAAATTAACTAATAGAATACGACGTTTCGATTGCAACACAAGCAATCGTCATCAGGTACAAATGAAAGACAAAACAAACCTAGTAAACTTAGAAATACAATGCAATACAACACAGAGAGTCGGCTAACATAACAGTCAACACCCCCTACCTGGTTGATTACGTTCTTCCAAAGATTGCTAAATTTGAGAGATACAAAATACAACAGACACGGAGACACACAGACAGACACATAAGCAGAGAGATAACACAGAGACACACAGAGAGAGACACACACAACATAGACACACAGAGAGAGGGACACACACATAGACACACAGACAGACACACAAGCAGAGAGAGATAACAGAGACACACAGAGAGAGACACACAAGCAGAGAGAGACACACACATAGACACACAGACAGACACACAAGCAGAGAGAGACAACAAAGACACACAGAGAGAGACACACAGAGAGAGACTCACAGAGACAAACAGAGACACACACATAGACACACAGACACACAAGCAGAGAGAGATAACACAGAGACACACAGAGAGAGACACACATAACATAGACACACAGAGAGAGAGACACACACATAGACACACAGACAGACACATAAGCAGAGAGAGACACACAGAGAGAGACACACAGACACACAGAGATAGACTCACACATAGACACACAGACACACAAGCAGAGAGAGACAACACAGACACAGAGAGAGAGACAGACAACATAGACACAGAGAGAGATAACACAGAGACACACAGATAGAGACACACACATAGATACACAGACAGACACACAAGCAGAGAGACACACACATAGACACACAGAGAGAGACACACATAGACACACAGACACACAAACAGAGAGAGACAACACAGAGACACACAGAGAGAGAGACAGACAACATAAACACAGAGAGATAACACAGAGACACACAACATAGACACACAGAGAGAGACTCACACAGAGACAAACAGAGAGAGACACACACATAGACACACAGACAGACACACAAGCAGAGAGAGACACACAACATAGACACACAGAGAGAGACACACATAGACTCACAGACACACAAGCAGAGAGAGATAACACAGAGACACACAGAGAAAGACACTCAACATAGACACACAGAAAGAGACACACACACACATAGACACACAGACAGACACATAAGCAGAGAGAGACAACACAGAGACACAGAGAGAGACTCACACAGAGACAAATGGAGACACACAGACAGACACACAAGCAGAGAGAGACAACACAGAGACACAGAGAGAGACACACAACATAGACACACAGAGAGAGATAACAGAGACAAACAGAGACACACACATAGACACACAGACAGACACACAAGCACAGAGAGAGACACACAACATAGACACACAGAGAGCAATAACAGAGACACACAGAGAGAGACACACACATAGACACACAGACAGACACACAAGCAGAGAGAGACAACACAGAGACACAGAGAGAGACAACACAGAGACACAGAGAGAGACACACAGAGACACACAGAGAGAGACACACAACATAGACACACAGAGAGAGACACACATATAGGCACACACAGAAACAATGCCTCTGTGTCGAGGCCTTAAATAGAGAGGAGGGCAGACAGAGAGAGGGGGGGGGGTGGAGAAATTAGCATGTCAATGCGAGATTTGGAGCTTTCATAACTGCAGGAAATACTACAACACGAGGACACAGAGAGAGAGAGAGAAAACACACTTAATCAAACAAACTTGCCAAAATTTGGAAATGTAATGCAACACAGAGAGTCGGTCAACACACAACTCATTCCTTCATAGCCACTGTGATTACATTCATCATTGCCACTTCCACCATCAAACAACTTCACCAACTTCTTAATCACGACCAACGCCATCATTATCATCATCCTCCCATCACCCATTTGCAACGAGCCTTTGTGCTGACACGAAACCTCCGCATGTTCACGATGGCTCTGTCAGAGACACTGAGCCGGCACTGCTGATGAGAGCCGCCGTAGTTGAGACCGCGTGCTGTGCCGTGTTGCTTAGGACGTGATCGCTGTTCCTGCCCCATAAGAGGGAACCAAACCAAGGGACTGCCGACTATGAACACCCTGGTGAGGAACAGGGACTCACCACCCACAGAGACTCACCACCCACAGAGACTCACCACCCACAGAGACTCAGCACCCACAGAGACTCACCACCCACAGAGACTCACCACCCACAGACTCACCACCCACAGAGACTCACCACCCACAGAGACTCACCACCCACAGAGACTCACCACCCACAGAGACTCACCACCCACAGAGACTCACCACCCACAGACTCACCACCCACAGAGACTCACCACCCACAGACTCACCACCCACAGAGACTCACCACCCACAGACTCACCACCCACAGAGACTCACCACCCACAGACTCACCACCCACAGAGACTCAGCACCCACAGAGACTCAGCACCCACAGAGACTCACCACCCACAGAGACTCACCACCCACAGGGACTCACCACCCACAGAGACTCACCACCCACAGAGACTCACCACCCACAGACTCACCACCCACAGAGACTCACCACCCACAGAGACTCACCACCCACAGACTCACCACCCACAGAGACTCACCACCCACAGACTCACCACCCACAGAGACTCACCACCCACAGAGACTCACCACTCACAGAGACTCACCACCCACAGAGACTCACCACCCACAGAGACTCACCACCCACAGACTCACCACCCACAGAGACTCACCACTCACAGAGACTCACCACTCACAGAGACTCACCACCCACAGGGACTCACCACCCACAGAGACTCACCACCCACAGAGACTCACCACCCACAGAGACTCACCACCCACGGAGACTCACCACCCACAGACTCACCACCCACAGAGACTCACCACCCACAGACTCACCACCCACAGACTCACCACCCACAGAGACTCACCACCCACAGACTCACCACCCACAGAGACTCACCACCCACAGAGACTCACCACCCACAGGGACTCAGCACCCACAGACTCACCACCCACAGAGACTCAGCACCCACAGACTCACCACCCACAGAGACTCACCACCCACAGAGACTCACCACCCACAGAGACTCACCACCCACAGAGACTCACCACCCACAGAGACTCACCACCCAGAGACTCACCACCCAGAGACTCACCACCCACAGAGACTCAGCACCCACAGAGACTCACCACCCACAGAGACTCACCACCCACAGAGACTCACCACCCATAGACTCACCACCCACAGAGACTCACCACCCACAGGGACTCGGCACCCACAGAGACTCACCACCCACAGAGACTCACCACCCACAGACTCACCACCCACAGACTCAGCACCCACAGAGACTCAGCACCCACAGAGACTCACCACCCACAGACTCACCACCCACAGACTCACCACCCACAGAGACTCAGCACCCACAGAGACTCACCACCCACAGAGCCTCAGCACCCACAGAGACTCACCACCCACAGACTCACCACCCACAGAGACTCACCACCCACAGGGACTCAGCACCCACAGACTCACCACCCACAGACTCACCACCTACAGAGACTCAGCACCCACAGAGACTCACCACCCACAGAGACTCAGCACCCACAGAGACTCACCACTCACAGGGTCTCGGCACCCACAGAGACTCACCACTCACAGAGACTCACCACCCACAGAGACTCACCACCCACAGAGACTCACCACCCATAGACTCACCACCCACAGAGACTCACCACTCACAGAGACTCACCACCCACAGAGACTCAGCATCCACAGAGACTCACCACCCATAGACTCACCACCCACAGAGACTCACCACCCACAGAGACTCACCACCCACAGAGACTCACCACCCACAGAGACTCACCACCCACAGAGACTCACCACCCACAGAGACTCACCACCCACAGAGACTCACCACCACAGAGACTCAGCACCCACAGAGACTCAGCACCCACAGAGACTCACCACCCACAGAGACTCACCACCCACAGAGACTCAGCACCCACAGAGACTCACCACCCACAGAGCCTCACCACTCACAGAGACTCACCGCCCACAGAGACTCAGCGCCCACAGAGACTCACCACCCACAGAGCCTCACCACTCACAGAGACTCACCACTCACAGGGACTCGGCACCCACAGAGACTCCACACGATGGCTTCAACGTGCACCTAGCCTGGCACGAGCTCGTCGCCATGATTCACTTGCGTTGGGTGCCAACGATTGGAGATTAAACCCCGGGCTGTGTCGCGTTTGTGTCTTGCAGCAACCGAAGGCAGAACGTGACCAACCTGGTGAGCAATTCACACAGACTCAGCGTCCCGCTCGCTCAGAGACAGCACTTTGCCCAATGTATTGTTTGTTTTTGCACTCGCTGGTAACGGGGCTGATTTAGTGAGGCTCGGTGAGGGCCCAAGAGACCAGGCCAGGGGAGGGGAGTGTCCCTCGCGCGAGTCAGCTGGTTACAATCACTGCACCCGAGGAGCCTGGTTTAATAGCGGGTAGCGGCAGAGAAACATGGAGTCGAACCCAGGCTCTCGGCGCCTGTGGCCTGTGGAGGACACCATGTGACCACCTCCTCCTGCCTCCTCTTCGTCCAGACTCCCATCTCCCCAATGGAATGGATTTTTGGTGAAACAAAAAAACACATTGGAGGGGAGGTGGTGGGGGTGGGGGTTTCAGTGTCTCTGGGAAGCACTCATTGGCCCCTGAGACCCAACAAGAGAGAGCGGGGAGAGAGAGGGGGGGCAGAGAGCGGGGGGGCGAGAGAGAGAGGGGGGGAGGGGGAGAGAGAGGGGGGGAGAGAGAGAGAGGGGGGGAGAAAGGGAGGGGGGGGGGGAGAGAGAGAGAGGGGGGAGAGAGAGAGGGGGGGGGGGGAGAGAGAGGGGGGGAGAGAGAGAGGAGGGGTGAGAGAGAGAGAGGGGGGGCGAGAGAGAGAGGGGGGGGCGAGTGAGAGGGGGGGCGAGAGAGAGGGGGGGCGAGAGAGAGAGGGGGGGAGAGAGAGAGGGGGGCGAGAGAGAGGGGGGAGAGAGAGGGGAGGTGAGAGAGAGAGGGGGGGTGAGAGAGGGGGGGGGGTGAGAGAGAGAGGGGGGGTGAGAGAGAGGGGGGGGTGAGAGAGAGGGGAGGTGAGAGAGAGAGGGGGGGTGAGAGAGAGAGGGGGGGTGAGAGAGAGAGGGGGGGTGAGAGAGAGAGGGGGGGTGAGAGAGAGGGGAGGTGAGAGAGAGAGGGGGGGTGAGAGAGGGGGGGGTGAGAGAGAGAGGGGGGGTGAGAGAGAGGGGGGGGGGTGAGAGAGAGAGGGGGGTGAGAGAGAGGGGGGGGTGAGAGAGAGAGGGTGGGGGACCCAGTTGAGTCCTCCGGATTACACCGGGCGACACGTGGAGTCGATCCCAGGCCCTCGGCGCTGTGACCCTTCCCTCAACCTTTTCACCAACACCGCCGCCCCCGCCCCTGTCGTGCCTCGCAGGCCAGACCGTCTACAACATCAGGGCGAACACCTTTCAGATGGGCATGGGGAACAGTGTCAGCATCAACGGAGGCGAAGCCGAGCCGCTTCAGACAGACGGGCCGGACGGAGAGGACCTGGACCCCCCTAGTGGGGAATGAGGGGCATGGGTGTGTGAGTGTGGGGATGAGTGTGGGTGTGAACATGAGTGTGCGAGTGTGGGTGTGAGTGTATGAGTGTGGACATGAGTGTCTGGGTGTGGGTGTGAACGTGGAGGAGTGAGTGTGTGGGTGTAAACGTGGGTGTGCGAGTGTGAACGTGAGTGTGTGGGTGTGTGAGTGTGGGTGTGAGCGTGAGTGTGTGAGTGTGAACGTGGATGTGTGGGTGTGAACGTGAGGGTGTGAACGTGGTTGTGTGAACGTGGGTGTGTGAGTGTGTGAGTGTGGGTGTGAACGTGCACTGTGAACCCTCTGCATTGTGGTCCACCCACCATACTATTTAACATAATGTATTATCTGATTTGTACTATAGTATTTGCACGTTATTTTATATTCATAAACCATTTCCGGCCTATTCTTGGCATTACTTGAAGTTTCGTCCGAGTCTGTCACTGTTAGCGCGAGGAGTCGAGGGTTCGAGTGGCCGATTCGGAATGGCAGAGGTGCTTTCTGCCTCGCACCGTCTGCGTTCTGTCTCGCACCGTCTGCGTGCGGTGTCGCCGCCACGTGGCGCAGCGACGGAGACTTAACGCAATAGCCGGCAGGGTCTGGGCGGGGGGCGGGCCGCCCCCCCAACTGACGTAACGGGTTTACGTCCCCCGAGAGCCGTTGATAGGTCGAACGGCTCGTAAGTCGAAATGCAGTAACTTTCACAGGCGCGTCGTCGCCGCTTGACTCGTGAGTAATACGTCTGCGAGTAAATTGCTCGTCGAGCGAATGCATCGTTAAAACGATCGCCGTTTTTCCCATCGACTCGGCCCCTCTTGCGCAGCTTTTATCTTTCACAAAGTTATAATTTAAAAATCAATAAAACATCAAATGTGATGCCTTTCCACAGCATCATCAATTAGCCTCCCCACCCCTCCCCACCATGTCAGTGCCACCACGAGGACCCTCCCTCCCTCCACGTGGTGAATGACGCGCGCGCTGCATCACGCGGACCAGCCTACGGTTGGTGACCAAACAGCTGTGGGCCGCGGTGCGCCCTCTGCCGGCCGCCGCTCGTTACGCGAACATTTTGCTCGTTCTGCGAACAAATCGGTCTCAATTTAAATCGCTCGTCGGTTGGCGACATTCTCGTGGAAAGAATCGCGCGTGAAGCGAGGCACCACCTGCGCTGCATTTTAAATGGCCATACGGTCAGTGTTATAAATTGTGTTGCGGTTTGACAAAAAAGGGAAGCTTTGTTAAAATAAATTTGTAACTTTAAGCGTAATACTAGTGTAGAGACGGTGCGCCGACTAGCGGCCATAAGGGCAAATTACGGTTGGGGGAACGGTACACAGACAACCATGAGAGTATGCACGCAAGCGAACACAAGGGGGGATAACTAGGGCAAGGGTCAAAGAGGGGATCGATCCGGAAGCTCCTCGAACCCGCGGGAGAGTTCGATGGGAGGGGCGTGGCCAGGGGCGTGGCCAGGGGCGGGGCATGGCCACGCTGGGGGGATAAAATGCGGAGTGGAATGGGGTTCTGGGCTGCCGTGGGGGTTCGTCGTCTCTTCGTTGCCGTCGTCGCTGTATAGTCGGCCAGCTATATAGGCAGCGCTAAGTTACACTCACTGTATGTCGTCGAGAAATAATAAAGAAGCCCTCTACAGTTCGTGTGTCTGAATTCATTACATTACGTAGTGACATCTCGGATGTCACCGTGTGGTGCCGGCCCTAGAGGGGCACGGCGTGCGATGTACTCATATCGCGGACAGCACGCGGATGTAGCGACATCGTGAATGTCGCTGATTAATGCCGGCTCTAGCGAGGCACGGCGTGCGATGCATTTTCATCGCGGACACCCCATTGGTGGGTTTAGCACTGTAGTACCAGCCCTAGAGGGGGCTCGGTGAGCGCTGGGATAGCGCTCAGTGGCACCACGCGTGGCGTGCAGCGCTGACTCCTACAGGAGGGAGTTTGAGAGTGTCAGCCATGGGATGAGGTTATCCTGGGCCCGTGGCACTCTGGTTGACCCCGGAAGGCACGTGACAAGTAAGACCTACACAGGGGCCCCAGGCGGGAGCTAGGCGGTGGTCACGTGCACGGAGGTGAGATCCTACGGGAGGGGTCGAGAGGTTTCTCGAAGGTGGTCGTGGTCAAGGGCGGGGCCAGCCACGACCCAGGAGCAGGTAAACCGGGGTCCCCAGCAGGGACCGGGCGGGGTTCAGCGTTGCTCTCGTCGTCTGAATATCTACGATCTACGTTCTACGTCGTCCAATAGGAAGTCACCAACACGTGGGCGAAGACCCGTTGTAGCTACTCCCAGTAACTAGCGTAGTTAGCCTGGTGGTCCACCACCACAGGTTCTCTGGTAAAGGGGCAGTAACCCCTTTTGTGTTAATGTGTTGGTGTTAATAAATATGTGTTGCCTCCAAAGAGTACGTCTGTGACTCAGTTGAATCCACTACAATTACTCTAGGATAAATAGTGGACCGTAAGTCAAACGTAAAATGAAGTAACGTGAAAAGAAAAACACGTTTTATTATCACTTGCCTTGAGTCCTGATGGTGGCTTGCTTGTGAAGAAGGGGCATGAGTCCTCACGATTGCGCGCACGTGCACACACACGGGACCACAAGCACGCGCATACATACCAAGACCAAGATTCCCCCGTGTAGCCTTAATAGGCTGTAGGGGCAAGTGCTGTTAGCGAGCAGCGCCTATGGAGACCGGCACGGCACACGAGGGGGTGGGTGGCCAGCACCCTACCGGGCCGCTTTTGACTCCCAGTGGCGATGTTTGAAGACTGCACCAGGTACTCATTCCAGGCTGAGTCGACCTAGGGGAGGCCCAGGACACATTCAGATAACCATCACTGGTGTTGGTCGGGAGCGCAAATCGAACTCGAGTCGCCGGGTTCGTAGCACAGTTTTATGTAAACTAAAACTAAACTTCAATTTGACCAGGTAAGGCCCACTGAGCGATGTAGATCTTTTTAAAAAGCCACCTGACCGCACATGATAGCTCAACGATGTTCATTCTAAATGTTGAGGGGGAAACCGGAGGAAGTGGAGAAAAATCCACGGGGAGAGAGAAACCGCAATCTCTAAATGTACAGAAGGCGCCAGGGTCGGGCTAGATCCAGCGATCTTCCTGCACACCAGGCGAGGTAGTTAACATCGCCCCTGGGGTAGAAGCAGCCACCTGTACCCCCCGCCCCCCTCAGTACCCCCCCCCCCCCCACCAAGACTACACCCCAAGTACCCCCCCCCCCCAGTACACCACCCCCCCCCCCCAGTACACCACCCCCCCGGGGTTTCCCCTCTGCCAGAATGAGGGTCGCGCGTCACCGGTTTATCTCTGGGTGCAGCAGTCGGTAGCGGCACGCGGATGTGAGTGAGTGTATAAGTGAGTGTGAGTGAGTGTGAGTGAGAGTGTGTGACAGTGAGTGTGAGTGGGTGTGAGTGGGTGTAAGTAAGTGTGAATGCGTGTGAGTAAGTGTGAGTGAGTGTATGTGTGAATTGGGGAGCGGTAGTGTAGCGGTTAGCGCGCTGTGCTACGAACCCGGCGTTCCGAGTTCGATTCCCGCTCACGACCAACACCGGTAACAATTATCTGAACCGGTCCTGGGCCTTTTATAGGTAGACTCAGCCTCGAATGAGTACCTGGTGTGGTGCGTACACATCGCCACTAGGGAGACAAAGGCGGCCGGGCGTGGTGTTGACCGCCCACCCCCTCGTGTGCCGTGCCGGCCTTCATAGGTGCTGCTCGCTAACACCACTTGCCCCTATAGCCTGCAAAAGCTATACGGGGGATCTTTGTCTTTTGTGTCAGCGTGTGAGTGCGTGTGAGTGAGAGTGTATGTGAGTGTATGTGAGTGTGTGTGCGTGTGTCATCTTGTTGGGTGACTTCATTGCCCTAGTTGGTCATGATGCTGGCACCTGGTCTCTTAGTGATTGGAAGGCATGGGCCAGATCAGCTCAATAACAACGGTAGGAGTCTGCTAGATTTTTGTGCAGCCCATGGGCTTGTAATTACCAACACGCTGTTCCGGTATCGGCGCATCCACAAAACATCATGGATGCATGCCGGGTCCAAGCAAGAACATCTTCTGGACTACATAGTGACGGACCAGCGGATGCGAGCCTATGTCCTTGACACCAGGACCTACCGTGGAGCTGATCTGCCCTCTGACCATCGACTAGTCATCTGTAAGATGCGCCTGACACTCTTCCACTTCGGTGGTGGGTGTACACCCAGGACCCCATTCCAACCTAAGGTGGCCTGGTTTCAGCTAGCTGATGGAAGTTGCAAGCGAGAATTTCATCATCGCTTGCGGCTGGGGTTGGCATCGTCCCCCACTCCTCCTGATTTCGAGGGTAAATGGGCGAGGTTTAGGACTGTGACTCATGCAGCTGCAATGGCTGCTTTGGGTACGCGGTCCAGACCTCCCCAGAGACCCTGGCTGACAGAGGAGGTGTTCAGGATGGTTGAGAAAAAGCGACAGGGCCATTCTAATCGTCTACACAGCATCCCACGTCAGAGAATGAGGAGGCTTTCCGCAGCCTTCGCTCGGAGGTTTGGAGAGCCGTGAGGCGCTGCAAGGGTGGGTGATGGTCGCGGGCTCAATGGCCCACGATCAAAAATCTCTATTGAACTCCATCAAAAGAGTAACCTGCAGTGCCACACCTATTACCATCATTAGGGGAAAGAACGGTGATCCAATCTCCCACCCCCAGGAACAGGTTTGCAGATTTGCTGAGCATTTCTGTGAGGTCCCGGGGGAGGGGAAATCCCACGGCCTGGAAAACATCGTGGCACAAAGTGAGGATCACCCTGCTGAGGCAGCGGTGCCTCAAATATTTGCGGAGGAAGTCACCCCCTGTAAGTGGCTGGCTGAGGTGCCATCTGTTGAGGAAGTACTGAAGGCGATACAGAGTCTAAGAGAAGGGAAAGCACCGGGCAGAGCTGATCTCCCAAGCGAAATGCTGAGGGAGGGTGGCGTTTGTGCGCAGACTGCCCTATATGACATCATAACAACAGTCTGGACCACTGGACGGGTTCCGCGGGATTGGAAGGATGCCCTGGTGGTCCCCCTCTCTAAGAAGAGGGACCGCACAGACTGTAACAACTACAGGGGCATCTCACTCCTCAGTGTGCCGGAAAAGGTCCTGGCAAGGATTATTCAACATCGCCTTGCCAGGCACGCTGAGGAGAGGCTTGCGGAGCCCCAATGCGGTTTCAGGAAAGGGCGGTCCTGCACGGATGCCATATTTTTTGTCCGTCTGCTACAGCATAGGTGTAGGGAATTCCAACAAGACCTACATCTCTGCTTTATTGACCTGGTCAAGGCCTATGATACCATCAGTAGGCCTAGGCTCTGGGTTGTTCGTCGTGTTTTTGGTGTCTCAAACCCTCTGCTTACGCTCATTAAGGGCCTTCATGATGGTGAGTGGGCCCGGGTAATACTACGTGGCCGGGAGTTAGCACCATTCCCTGTACACCTTGGGGTGCGACAGGGATGTCCTCTGGCTCCCACATTATTTAACATCTATTTTGACCACGTAGTTCGTGAAGCCTTCAATAGCTCTACTAGAGGAATTTCCATTTGGTACAGATATAATGGGAGGCTGATCGATGCCCGGGTGCGGTCAAGGGATGGCTCCCTATTGCTCAACCACGTTATGTATACCAATGATCTGGTAATTGCTGCTCACTAAGAGGAGGAGTTGGAGGCGCTGCTGCTGAACCTGGAGCTTGCCACCAAGAGGTGGGCCTTACCATCAGCCCCACCAAAACTAAGCACCTGCCTGGGTATTTTGTACCATCGGACACTCCACCCCCACAAATCCCAATTGGTAATAGGGCAGTTGTGGAGAGAGTGGAGAGTTTCCCATACTTTAGCTGTGTGCTCATGATTGGCTCCGGATTAACAGCAGAGGTCTCACTCCGAATCAGTCATCTTTTCATCGGTTGCGTAACGCTGTGGGGAAGCTACCTGGTCTATCACTCCGCACGAAGCTTCAGGTCTTCTCGGCCACGGTCATTCCCTCTCTTCTTTACACTTAAGAAACGTGGACCCCCGTAATGGAACACCTTCGTCGGTTAGAAACGTTTAGGCTGGCCTGCCTACGATCTATCCTGGGTTTAACCAGGCTGGATTGTGTGAGGAGCTCACAAATCCTTGAAAGATGTGGACAAAGTCCCATCGGTGAGCTCCTCCGACAGGCAAGGCTGCGTTGGCTGGGTCATGTAGCCCGCATGCCCAGCCACCGCATGCCGAAACAGCTTTTGTTCGACCGGATCGAGGGGGCTAAACGGGCGCGGCACGGGCTAGAGAAGAGATGGAGCGATGTGGTACAGGAGGACGTGGAGTTGAGTGGACTTGCCGATGACTGGTACCAGCGGTGTCAAGATCGGCCTCTGTGGAGGAGGCTCGTGAAGGATGCTACTGGGCAGTTGGAGGCAGTCGCCCTCCAACAAAAACGGAGGGCGGAGGAGCGACGCTCAGAACAACGAGCGGAGCGCCGGGTGGCTAAAGCACAGCAAGTTGGCACAGTAGGGGGCACAGGTGGTGCATCAGCCAGTCATCTCAGTCAGTCGACCCGTGGCACCTGGATCTGCCCCGTGACCTCCTGCCAGCGGGCGTTCGACACTTCACGTGGCCTCAAGGTGTACATAGCCTGGCACAAGCGTCGTGGTGACGTCATCGCGATCGGCGCTCCCCACCCCCAAACCCCGAAGGTTAAAGAGCGTAGGCTGAGGTTTGTGAGTAAGCTGGGAAGCGTGTTGCCCCCTCCCTATGTTCCGTTTCATGTTTTTGTAAGCGTAATTATTTTTTTAAACAGAGGCATTATTCATTTTTCGGCTCGTCCGTCCATCTATCCCAACCAATACCTTCTCAGATATGTTAAGAAATGAATTGTAATTCACAATCCCTCTGTCCGCGCACGGGGGGAGGAATGAAAGAATGACATCTTCGTTCGTTTATTTGTAGGGGTGGGAGGAGGAGGGGATGGTGGGAGGAGGAGGTGGTGGGAGGAGGATGGAGGTGGGAGGAGGAGGGGGGTGGGAGGAGGAAGGGGGTGGGAGGAAGAAGAGGGGGCGTGGTGGGAGGAGGGGGGTGGTGAGCAAGGGAGGTGGGGCGGGGTTGAGAGGAGGAGGGGGCGTGGTAGGAGGATTGGTGAGAAAGGGGCGTGGTGAGAAAGGGGCGTGGTGGGAGGAAGAGATTACCGCCGGACGTCGCCTCCTGCTCCTCATAATCATCATCCTCCTCCGCCACCTGATCGCTGATGCGCGCCGCCGGTTAACAACACTGGCTCGCTCGCGATTCGTCGTGAGCGGCCGCACCAACTCGCGTGCTCGCTCACCGCTGCTGCTGTCGACTGCGGCGAGTTTGTGGCCGGGAGGGACTTTAGCGGAACCTTGGAGGAGTTGAGGTGCCCCGAGTTTAAATCTCGTTCGGAGGTTGCTGAGTTCAGGAGGTTTAAGCTCCGCGCGGGGAGGACTGGGGCGAGTACATTGACGCGGCGAACCGCTTAGAGAGAGTCCCACCGCTCACAACTCACCACAGCGAGAAGGAGCTCTGGTGGAGGACGATTCCAAGAGAGAGATGATGGGGACAGCGTGGGAATATGTCTTCGCCATCACCGTCCTCACCACTCGGATCTCCTTCGTGGTGAGTCACACGCCTCTCTCCCTACCGCCTTCTGCGTCGCGATCCTGCCCGGTAGCGCTCTGTCAGCGGTCGGCCTGAGCATAAACTGGCTCACCTCACGCCGCAGGAATGTGGAATTGACGACTTCACCCCGCAACTCCCCGGTTGGATGGGAGCACTGGCGAAGCCCGTGGGGGGTGGGGTGGCACGTGCCCCCCCCCCCCCAATGATCCGATCGAAATCCCTAATTTCGATCGGATCATTGGGGTTTATTAGTAATAAATCGGCATTTTGCGACCCCCACTGCCACTGTGTAGCATATTATTATGTGCCAGGGACTCTATGAGATGATAGGACAATAGTCCTATCATCTCATAGGACAATCGTCCTATCATCTCAGCAGTTAGAAGCGACTCAGAATTGTGCGCAGCTGCGTATACAGTCCACGACTTTCCTGAAGGCATCAACACCTTCAGCGAGCGCGATGCCGATCACCACAACGCGGTTCCAATTCGACCCCTCGATCGATGACTGCCATCGCCGCACACGCGTCGAGTAAAAAGGCAAGGGGCAAGTCCTTACTTATTACTAACAACTCCTTACTTATTACTAACAACTCCTTACTAACAACTCCTTACTTATCACTAACAACTCCTTACTTATTACTAACAACTCCTTACTAACAACTCCTTACTAATCACTAACAACTCCTTACTTATTACTAACAACTCCTTACTAACCAACAACTCCTTACTCACTAACAACTCCTTACCAACTAACAACTCCTTACTTATTACTAACAACTCCTTACTAACAACTCCTTACTTATTACTAACAACTCCTTACTAACAACTCCTTACTAACTAACAACTCCTTACTTATTACTAACAACTCCTTACTTACTAACAACTCCTTACTAACAACTCCTTACTAATCACTAACAACTCCTTACTAACCACTAACAACTCCTTACTAATTACTAACAACTCCTTACTAACAACTCCTTACTAATCACTAACAACTCCTTACTTATTACTAACAACTCCTTACTAACAACTCCTTACTAATCACTAACAACTCCTTACTTATTACTAACAACTCCTTACTAACACCTCCTTACTAACTAGCAACTCCTTACTTATTACTAACAACTCCTTACTAACAACTCCTTACTAATCACTAACAACTCCTTACTAACTAACAACTCCTTACTGACTAACAACTCCTTACTCACTAACAACTCCTTACTTATTACCAACAACTCCTTACTAACAACTCCTTACTAATCACTAACAACTCCTTACTAACTAACAACTCCTTACTGACTAACAACTCCTTACTCACTAACAACTCCTTACTTACTAACAACTCCTTACTAACAAATCCTTACTTACTAACAACTCCTTACTTACTAACAACTCCTTACCGACTAGCAACTCCTTACTGACAAATCCTTACTTGCTAACAACTCCTTACTTACTAACAACTCCTTACTAACTAACAAATCCTTACTTACTGACAACTCCTTACTAACAAATCCTTACTTGCTAACAACTCCTTACTAACTAACAACTCCTTACTAACTAGCAACTCCTTACTAACAAATCCTTACTAACTAACAACTCCTTACTAACTACTCCTTACTACCAACAACTCCTTACTCACCAACAACTCCTAACAACACCTTACTAACTAACAACTCCTTACTAACTAACAACTCCTTACTAACTAACACATCCTTACTTACTAACAACTCCTTACTAACTAACAACTCCTTACTAACTAACAACTCCTACTCACCAACAACTCCTTACTAATCACTAACAACTCCTTACTCACTAACAACTCCTTACTCACTAACAACTCCTTACTACTAACACCTCCTTACTAACTAACAACTCCTCTATAATTTCTCATTGCTGGAGGGGGTTGCCTGCCCCCCACTACCTGAGAATCCTGGCTCCGCCAATGGACCGTGGGATGCGGGGTTCGGAATTGGTTCGGGAGGGAGCGATTGTCCACTGCGTGAGTCGAAGGTGGAGCGGTGGCGCAGTGATTAGCGCACTGCTCGAGGCCATGTCCCGGCCGCGGCTCAACGTCAGTGGCGAGTGGCATTTAAACTCGTGCTGAGCCCTCCTCCTCTAGGTTTACTCGGCCTTAACGAGTTTACCCTGGGGCCGCGTGTAAAAAGAAAAAGAAAAAAACACATCTTCACTGGGGAGACAAAGGCGGCCGTGCGTGGTGCTGGCTCGGAAATCGTGTGGCCGTGGCCGTGTCGGTCTCAGTCGGGAGCTCGGTGGGGGGCGAAAGGGGCGCTACCTAAACCAGCCCAGCTGACGTCAGTGCTGCTCATATGTTAACGACCTCGCCTGGTACGCAGGGGGTCGTGTGGCTTCGATCCCGACCCTGACGCCTGCTGCTGCTGTATATTTGGAGTTTGCGGTGTCTCTCTCTCTCTCATCATCATCACGGTGGCTAGAAGATGTTAGCTACCTCGCCTGGTGTACAGGAGGTCGTGGCTTCGATCCCGACCCTGACGCCTACTGCTGTATATTTGGAGTTTGCGGTGTTTCCCTCTCCATCATCATCACGGTGGCTAGGAGATGTTAACGACCTCGCCTGGTACGCAGGGGGTCGTGTGGCTTCGATCCCGACCCTGACGCCTGCTGCTGTATATTTGGAGTTTGCGTGTCTCTCTCTCTCTCATCATCATCACGGTGGCTAGGAGATGTTAACTACCTCGCCTGGTACGCAGGGGGTCGTGTGGCTTCGATCCCGACCCTGACGCCTGCTGCTGCTGCTGTATATTTGGAGTTTGCGGTGTCTCTCTCTCATCATCATCACGGTGGCTAGGAGATGTTAGCTACCTCGCCTGGTACGCAGGAGGTCGTGGCTTCGATCCCGACCCTGACGCCTGCTGCTGTATATTTGGAGTTTGCGTGTCTCTCTCTCATCATCATCAAGGTGGCTAGGAGATGTTAACTACCTCGCCTGGTACGCAGGAGGTCGTGGCTTCGATCCCGACCCTGACGCCTGCTGCTGTATATTTGGAGTTTGCGGTGTCTCTCTCTCTCATCATCATCAAGGTGGCTATGAGATATTAACTACCTCACCTGGTATACAGGAGGTCGTGGCTTCGATCCCGACCCTGACGCCTGCTGCTGCTGTATATTTGGAGTTTGCGGTGTTTCTCTCTCCATCATCATCACGGTGGCTAGGAGATGTTAACAACCTCGCCTGGTATACAGGAGGTCGTGGGTTCGATCCCGACCCTGACGCCTGCTGCTGCTGTATACTTGGAGTTTGCGTGTCTCTCTCTCCGTGGTCGCGGGTCCAGCGTTTTTTTTCCCTCCACGTTTAGAATCGACGTCACACGCGTTTCCGAGTATTTGGCTGCGAGACATTTTTACACGATGATGATGAGCCACTTCGTTGAGCTATCATTTGTGGCCAGGTTGCTTCTGAAAAAGAGATACACAGATCAGCCTTACCTGGTAAAATAACAATTTTCTAGTTTAGTTTATAGTTTAATCGTTTAAACAATTAAGTACGCTACCCGTCCAGGAGTTGCGAAGTAAATTTAAGGTAAGATTCATGAAGCTGAATTTCTTAAATTAGTTTATTTTTCTATTTACTGTTTAATTATTTTAATATCGATTCAACTACATTTCCAAGGATGTGCTATAATAGCTTCGGGGCCGTCCATAAATGACGTCACGCACCTAAGGGTGGGGGTGGGGTCAGACATTTGTGACGATGTGTGACGAGGGGGGGGTTTGAGAAATGTGACGTCACATCAAAATGCGCAACTTTAAATAAATATTAATTAAATAGAATTGTTATAACAACACTATTTTTTAAATATTTTTTCATTATTAACTATTTGATTATTTAAATTTACTAAGGTCACCTTTTATTTATTCCATGAAGGAGCATTTTGCTTGGACATGGGAGAATGGAGAAGCATACATTTTGTAAATTTTTTGAATGATTGTTATTAAACATTTTGATTTTAATGAATCTACCAGGGCTTTTCATTCTGTGGAATGAATATATGATTGTTATAATTGTTCTCTCCATTTTGCTTCGTTCTACAAAGTTTAAAGTATTTTTATAATAGTTATAATTACTTTTAATATATTATAATTATAAGAGAATTTCAATATATTCTGAACATCTGCAGTTTTAGTTAGACGTTGAATATTTTAAAGTGAATTTTATGCTAAATTTAAGCTTTCCAACGCCTCCTTTTTAATAAATATTTTATCCTACAACATCAGTGTGCAGCGCCACATTAAATACGCACTACAATTACAATAGTTTAAAGTGATTTGAAGCATGTTTTATTTTTTAAATGGAAATATGGTTTTGGGGGGGAGGGGGCAGAGCTTTGTGACGTCATATTTGAGGGGGGGTCTGACTTTTTGTGACGCCGTGTGACGACGGGGAGGGGGGGGGTCAAAAATTGGCCAAAATCGCGTGACGTCATTTATGGACGGCCCCTTGGCCCCAACAACATGGGGGAGGCTACACGGGGTCGCTTTGTCTTTTGGAACGTTTTTGACGCGCGCGCGCGCGTGCGTGCGCGTGCGCGCGCTCCGCGGAGCACGGTCGGCTACGTACAGTGCGAAAGAAAATGCAACAGAACCGCGGGTGAAACACGGATTGCGACACGTGGAAAATCCCCCGCGACACGGGGTCGGACCCACCCACTCCATCACTCATGCTACCTCCTGTCCATAACCCCCCCCCTCTGGCCCCCCCCCTCTGCCCCCCCCTGCCCCCACCCCCTCTCTGCCCCCACCCCCCTCTCTGCCCCCACCCCCAGGTGCCGGGGGTTGGGGCCCCTCCCATGAGTCACCCGCATCTCGAGGCACGAGGACGACGCTTTCTGTGCGATGCCGGTGAGAGGGGGCGGTGTGGACAGCGGCATGCAGTGGTTAGGCGCCGTCCATGAATGACGTCACGCACCTAGGGGGGGCAGGGTCAGACATTTGTGACGATGTGTGACGAGCTGGGGGGGGGGGTGAGAAATTTGACGTCACATCAAAATGCGCAACTTTAAATAAATATAGGCAACACGTTTATACTTAATTAAGTAGACTTTTTTAATAAATGTTTTCTCCTACAACATCAGAGTGCAGCGCCACATTAAATACGTACTACAATGACAATAGTTTAAAGCGATTTGAAGCATGTCTTATATATATTTTTTCGTCAAAAATGGTCCAAAATCGCGTGACGTCATTTATGGACGGCCCCTTAGCGCACCTGTGACACGAACGCTCATATTTTGCAGGTTAAAAATCCTACTAATGCTTTGCTGCTTTTTATTTGACGAGACGCGACCTGGTCACAAATGGTAAATCAACGAAATGGCGACCCAAGTACGATTTCCCGTTCACGACCACCAACATCTGGGATGACGATGTGAACCCGTCCTGGCTCCCCCCCCTAGGCAGAGGGGCACCACGCGGCCGAGATGTTAACTACCTCGCCTGGTGTACGTGAGGTCGCGGGTTCGATCCCGACCCCTGACGCCTGCTGCTGCTGCATATTTGAAGCTTACGTGTTTCGCTCTCTCTCTCTCTCTCCCCGTGGTCGCGTGGATTTTACTGCGAGGCCTCCGGTGTTTCCCTCGCCAAATTGAGAATCGCCATCGCGCGTTTAGACTATGTGGCTGCTATACATTTCCACAGGGTGATAAGCCGATTGGTTTGGGCTATCATTTGCGACCGCCACGTCGCGTCTGAAAAGGTGCTGCATTCGCAGCTCCGCGGGATCTCACCTGGTAACGGTGAAAGTAGAGTACCTGGCGCGATGTGCGATGCTGGGATTTAGCGCTGAATAGTCGGGGAATGAATGGGATACACTGGAGCAATTTGTACTCGTAATCTTTCGTTCGTGTGTTATTTCTTTCGTTTCCGTGACTTGCTTAGCTTCCCTACACGCGTTGAATTCCTAGCGTGTTTTTTTTTGTAACATTTGTCGTAACTCTGTGACCCGGTGCGGACTGGACGTCGGTGAAAAAGAGCTTCGCGGCTCATCGGATTTTCCGGTTTAAATGAAGATTCTGATTCTGTAAAACCACATCGGCACTTGGGTGAGGCGAAGGCGGCCGGGCGTGGTGCTGGTCACCCCACCCCATCCCCCGTCGTGTGCCGTGCCGGCCTTCATAGGTGCTCCTTACTAACAGCACTTGCCCCCAGTATGTCAAAGGCTATACGGGGGATCTTTGTATGAATCTGCCAGTCAACAGCAGTCACTCAACCCGTAACACCTGCGTCTGTCACGTGAACCCCTCCTGCCAGGAGCCAGCCCCTTTAACATAGCCTCAAAAGTGCACCTAGCCTGGCACAAGCGCCATGGTGATGCTGATGACATCGTCGCCACCAGGCAACTCTTGCGAATGAGACTCTGTCCTGGTTTCTCGAGTTCTTACCTGGTCGGTCAGGTTGACCTTTCAAACTTAGTGGCGAGTGGTGGTCTAAATATCATTACATCATCATAACAATAGGTTTATACCCTTTCTGGCAATACAACAGGAGTTATGTTAAGTTGTTCAGGCACCCACATAGAGACCTTTCCGCAAGGCATCAATAACTGCATTAACCGCACACAGTACTTGTGAACAAAAAAACACGCAAACAAAACATGGCTCTGATACATTTCGATTTAAAGCGTTCGTGACTGCAGCGATTCATATTAAAAATATAATAAAACAAAATTTTTATTTTGTATTTTTATTATTTTATTATTTCCTTTCTACGTGACTTTACCGAAAGAACCAAGAATGTGGCCCTGATACTAATACACACACTGTCTTTGAAGCTGATTGGCCTACACCAGAGACTTTATCGTCTTTATCGTCTTATCTCTGTACCAGCGTCAAACCGGGGAGCACAACGCCAGAAGGTGAACAGTCGCAAAGACCACTGCGAGTATCAGAACGTTTATACAGTGAGGGTAAAAAGTATTTGATCCCCAGCTGATTTTGTACGTTTGCCCACTGACAAAGAAATGATCAGTCTATAATTTCAATGGTAGGTTTATGTGAACAGTGAGAGACAGAATAACAACAACAAAAATCCAGAAAAACGCATGTCAAAAATGTTATAAATTGATTTGCATTTTAATGAGGGAAATAAGTATTTGACCCCTCTGCAAAACATGACTTAGTACTTGGTGGCAAAACCCTTGTTGGCAATCACAGATGTCAGACGTTTCTTGTAGTTGGCCAACAGGTTTGCACACATCTCAGGAGGGATTTTGTCCACTCCTTTGCAGATCTTCTGCAAGTCATTAAGGTTTCGAGGCTGACGTTTGGCAACTCGAACCTTCAGCTCTCTCCACAGATTTTTCTATGGGATTAAGGTCTGGAGACTGGCTAGGCCACTCCAGGACCTTAATGTGCTTCTTCTTGAGCCTTGGCCGTGTGTTTTGGGTCATTGTCATGCTGGAATACCCATCCACGACCTATTTTCAATGCCCTGGCTAAGGGAAGGAGGTTCTCACCCAAGATTTGACGGTACATGGCCTCGTCCATCGTCCCTTTGATGCGGTGAAGTTGTCCTGTCCCCTTAGCAGAAAAACACCCCCAAAGCATAATGTTTCCACCTCCATGTTTGACGGTGAGGATGGTGTTCTTGGGGTCATAGGTAGCATTCCTCCTCCTCCAAACACGGCGAGTTGAGTTGATGCCAAAGAGCTCCATTTTGGTCTCATCTGACCACAACACTTTCACCCAGTTGTCCTCTGAATCATTCAGATGTTCATTGGCAAACTTCAGACGGGCATGTATATGTGCTTTCTTGAGCAGGGGGACCTTGCGGGCGCTGCAGGATTTCAGTCCTTCACGGCGTAGTGTGTTACCAATTGTTTTCTTGGTGACTATAGTCTCAGCTGCCTTGAGATCATTGACAAGATCCTCCCGTGTAGTTCTGGGCTGATTCCTCACTGTTCTCATGGTCATTGCAACTCCACGAGGTGAGATCTTGCATGGAGCCCCAGGCCGAGGGAGATTGACACTTCTTTTGTGTTTCTTCCATTTGCGAATAATCTCACCAACTGTTGTCACCTTCTCACCAAGCTGCTTGGCAATGGTCTTGTAGCCCATTCCAGCCGTGTGTAGGTCTACAATCTTGTCCCTGACATCCTTGGAGAGCTCTTCGGTCTTGGCCATGGTGGAGAGTTTGGAATCTGATTGATTGCTTCTGTGGACAGGTGTCTTTTATGCAGGTAACAAGCTGAGATTAGGAGCACTCCCTTTAAGAGTGTGCTCCTAATCTCAGCTCGTTACCTGTATAAAAGACACCTCGGAGCCAGAAATCTTTCTGATTGAGAGGGGGTCAAATATTTATTTCCCTCATTAAAAAAATCAATTTATACAATTTTTGACATGCGTTTTTCTGGATTTTGTTGTTGTTATTCTGTCTCTCACTGTTAAAATAAACCTACCATTAAAATTATAGACTGATCATTTCTTTGTCAGTGGGCAAACGTACAAAATCAGCAGGGGATCAAATACTTTTTTCCCTCACTGTATCTCAGCAAAAAAATGGTCCCATAGTTACAGGGGCGGAGCCAGGATTTTGACTTTGGGGTGGAGGCTGACTTCAACATTCTGAGATATCTCAGTGTGTTTATGTTTTCCAATGGTCGCCACAAATGTATAAAACAAATTTTATTGGATTTGAACGCGGAGTTTATTAATAGGTCGGAGCCACTGATGTGGCTGATAAGTTCGATAAGTTCGCAAGGCTGCCGCTCAAGCAACCTGCAGGGCAGCACAAGGTGACAGTCTGCAGGGCAGCACGAGGTGGCAGCCTGCAGGGCAGCACAAGGTGGCAGCCTGCAGGGCAGCCTGCAGGGCAGCACGAGGTGGCAGCCTGCAGGGCAGCACGAGGTGGCAGCCTGCAGGACAGCACACAAGGTGGCAGCCTGCAGGGCAGCCTGCAGGGCAGCACGAGGTGGCAGCCTGCAGGGCAGCACACAAGGTGGCAGCCTGCAGGGCAGCCTGCAGGGCAGCACGAGGTGGCAGCCTGCAGCATTTTGCAGCAGCCGGATATCCGGTTATCCCGATTAGCGACTTTCCCAAAATTTCAGGGGGGGCAAAGCCCCCTCCCCCCCAGCCCCCCCTGTGGTTCCGCCCCTGCATAGATATCACTCCACGCTTGTTAAGCGAGGGAACACCTCGCGGAGACTCTTCGTTCAGGAGGGTCCTGCCAGCTTTTCCGAGTAAGAGAGGGGTCGATGCTGCTACTTTGTGATCCCAGTTGAAGCGAGTTCTTGGGGATTTGTGTGCGTGAGCGTGAGCATGAGCATTACGGATCAGTTCAACGTGCAGTAGGCTTTCGCGACCAATATCCACAATACAGGTTTTTTTTTTTGGAGGGTTAGATCTCGTAAATATGTGTGAAACAGGAGGATCTCTCCACAAATCTGGCTGCCGCCTGATGATGCTAGTTGTAATTACTGGCGAAACGTCGTGCTCACATTGTAAATGTTGTGGACTTGCTTTCCAACATACAACGGGTGTTGCTGCACTTGTAACGAATTGGCCACGTTCTGTTTACGTGAGAAACCTTACTAATTGGCTGCGTCGGGTGGTGGCGGGCTTAACGACACATTTATATATATACGCGATAAAACCCAAAAAACCCTCTATTATGGAGCGTTACGGTTGTTATTTTTCTGCTCAATGCCAATTCTGCTGTGTGAGTGGCGTGGTGGGAGCGTTGGTGTAGCGGTTAGCGCGCTGTGCGAGTTCCATTCCCGCTCACGGCCTACACCAATGACGATTATCTGAACCAGTCCTGGGCCTTCCCTACGTCCACTCAGCCCTCAAATGAGTACATGGTGCAGTGTGTAGTAAACATCGCCACTGGGGAGACAAAGGCGGCCGGGCGTGGTGCTTACCACCTATCCCCTCGTGTGCCGTTTTTGGCCTTCATAGGTGCTCGCTAACAGCACTTGCCCCAACAGTCTGTTCAGGCTATTACGGGGGTTCGACACTGCACGTGGCCTCAACGTGCCGTGGTGACGTCACTTAGTGGCGAATGGAGAGTGAGAACCCACAGGAAACTTCACGCCAAGCAGTGGGGAGAGAGTGAACCAACAGCCGCCATTCGCCGCTAAATGACTGTGACGTCACCACGGCGCCTGTGCCAGGCCATGTGCACTTTGAGGCCACGTGAAGGGTCGTGAACACTCGCTGACAAAGGGTTTCGAGACAGACCTAGCAGGTGCCATGGGTATGGCTGACTAAAGATGACCGGTAGATGCACCCAGCTGTACCCCCCCACTGTTCCAACTCGCTGTATTTTAGCTGCCCGGCGCTCCGCTCGTTGTTGTGAGCGTCGCTCCTCTGCCCTCCGTTGTTGCTGGCCTCCAACTGCCCCAGTAGCAACAGCAGCGTCCTTCAAGAGCCTCCTCCTCTACGGAGGCCGACCTTGACACCGATGGAGAGAGAACACACACACACACACACGCACACTCAACTAACTCACTCACTCTCAATAGCAACAGTCGCCATTCGCCACTTGGTGGCGGTAACGTCAAAAAAGCGCTCGTGCCAGGCTAGGTGCACGTTAAAGCGGTCGCTTGAAGTGCGGAAGGCTCGCTGCTGGCAGGAGATCACGGGACAGACCCCAGGTGTTGCGAGTTGACTCGTGTGCCAGGCTAGGTGCACGAGGTAACGGGACAGACCCCAGGGTTGACCGGTAGATGCACCACGCGTGCTCCCCACTGCGCCAGCACGCAGAACGCTGGGAGGACGTCCACACTCCGCGCAGACGGAAAGCCGCGCCTAAGAGCGGGAGTCGAACCCAGGCGGTGGCACCGGGGCGAGGTCGCGGACTCACGGTTCGATCCCGTGTCCTCCACCAGGCCTGTACCTGCGAGCAGATGAGCTGGGGGCTGCGGGCCGTTGCGAGCCTTGCCCCGCGGGCACCTTCACCGCCTTCGCCAACACTCACAGCACGTGCCTGCCCTGCAGGCGCTGCGACAGCGGTGAGACCCCGGCCGAGGAGGAGGAACGGCGACATGGCACGAACTCTCTCTCTCTGTGCTCACGAACTCTCTCTCTGTTCTCACGAACTCTCTCTGTCTGTGCTCACGAACTCTCTCTCTCTCTGTGCTCACGAACTCTCTCTCTGTCTGTGCTCACGAACTCTGTCTGTGCTCACGAACTCTCTCTCTGTGTGCTCACGAACTCTCTCTCTGTGTGCTCACGAACTCTCTCTCTGTGCTCACGAACTCTCTCTCTGTTCTCACGAACTCTCTCTGTCTGTGCTCACGAACTCTCTCTCTCTCTCTGTGCTCACGAACTCTCTCTCTCTCTGTCTGTGCTCACGAACTCTCTCTGTGCTCACGAACTCTCTCTCTCTCTGTGCTCACGAACTCTCTCTCTCTCTGTCTGTGCTCACGAACTCTCTCTCTGTGCTCACGAACTCTCTCTCTGTGCTCACGAACTCTCTCTCTGTGCTCACGAACTCTCTCTCTCTCTCTGTGCTCACGAACTCTCTCTCTGTGCTCACGAACTCTCTCTCTCTCTGTGCTCACGAACTCTCTCTCTGTGCTCACGAACTCTCTCTCTGTGCTCACGAACTCTCTCTCTGTGCTCACGAACTCTCTCTCTCTGTGCTCACAAACTCTCTCTCTGTGCTCACGAACTCTCTCTCTCTCTGTGCTCACGAACTCTCTCTCTGTGCTCATGAGCTCTCTCTCTCTCTCTGTGCTCACGAACTCTCTCTCTCTCTGTGCTCACGAACTCTCTCTCTGTGCTCACGAACTCTTTCTCTGTGCTCACGAACTCTCTCTCTGTGCTCACGAACTCTCTCTCTGTGCTCACGAACTCTCTCTCTGTGCTCACGAACTCTCTCTCTGTGCTCACGAACTCTCTCTCTCTGTGCTCACGAACTCTCTCTCTGTGCTCACGAACTCTCTCTCTGTGCTCACGAACTCTCTCTCTGTGCTCACGAACTCTCTCTCTGTGCTCACGAACTCTCTCTCTGTGCTCACGAACTCTCTCTCTGTGCTCACGAACTCTCTCTCTGTGCTCACGAACTTTCTCTCCGTGCTCACGAACTCTCTCTGTGCTCACGAACTCTCTCTCTGTGCTCACGAACTCTCTCTCTGTTCTCACGAACTCTCTCTCTCTGTGCTCACGAACTCTCTCTCTCTGTGCTCACGAACTCTCTCTCTGTGCTCACGAACTCTCTCTCTGTGCTCACGAACTCTCTCTCTGTGCTCACGAACTCTCTCTCTCTGTGCTCACGAACTCTCTCTCTGTGCTCACGAAACTCTCTCTCTCTCTGTGCTCACGAACTCTCTCTCTGTGCTCACGAGCTCTCTCTCTCTCTCTGTGCTCACGAACTCTCTCTCTCTGTGCTCACGAACTCTCTCTCTGTGCTCACGAACTCTCTCTCTGTGCTCACGAACTCTCTCTCTGTGCTCACGAACTCTCTCTCTGTGCTCACGAACTCTCTCTCTGTGCTCACGAACTCTCTCTCTGTGCTCACGAACTCTCTCTCTCTGTGCTCACGAACTCTCTCTCTGTGCTCACGAACTCTCTCTCTGTGCTCACGAACTCTCTCTCTGTGCTCACGAACTCTCTCTCTGTGCTCACGAACTCTCTCTCTGTGCTCACGAACTCTCTCTCTGTGCTCACGAACTCTCTCTCTGTGCTCACGAACTCTCTCTCTGTGCTCACGAACTCTCTCTGTGCTCACGAACTCTCTCTCTGTGCTCACGAACTCTCTCTCTCTGTTCTCACGAACTCTCTCTCTCTCTGTGCTCACGAACTCTCTCTGTGCTCACGAACTCTCTCTCTGTGCTCACGAACTCTCTCTCTATTCTCACGAACTCTCTCTGTGCTCACGAACTCTCTCTCTATTCTCACGAACTCTCTCTGTGCTCACGAACTCTCTCTCTGTGCTCACGAACTCTCTCTCTGTGCTCACGAACTCTCTCTCTCTCTGTGCTCACGAACTCTCTCTCTGTGCTCACGAACTCTCTCTCTCTCTGTGCTCACGAACTCTCTCTCTATTCTCACGAACTCTCTCTGTGCTCACGAACTCTCTCTCTATTCTCACGAACTCTCTCTGTGCTCACGAACTCTCTCTCTGTGCTCACGAACTCTCTCTCTCTCTGTGCTCACGAACTCTCTCTCTGTGCTTACGAACTCTCTCTCTCTCTCTGTGCTCACGAACTCTCTCTCTCTGTGCTAACGAACTCTCTCTCTCTCTCTGTGCTCACGAACTCTCTCTCTCTGTGCTCACGAACTCTCTCTCTGTGCTCACGAACTCTCTCTCTCCTGTGCTCACGAACTCTCTCTCTGTGCTCACGAACTCTCTCTCGTGCTCACGAACTCTCTCTCTGTGCTCACGAACTCTCTCCTCTCTATCTGTGCTCACGAACTCTCTCTCTGTGCTCAAGAACTCTCTCTCTGTGCTCACGAACTCTCTCCTCTGTGCTCACGAACTCTCTCTCTATTCTCACGAACTCTCTCTGTGCTCACGAACTCTCTCTCTATTCTCACGAACTCTCTCTGTGCTCACGAACTCTCTCTCTGTGCTCACGAACTCTCTCTCCTCTCTGTGCTCACGAACTCTCTCTCTGTGCTTACGAACTCTCTCTCTCTCTCTGTGCTCACGAACTCTCTCTCTCTGTGCTAACGAACTCTCTCATCTCTCTCTGTGCTCACGAACTCTCTCTCTCTGTGCTCACGAACTCTCTCTCTGTGCTCACGAACTCTCTCTCTCTCTGTGCTCACGAACTCTCTCTCTGTGCTCACGAACTCTCTCTCTGTGCTCACGAACTCTCTCTCTGTGCTCACGAACTCTCTCTCTCTCTCTGTGCTCACGAACTCTCTCTCTGTGCTCACGAACTCTCTCTCTGTGCTCACGAAACTCTCTCTCTGTGCTCCACGAACTCTCTCTCTGTGCTCACGAAACTCTCTCTCTGTGCTCACGAACTCTCTCTCTGTGCTCACGAACTCTCTCTCTGTGCTCACGAACTCTCTCTGTGCTCACGAACTCTCTCTCTGTGCTCACGAACTCTCTCTCTGTGCTCACGAACTCTATCTTTCTGTGCTCACGAACTCTCTCTCTGTGCACACGAAACTCTCCTCTCTCTCTGTGCTCACGAACTCTCTCTCTGTGCTCACGAGCTCTCTCTCTCTCTCTGTGCTCACGAACTCTCTCTCTCTGTGCTCACGAACTCTCTCTCTCTGTGCTCACGAACTCTCTCTCTCTATTCTCACGAACTCTCTCTTGTGCTCACGAACTCTCTCTCTATTCTCACGAACTCTCTCTGTGCTCACGAACTCTCTCTCTGTGCTCACTCTCTCTCTCTCTGTGCTCACGAACCTCTCTCTCTCTGTGCTCACGAACTCCCTCTCTGTGCTCACGAACTCTCCTCTCTCTCTGTGCTCACGAACTCTCTCTCTATTCTCACGAACTCTCTCTGTGCTCACGAACTCTCTCTCTATTCTCACGAACTCTCTCTGTGCTCACGAGCTCTCTCTCTCTCTGTGCTCACGAACTCTCTCTCTCTATTCTCACGAACTCTCTCTGTGCTCACGAACTCTCTCTCTCTGTGCTAACGAACTCTCTCTCTCTCTCTGTGCTCACGAACTCTCTCTCTCTGTGCTCACGAACTCTCTCTCTGTGCTCACGAACTCTCTCTCTCTGTGCTCACGAACTCTCTCTCTGTGCTCACGAACTCTCTCTCTGTGCTCACGAACTCTCTCTCTGTGCTCACGAACTCTCTCTCTCTCTCTCTGTGCTCACGAACTCTCTCTCTGTGCTCACGAACTCTCTGTGCTCACGAACTCTCTCTCTGTGCTCACGAACTCTCTCTCTGTGCTCACGAACTCTCTCTCTGTGCTCACGAACTCTCTCTCTGTGCTCACGAACTCTCTCTCTGTGCTCACGAACCTCTCTCTGTGCTCACGAACTCTCTCTCTATTCTCACGAACTCCTCTCTGTGCTCACGAACTCTCTCTCTGTGCTCACGAACTCTCTCTCTGTGCTCACGAACTCTCTCTCTGTGCTCACGAACTCTCTCTCTGTGCTCACGACCTCTCTCTCTGTGCTCACGAACTCTCTCTCTGTGCTCACGAACTCTCTCTCTCTGTGCTCACGAACTCTCTCTCTGTGCTCACGAACTCTCTCTCTCTGTGCTCACGAACTCTCTCTCTGTGCTCACGAGCCCTCTCTCTCTCTGTGCTCACGAACTCTCTCTCTCTGTGCTCACGAACTCTCTCTCTCTGTGCTCACGAACTCTCTCTCTCTATTCTCACGAAACTCTCTCTGTGCTCACGAACTCTCTCTCTATTCTCACGAACTCTCTCTTGCTCACGAACTCTCTCTCTGTGCTCACGACTCTCTCTCTCTCTGTGCTCACGAACTCTCTCTCTCTCTGTGCTCACGAACTCCTCTCTCTGTGCTCACGAACTCTCTCTCTCTCTGTGCTCACGAACTCTCTCTCTATTCTCACGAACTCTCTCTCTGTGCTCACGAACTCTCTCTCTATTCTCACGAACTCTCTCTGTGCTCACGAACTCTCTCTCTGTGCTCACGAACTCTCTCTCTCTCTGTGCTCACGAACTCTCTCTCTCTGTGCTCACGAACTCTCTCTCTCTCTGTGCTCACGAACTCTCTCTCTCTGTGCTAACGAACTCTCTCTCTCTCTCTGTGCTCACGAACTCTCTCTCTCTGTGCTCACGAACTCTCTCTCTGTGCTCACGAACTCTCTCTCTCTGTGCTCACGAACTCTCTCTCTGTGCTCACGAACTCTCTCTCTGTGCTCACGAACCTCTCTCTCTGTGCTCACGAACTCTCTCTCTCTCTCTCTGTGCTCACGAACTCTCTCTCTGTGCTCACGAACTCTCTGTGCTCACGAACTCTCTCTCTGTGCTCACGAACTCTCTCTAACCTCTCTCTGTGCTCACGAACTCTCTCTCTGTGCTACGAACTCTCTCTCTGTGCTCACGAACTCTCTCTCTGTGCTCACGAACTCTCTCTGTGCTCCACGAACTCTCTCTCTATCTCACGAACTCTCTCTGTGCTCACGAACTCTCTCTCTGTGCTCACGAACCTCTCTCTCTGTGCTCACGAACTCTCTCTCTCTCTGTGCTCACGAACTCTCTCTCTGTGCTCACGAACTCTCTCTCTCTCTGTGGCTCACGAACTCTCTCTCTATTCTCACGAACTCTCTCTGTGCTCACGAACTCTCTCTCTATTCTCACGAACTCTCCTCTGTGCTCACGAACTCTCTCTCTGTGCTCACGAAACTCTCTCTCCTCTGTGCTCACGAACTCTCTCTCTGTGCTTACGAACTCTCTCTCTCTCTCTGTGCTCACGAACTCTCTCTCTCTGTGCTACGAACTCTCTCTCTCTCTCTGTGCTCACGAACTTCTCTCTCTCTGTGCTCAAGAACTCTCTCTCTGTGCTCACGATACTCTCTCTCTCTTCACGAACTCTCTCTCGTGCTCACGAAACTCTCTCTCTGTGCTCACGAACTCTCTACTCTGTGCTCACGAACTCTCTCTCTTCTCTTGTGCTCACGAACTCTCTCTCTGTGCTCACGAACTCTCTCTCTGTGCTCACGAACTCTCTCTCTGTGCTCACGAACTCTCTCTCTGTGCTCACGAACTCTCTCTCTGTGCTCACGAACTCTCTCTCTGTGCTCACGAACTCTCTCTCTGTGCTCACGAACTCTCTCTCTGTGCTCACGAACTTTCTCTCCTGTGCTCACGAACTCTCTCTCTCTCTGTGCTCACGAACTCTCTCTCTCGTGCTCACGAACTCTCTCTCTGTTCTCACGAACTCTCTCTCTCTGTGCTCACGAACTCTCTCTCTCTGTTGCTCACGAACTCCTCTCTCTCTGTGCTCACGAACTCTCTCTCTGTGCTCACGAACTCTCTCTCTGTGCTCACGAACTCTATCTCTCTGTGCTCACGAACTCTCTCTCTGTGCTCACGAACTCTCTCTCTCTCTGTGCTCACGAACTCTCTCTCTGTGCTCACGAGCTCTCTCTCTCTCTCTGTGCTCACGAACTCTCTCTCTCTGTGCTCACGAACTCTCTCTCTCTGTGCTCACGAACTCTCTCTCTCTATTCTCACGAACTCTCTCTGTGCTCACGAACTCTCTCTCTATTCTCACGAACTCTCTCTGTGCTCACGAACTCTCTCTCTGTGCTCACTCTCTCTCTCTCTGTGCTCACGAACTCTCTCTCTCTCTGTGCTCACGAACTCCCTCTCTGTGCTCACGAACTCTCTCTCTCTCTGTGCTCACGAACTCTCTCTCTATTCTCACGAACTCTCTCTGTGCTCACGAACTCTCTCTCTATTCTCACGAACTCTCTCTGTGCTCACGAACTCTCTCTCTGTGCTCACGAACTCTCTCTCTCTCTGTGCTCACGAACTCTCTCTCTCTGTGCTCACGAACTCTCTCTCTCTCTGTGCTCACGAACTCTCTCTCTCTGTGCTAACGAACTCTCTCTCTCTCTCTGTGCTCACGAACTCTCTCTCTCTGTGCTCACGAACTCTCTCTCTGTGCTCACGAACTCTCTCTCTCTGTGCTCACGAACTCTCTCTCTGTGCTCACGAACTCTCTCTCTGTGCTCACGAACTCTCTCTCTGTGCTCACGAACTCTCTCTCTCTCTCTCTGTGCTCACGAACTCTCTCTCTGTGCTCACGAACTCTCTGTGCTCACGAACTCTCTCTCTGTGCTCACGAACTCTCTCTCTGTGCTCACGAACTCTCTCTCTGTGCTCACGAACTCTCTCTCTGTGCTCACGAACTCTCTCTCTGTGCTCACGAACTCTCTCTCTGTGCTCACGAACTCTCTCTCTGTGCTCACGAACTCTCTCTGTGCTCACGAACTCTCTCTCTGTGCTCACGAACTCTCTCTCTCTGTGCTCACGAACTCTCTCTCTGTGCTCACGAACTCTCTCTCTGTGCTCACGAACTCTCTCTATGTGCTCACGAACTCTCTCTCTGTGCTCACGAACTCTCTCTCTGTGCTCACGAACTCTCTCTCTGTGCTCACGAACTCTCTCTGTGCTCACGAACTCTCTCTCTGTGCTCACGAACTCTCTCTCTGTGCTCACGAACTCTCTCTCTGTGCTCACGAACTCTCTCTCTGTGCTCACGAACTCTCTCTCTGTGCTCACGAACTCTCTCTCTCTGTGCTCACGAACTCTCTCTCTGTGCTCACGAACTCTCTCTCTGTGCTCACGAACTCTCTCTATGTGCTCACGAACTCTCTCTCTGTGCTCACGAACTCTCTCTCTGTGCTCACGAACTCTCTCTCTGTGCTCACGAACTCTCTCTCTGTGCTCACGAACTCTCTCTCTCTGTGCTCACGAACTCTCTCTCTCTCTGTGCTCAAGCCCTTCCCCGTCGTGGCGGCAACAGCACCGCCACACTGGCATCGAGCTCCTGGAGCACATCGCTGCTGCTGCTGCTGCCATCATCGCGGGCGAGAGTAGAATGTTCCCTCGTGACCATCAACTCTCGTTACCTTGCAACCCCTCATCCTGACATATAACCTCCTAATCTTCGTCTCCCTCCCCGCCTACCCCCCCTCGTCTCCCCCCCGTGACTCGCCCCCCCCCCCCTCGTCTCCCCCCCCCCCTCGTCTCGCAGTCCGTGGGTTCCGGGAGGCACAGCGGTGCACGGCGGATGCGGACACGGAGTGCGAGTGCCAGGAGGGGAGGTTCTGCCCCAGCAGCCCCTGCCAGGAGGAGCTCTGCGTGCTCCACTTCGCGTGCCCGGCCGGCATGGGGGTCACCAGCCTCGGTGATGGCACGCACGCACACACTCACACGCACACGCTCACACGCACACTCACACTCACACGCACACACTCACACGCACACACTCACACGCACACGCTCACACGCACACACTCACACGCACACACTCACACACTCACACGCACACGCTCACACGCACGCACACACTCACAAACACGCACACACTCGCACGCACGCACGCACACACGCGCACACACTTGCCCGCGCACGCACGCACACACTCGCACGCACGCACTCGCACGCACACACTCACACGCACATGCTCACACGCACGCACACACTCACACGCACACGCTCACACGCACGCACACACTCGCACGCACACGCTCACACGCACGCACACACTCGCACGCGCACGCACGCACACACTCACACGCACACACTCGCACGCACACACTCGCGCACGCGCACGCACACACTCAGGCGCACACACTCAGACGCTTACACTCACAGACAGACTGTAGGGGCAAGTGCTGTTAGCGAGCACCTATGAAGGCCAGAACGGCACACGAGGGGGTGGGTGGCCAGCATCACGCCCGGCCGTCTTTGTTTCCCCTGTGGCGATGTTTACACACCGCACCAGGTACTAATTTGAGGCTGAGTTGACCTAGGGGAGGCCCAGGACCAGTTCAGATAATCGTCACCGGTGTTGGCCGTGAGAATCGAAGTCGGGTCGCCGCGTTCGCAGCGCAGTGCGCTAACCGCTGCGCCACCGCTCCCATCACACACACGCCCACACACGCGCACGCCCACACACATACCCACACAAACACGCACACACGCACGCCCACACACGCGCACGCCCACACACACGCCCACACACACACACCCACGCCCACAAACACGCCCACACACACACACGCACGCCCACACACACACACGCACACACACACACGCACACATACACACGCACACACACGCACGCCCACACACGCACGCCCACACAAACAAGCCCACATACGCACACACACACGCACAGCATGGGCGTATTTTCTGACCAAATACTTCGCGCCCATGACGTCATTCGGTCCAAATGTTCAATATTTAAACATCCACAGAAAATGACGCAGCAGTAGTAGCAGCAGCAGTAGCAGCAGCAGTAGTAGCAGCAGTAGTAGTAGTAGCAGCAGCAGTAGCAGCAGCAGTAGTAGCAGCAGTAGCAGCAGCAGTAACAGCAGTAGCAGCAGTAGCAGCAGCAGTAGTAGCAGCAGTAGTAGCAGCAGCAGCAGTAGCAGCAGTAGTAGCAGCAGCAGCAGTAGTAGCAGTAGTAGCAGCAGTAGCAGCAGCAGTAATAGCAGTAGCAGCAGCAGTAGCAGCAGCAGTAGTAGCAGCAGTAGCAGCAGTAGTAGCAGCAGTAGCAGCAGCAGTAGTAACAACAGTAGCAGCAGTAGCAGCAGCAGCTGCAGCAGCAGCAGCTGCAGCGTGCATGCCGGGTGCCGCACAGGGACAGCTGCCACTGGGGGGGCCCTCTCACGAAACGATAAGAACGTGAGGCGTGCGCGCAGGCTGCCTTCTCGTCGTGCCGCGTGCGGGCAATCCGACGAGGTGGCGGGGGGGAGGAGGGGGTTGAGGAGGAGGGGGTAGGAGGTGGGAGGGGGAAGGTGAGAGGGGGAGGAGAGGGTTGAGGGGGAGGAGAGGGAGGTGGGGGGAGAGCTAAACAATTTCTTTTTATTCTACCAGGTAAAACCCACTGAGCTCTGTAGCTATTTTTCTGAAGCGACCAGGCCACCACAAATGATAGCTCGCCGAAGTGGCTTATCGTCATCACGTGGGAATTTACAGCAGCCACAGACTCTAAACGCGCGACGCTGACTCTAACCGTGGAGGGGAAGAGCCAGAGGAGCCAGAGAAACGTCCACGCCACCACGGGGAGTGAAAGAGAGAGAGAGATATATTCAGATTCCAAATATACAGCAGCAGCAGGCATCAGGGTCAGGATCGAACCCACGACGTCCTGCATACCGGGCGAGGGAGTTAACATTTTGCTGCGTGGCACCGCCACACTGGCATCGGGCTCCTGGAGCACATCATCGGGGGCGAGAGTAGAATGTTCCCTCGTGACCATCAACTCTCGTTACCTTGCAAGCCCTCATCCTGACATATAACCTCCTAATCTTCGTCTCCCCCCCCCCCGCTCGTCTCCCACCATGTGCAGGTTCCGCCGTCTTGGACACAAAGTGCTTCGCGTGCCCTCCCGACTCCTTCTCCAACGAGACTTCGGCAACTCAGACGTGCCGACCCCACACGCGGTAGGGCAGCCCGCACCGACAACAACAACAATCATAGCGGCCGCCATTCGCCACGAAGTGGCGGTGACGTCACCACGGTGCCTGTGCCAGGCCACTTCGAGGCCACGTGAAGCGTCGAAGGCTCGCTGATAGGTCACGGGACAGACCCAGCAGGTGCCGTGGGTTGACTAAAGATTACTGGCAGCTGCACCAGCCGTGCTCCCCACTGTGCCAACCTGCTTCGTTTTAGACGCCCGGCGCTCACGCTCGTTGTTGTGAGCGTCACTCCTCTGCCCTCCGCTGTTGCTGGAGGCCTCCAATTGCCCAGTAGCGTCCTGCACGAGCCTCCTCGGTAGAGGCCGATCTTGACACCGCTGGTAGCAGTCATCGGGAAGTCCCCTCAGCTGCATATCCTTCAGCTCCATCTCTACTACCAGCCCGTGTCGTGGGAGGTGGGGTCCTGATTTCATCCCCGGCACTCACGGTCAGGTCCTCCCATCCCTAGGTGCGGTCCGGCCCCTCCCTCCCTCCCTCCCTCCCTCCCTCCCTCCCTCCCTCCCTCCCTCCCTCCCTCCCTCCCTCCCTCCCTCCCTCCCTCCCTCCCTCCCTCCCTCCCTCCCTCCCTCCCTCCCTCCCTCCCTCCCTCCCTCCCTCCCCTCCCTCATTCCTCATCGTCCTCCTCCTCTAAGTGTCGCGTCCGTCTTGTCGCACCCACCCCCCCCGCCCGCGAATCCCACGGGCCCCCACCCAACTGTCCCCACCACCCACCCATCCCAGGTGCGACCGAGACGGGCGTCTGACCATCGCCAACGGGACCTCCACGCGCGACAGCGAGTGCGGGGCCCGCACCCTGGCTCCCGCGAAGGAGGACGAGCCGCCTGGTGGGTACAGCGGGCGTGGGTGGGGGGGGGGTGTTAAGGTGGCTGGGAGATGTTAACTACCTCGCCTGGTATACAGGAGGTCGTCGGTTCGATCCCGACCCCTGACGCCTGTTGTGCACTTGGAGTTTGCGGTGTCTCTCTCCGGTCCCCCCCCCCCCCCGACATTCAGAATCAACGTCATTTGGCTGCTTTACATTTCTACGTGAAAGGCCACTCGGTTGAACTATCAGTTGTGGTGACCAGATCCCTTCTATGAATAGAAGCTACATAGCTCAGTGGGGCCTTGCCTGGTAAAAAAATATATATATACTTCAAGTGTTTACTTTCAGACGGAACCAGCCAAACATCCGAGTGTCCCACCACCACCACTCTCTCCTGAAGAGAGAGTGGTGGTGGTGATGGGAGTGGCGGTTTGGGCATCTGCTCCCTCTCACTGAAAACAAACCCCTGCCCCCGTGTCCGTGCGTGGTGGAGTGGTGTCGTGGCGGTTAGCGCACCGTGCACCGCGCTAACCGCCTGAGGAGCGGTGCGCTAACCAACGCTTTGTGACGGCCATCTGAACCGGTCCTGGGTCTTGCCCAGGTAGACTCAGCCTCAAATGAGCACCTGGTGCATTGCGTAAACATCACCGCTGCGGAGACAAAGGCGGGTTCTGGCTACACCGACCCCTTCGTGTGCCCTGCCGAGCTTCATAGAGTGAGGGATAAAAGCATTTGATCCCCTGCTGATTTTGTACGTTTGCCCACTGACAAAGAAATGATCAGTCTATAATTTTAATGGTAGGTTTATTTGAACAGTGAGAGACAGAATAACAACAAGAAAATCCAGAAAAACGCATGTCAAAAATGTTATAAATTGATTTGCATTTTAATGAGGGAAATAAGTATTTGACCCCCTCTCAATCAGAAAGATTTCTGGCTCCCAGGTGTCTTTTATACAGGTAACGAGCTGAGATTAGGAGCACACTCTTAAAGGGAGTGCTCCTAATCTCAGCTCGTTACCTGTATAAAAGACACCTGTCCACAGAAGCAATCAATCAATCAGATTCCAAACTCTCCACCATGGCCAAGACCAAAGAGCTCTCCAAGGAGGTCAGGGACAAGATTGTAGACCTACACAAGGCTGGAATGGGCTAGAAGACCATTGCCAAGCAGCTTGGTGAGAAGGTGACAACAGTTGGTGCGATTCTTCGCAAATGGAAGAAACACAAAAGAACTGTCAATCTCCCTCGGCCTGGGGCTCCGTGCAAGATCTCGCCTCGTGGAGTTGCAATGATCATGAGAACGGTGAGGAATCAGCCCAGAACTACACGGGAGGATCTTGTCAATGCTCTCAAGGCAGCTGGGACCATAGTCACCAAGAAAACAATTGGTAACACACTACGCCGTGAAGTACTGAAATCCTGCAGCGCCCGCAAGGTCCCCCTGCTCAAGAAAGCACATATACATGCCCGTCTGAAGTTTGCCAATGAACATCTGAATGATTCAGAGGACAACTGGGTGAAAGTGTTGTGGTCAGATGAGACCAAAATGGAGCTCTTTGGCATCAACTCAACTCGCCGTGTTTGGAGGAGGAGGAATGCTGCTTATGACCCCAAGAACACCATCCCCACCGTCAAACATGGAGGTGGAAACATGCTTTGGGGGTGTTTTTCTGCTAAGGGGATAGGACAACTTCACCGCATCAAAGGAACGATGGACGGTGCCATGTACCGTCAAACCTTGGGTGAAACCTCCTTCCCTCAGCCAGGGCATTGAAAATGGTTCGTGGATGGGTATTCCAGCATGACGATGATCCAAAACACATGACCAAGGCAACAAAGGAGTGGCTCAAGAAGAAGCACATTAAGGTCCTGGAGTGGCCTAGCCAGTCTCCAGACCTTAATCCCATAGAAAATCTGTGGAGAGAGCTGAAGGTTCGAGTTGCCAAACGTCAGCCTCGAAACCTTAATGACTTGGAGAAGATCTGCAAAGAGGAGTGGGACAAAATCCCTCCTGAGATGTGTGCAAACCTGGTGGCCAACTACAAGAAACGTCTGACCTCTGTGATTACCAACAAGGGTTTTGCCACCAAGTACTAAATCATGTTTTGCAGAGGGGGTCAAATACTTATTTCCCCCATTAAAATGCAAATCAGTTTATACAATTTTTGGCATGCGTTTTTCTGGATTTTGTTGTTGTTATTCTGTCTCTCACTGTTCAAATAAACCTACCATTAAAATTATAGACTGATCATTTCTTCGTCGGTGGTCAAACGTACACAATCAGCATGGGATCAAATCCTTTTTTTCCCTCACTGTAGGTGCTACTCGCTAACAGCGCTCGCCCCAACAGTTTGTTAAGGCTGTTGGGGCGAGCGCATTCTGTTAATGCTGCACGGTGGAGGGGGCGGGGGGAGGATCTGTGTCTGAGATGCCATTCACATAGCGCATGAATCATTGATGTGTTAGATATTTACGTGTGTGTTGAAGGCCACAAATGCCAGCACGTTGGTCCTATTGCGTGGCGACGTGAACTGTACTCTCTCACCAATGCCAACGCAGCAATAGCAGCGGGTTAGCATCCTCACCGTGGGATTGCCGTGTCGTCTCTGACCCCCCCCCCCAACCACCACCCCCCACCGCCCCCCACCACCACCCGAGTAGGAGCAGTCAAGGTCGGCCACATCCACTGGATCGTTCCCCTCTCTGTGGCCATCTTCATCACGGTCTTCTTCGCCTGCTGCTTTGATTACTACAAGCGGAGAGAGTCTCGACACATAGGTCAGAAGCGATGCCAACCCTCCCGCCCCCCACCCCCTACCCGTACCCCCCCACCCCCCCCCCCCAAGTTCCCCCGCAGGTCACAGCGGGCGTTTAAGATCCCATGACGCCGTTGATTGTGTGCCAGTGGGCGCCACAGTGGCTATGAGATGTTAACTACCTCGCCTGGTATGCAGGAGGTCGTGGATTCGATCCCGCCCCTGACGCCCGCCGTTTGTTTGTAGTTTGCGCGTGTCGTCGCGCGGAGAGGCGCCCCGCGCCGCGGGGGTTCGCCAATGTTTCGACGGCGGCACTGGCACCGAGCCTTCCTGCTGGCGGTGGCAGCTAGAAAACAAAAATGACCCACAGCTCTGTGGGGGGCCCTGGGTCGTGGCCGCGAGACGCTCCGGCTTGAAGGGAACGCCGCGACGGGAGCACCCCGGCCCCCCGGTGACGTCGCGCGCGTCGCTCCGTGGCCCTGACACCTGACACCCTCCCCCCACTCCCCTCCCGGTGTGGCTGACAACAGAATCCAACAACTACTTCCAAGCCAACGTGATCCAAGTGGGGGACTGCAACATGGTGGTGCACGACGAGAAGCAGTCGCTCGCCGACCACTAGAGGTCGATCCACAACACGCACGCACAGCGGACGGCCACGCACAAAGCTGAGCGAGGATTGCCTTTGCTCGTAAATTATAATAAGAATAAAAAGTGTTTTTTATTTTTATTGAGCATTGTTCGGGACTGATACACGTTATGACGCACGTGCGCACCGTCAACACAAGCCAAAGCGGTTATGAAAAGCGGGGAGAGGGGGGGATAGATAGATGGGGAACAGGCTCGCTGCCCCAAACTCATACCGTGTTAACCCATACGGTTTACCCCGTATTCTTGTACAGGCAAATTGAGTTTTCAGGTCCATACGGCGTACAGCCGTTTCAATACGGGAAAAAAAAATGGGACGAGGCTCAAAAGAAAGCCATCCCTTGGTGTGGACCAATCAGTTTCAAGGACAATGCATATATTATCATAGTATGTTTTTTTTTATTTAAAGCTTTCGTGACTGCAGGAATTCATGTTCTTGGTTCTTTCGGTAAAAACCACACCTGATGATGATTGCTTGTGTTGCAGTCGAAACGTCGTGAGAATTTTATTGTTTTATACTTTTATTATTTTATTGTTTCCCTTCTACGTGACTTTACCAAAAGTATGGTTTTTTTTTGCATTTTGACTGCAGGTATTGTGGTTAATGCAGACATGAATCCTCGTAAAAAGGTTTCAGTTTTGTTGCCAGAAAAAAGGGGAAAAACCATATTATTATTATATCTTGGTACTGGCAAAGGAGGTCTAATGATGTTGATGTTTAGTTTTAGTTTAGACACGTGTGGAAGGCACCTCCGGATGACTCACGAATAGCAGCAACATCCTCGCGTGTTAGTCCGTTAACATTTGGGGTAGCCCAAAAGTCAGGACACAGAGGGTTGTACAGGAGATCATCGATTATCCAGCCAGATTTTCAAAAACGCCAAATAATCGATAGTAATCATTATTTAAAGTAGATGATTTTACCACCACAATCTCGGAAGACTCCACACGGGGTTATGTACGTGCTACGCTCTTGAAAAAATACGTTGTTGAAACATCTGCCGGACCGATGCTGCCTTTAGACCCGTGAATTTCGTGCACGTTTCACCAGATACCACTGTATATATATAACTTTTTTACTGTAATTATTAATAATGAAAGATGTACATATGTGCGGTATTTTCATTGTTTAAGTTGTATGTAGTGTCAAATGTGCCGTATATATTTGCACAGCGACTCTTTATTTTTGTCACGCTACACGGTGCTGCCGATCGCCGGACTGGGCGACAGCCTTAGGAGCGGTTTTGCCGGGATCGGCCCGGGGACCGCCAGATGTTGTAAGCAGCCGGATAATCAACCGAATTTATTTCAACAAATCACGTAGGATTATCGCACTTGTTTTTTGTTACAAACGTGGACGTATTGGCGGTACGCCGGTGCCTCGTGAAACGGTGCGACGAAGTCGCTGCCGCCCCCCCTCGAGCGAGCTGCAGGACTGATCTTCGAATTTTGCCACTTGGATTCAGCAGCCGCTTTCCCCTTCATTCGAACACGCGGTCGTGACACCACCACGAGCCGTAATCTTGAGCAGCCAAACGTCCGCCAAGGGACCATTCCGTGAATAGATCGAGGGACCGTCCCGAACGAGTCTAGGGTCACGAGTCAAATCCTGCTTTTGGAACACGGAGCAGCCAATCGTCGTCAGGCTGGGTGCTGCTGCTAAACGGCAACAGACTGTGAAGCTTCGTGTTCAGACGTTGCGTCTTCTGGCTAAATGTTGACGCACCATCACCAACCCCGGAAAGGTTTTCTTACCGGGGTTTTGAATCGCGGGAAAATAAATTACGATTAAAAAACATGAGATTATTTTATTTTTAGACCATGCACTGCCGGTGTACCGCCAATACGTTCAATTTTCCAAAGATTTCCATGGTTGATGTGAATGCACTTTGCGTGAATTCTCTTTTGAAATCAATGTCAGGACTTTTTTTTCAAGCATCACGCGGCGTAATCTTTGAATGTTCGTCAGTTGTTGTCCCCCCCCCTCCCCCACCCCTCCAAATTATGTTTTAAGATTTCTCGATTGAGTTTTGAAAAGACGAAACAATTCATAGGAATGATAATAAGAATATTCACGTAAAGAATTAACAATTTAAAATATTTTAACGGCCAGTGTTCAAATGAATGGGAAAACCCCCCTTAAGTGTCCGAGTCGTGATTTTGCCTCGACCCGTTTGGTTCCCGTGGCATGACGGGTGCCCCCCCCCCTCCTCCTCCCCCGGAGAGGTTGGCTCATCACGTGACGTGGTGATTGTGACCTCGCTGTGACCTCGGCGTGGCCAAGGCGAGACCAACGGCCGTCCTCAAATGTCTCCCGCATCCTCGCGCTGCGGTTGCAGCGAGATCGAGAACGTTGGCAGGACAGTGAGCGGGTGGGTGAGGTGGGTGGGTGAGGTGGGTGGGCGAGGTGGGTGGGCGAGGTGGGTGGGTGAGCAGGTAGCGCCTGGGTCTTTTCCGTCACCTCCCGCCAGCGGGTCTTCCAACACTTCCCGTGGCCCCAAGGTGCACCTAGCGTGGCACGAGCACCGTGGTGACGTCACCGCCGCTTAGTGGTGAACGGCGGTTGCTGTTGTTGAGTGGGCGTGGCAGGAGAATAGAAAGAGGGGATGAGCTCAAGTATCGGTGGATGTCCGAGCGAGGCTTCTTTGGGGTTGGTGCCATCTCTCCCACTGCCCCGGTCAATCGGCCCTCCAGGAGGGCGATCCCCCCAATGCAGCCGAGCACAAACAACAACAACAACGCAACTCAAAGCCTTCGGCAAGAACGCTAGCGGCCTTTAAAAGGACAAACATTCAAATCGGGGGCGTTTTTTGGTGCAATAGCCCTTAAAACAGCGACGCCAGTGGAGAGGCAGAGGGGATGGGAAGAGCCGGAGGCTGCAACTTGTTGCCACCATTGGGGCCTTATTATGGTTAGATTTTAAACTCATTACCACCCCCCCAACCCTACCCCCGACGAGGGTTAAGGCACCACGGGGAACCACACGCAAGCATTAAAGCGGCCCCAAGGGGCGTCCATAAATGACGTCACGCACCTAGGGAGAGGGGGGTCAGACATTTGTGACGACGGGAGGGGGGCATTGAGAAATGTGACGTCACATCAAAATGCGCAACTTTAAATATAGACTACACGTTCTACTTAATTAAATAGACTTTTTAATAAATGTTTTCTCCTACATCAGAGTGCAGCGCCGCATTAAAAACGCACTACAATCACAATAGTTTAAAGTGATTTGAAGCATGTTTTATTTTCAAAATGGAAATATGGTTTTGGGGGGGGGGGGGGCAGAGCTTTGTGACGTCATATTTGAGGGGGGTCTGACTTTTTGTGACGCCGTGTGACGAAGGGGGGGGGGGGGGTCAAAAATCGCGTGACGTCATTTATGGACAGCCCCCAACCGGCGCTGTCAACAATTGTCCGAGCGGGTGCTGCCCTGATTTTACCCGTGTCAAAATGAACACGGACACAACGAGACGGGAGACGGATCCTGGCGGAGGACGGCACGTCGCTCGAGTCCGGTGTCCGTGTGCCGATTATTCATTGGCCACTCCAGGAACTCAATCAAGGCCAAATCGAGATGGTGGAGGGTCCAGGAGCCGGTAATATTTCGCTGTTCAGCGCCAATGTCAAACTACGTCCCCAAATACAACTGGGTATAGCTGGGTTTGTGGTTAAGAGTGGTTGAACTACAAAGCCATTACAGGCACCCTGTGCCCCCACCCCCCCACAACAGACAAACGCTGTGCCCCCCACAAAACACCCTGTGCCCCCCACCCTATACCACATAGAAGCACCGTGCCCCCCACAAATTGAAGTCACCGTGTGCCCCCCACCCCACAACACAGGCATCCTGTGCCCCCCCCCACAACAGACAAACGCTGTGCCCCCCACAAGACACCCTGTGCCCCCCACCCTATACCACATAGAAGCACCGTGCCCCCCACAAATCGAAGTCACCGTGTGCCCCCCACCCCACAACACAGGCATCCTGTGCCCCCCCCACAACAAACGCTGTGCCCCCCACAATACACCCTGTGCCCCCCACCCTATACCACATAGAAGCACCGTGCCCCCCACAACACACCACACACAGGCGGCCCATGTCCCAGAAACGCATTAAAATCTAGCTCGGAAAATAAATGGGTCACACGAGCCTGCCAGAGCGAGAGGCATTCAGGAGGAGCAATCCGGGCCCGGCTCGACGGGGCCCGGGTACTTGGTATGGTGTGGTGTGTAAACATCGTCATGCAGGAGTCGGGGTGCACGAGACGTTGCCTTTTGGCTGCTGGTTGATGACTAATACAAAACCAACATCGCAGGAGCTTTCGGAGAGTGTGTAGACCGCAGATTAATAGCATTCCACTTGTTTAACATAAAGGAATCCTCACCCAGTCTCCTTTTCCTAGGATCAGCAGGCAGTGAGTCATGCCGTGTCATCGACCAATTGGTGGTTTCCCCGCATTGGGAAGGTGACTGGTTACATGGCACGCGTGTGTCTGCATGTGTGGGGGAGCGGAAGCGCGGTGGTTAGCGCATTGCGCGACAAACCAGTGACTAGGGTTCGATTCCCACTCAAGGCAATCATCGATGATATCTAAACAAGTTCTGGGCCTCCCCTAGGTCGACTCAGCCTTAAATAAGTACCTGCTGCAGTGTGTTAATTATCAGCACTGGTTAGACAAAGGCGGCCGGGTGCCGTGTTGGCCGCCCACCCCATTCGTATGCTGTGCCGGCCTTCATAGGTGCTGTTTGCTAACAAAACTTGTCCCAACAGTCTGTTAAGGCTACACGGAGGATGCTGTATTTAGAGCGAGAGTGTCGCAGTTAGCGCGCTGCACTACGAACCTGGCAACCCGAGTGCGATTGATGCTCACGGCCAACAGCAGTAACAATTATCTGAACCGGTCCTGGGCATCCGCTAGGTCTACTCGGCCTCAAATGAGTACTTGGCATGGTGTGTAAACATCGCCATGCAAGAGACAAAGGTGGTCACGCGCGGTGCTGGCCATCCAACCCGTCATGTGCCCTGTCGGCCTTCATAGGTTCTTCCAACTAATAGCTCTTTCCCCAATGGAACAGAGTCCCGAACGGACAGGGTGACGAGGCGGTAGAGAGACCTCCTTCGAGACCTCCATGCACCGCCGTCACGGGAGGAAAGAGGGGACTGCAGCAGCAGCAGCGAACTCTCATCGTGAACAAAACATGAACGCACGCTCCAGTTATCCACACAGAGAGATCCCGGCCACAGTCAAGAGCGAGAAGAATTCAGGGCACCATCGGCTGCATGGTCTCGAGCAAGTCAGGAGGAGAATCGGCCAATGATAACGAGAGCCTTTTCTGTTGCACTTCTGCACAGTCCGGGCCCCCCTCCTCTTGCTCCTTCTGCTGCTCTCCCGGCCACCCGCTGCGGCCCCGGTCCTCCGCGCTCCTTCGCTTGCGCACTTGCAGGCCGCTCTTTGCGTCCGGCACCAGGGGCAGTGAACGCTGAGAAAGTTCCGGGTTGTCGTTGAAGAGGAGCATCTGCTCGTTGCGCGAATCCCACTCGTGCTGGCAGGTCTTTATGAGGTTATCAGCGTCCGACTCGCTCACGTTGAGGCCGTGGGCCACGGCGGCCACCCCGGCTGCCGTCACATGCACCAGCTCCGCCATGGAGAGGCCCGGCTCCGCGGGTCGGCGGTCCACAAGCCGGCCCAGCAGCGCCACGGTGAGGGCGCCTGACGGCCGAAGCCTTCGCCGCCAGTCGTACTCGACGTTTACGGACGAACACGACGCAGGGTCGACGGGGCCCGGGTCGACGGGGCCCGGGTCGACGGGGCCCGGGTCGACGGGGCCCGGGTCGACGGGGCCCGGGTCGACGGGGCCCGGGTCGACGGGGCCCGGGAGGCTCCTGATGTGCTCGAGGCAAAGGAGCCGCTGGTGGCGTGAATTCTTCTCGCTCTTGCAGGCCCGCATTATACTGCGAGCGTTACAATCGCTCAAGCCGAAGTAGCGGGCCACGACATTCTTGGCCTTTATCACGCGCTTCAGCTCGTTCATGGAGAGGCCCGGCTCTGTGGGTCGGCGGTCCACAAACCGATCCAGCAGCGCCTCGAAGGGACGGGGCCGTTTGTACTTGACGTCTACGGACGAACGCGACGTGGGGACGCCCGGGTCGAGGGGGCCCGGGTCGAGGGGGCCCGGGTCGACGGGGCCCGGGTCGAGGGGGCCCGGGTCGACGGGGCCCGGGATGCTCCTCCTGACGTGGCCGAGGCGAAGCAGCTGCTGGCGGCGCGATTCCCTCTCGCGCCGGCAGGCTTGCACGACGGGGAGAGCGTCCCGCGTGCTCACGCCGAGGCCGTGGGCCACGGCAGCCGCCCCGGCCTCCGTCACGTGCTCCAGCTGCTCCGTGGAGAGGCCCAGCTCCGCGGTTTGGTCGCCCGCGAGCTGACCCAGCAGCGCCGCGTCGAGGGTGTCCGACGGCCGAAGCCCCGGCCGGCGGTCGCCCTCGGCGGGGCCCGGGTCGACGACGGGCGGAGGGCGGGGGCGGCCGTCCGCGACGTCGTCGGTGGCGGCAGAGCGGTCCCGGCGGAGTTGGCGGTCGTGGTCCTCGGCGCGGCGGTACAGGGCGAGGAAGGAGTGGACGTCTCGGAGCTGCTGGCGGTTGTCCAGGACGCGGCCGCATGCCCCGGACACGAGTTCGGCGGCCTCCTCGCCGCCCAGCCAGCGCGCGAGCACCTCCGGTTGCTCCTCCGCCACCGCCTGGGTCCGAACACAAAGATCCCCCCGTGTAGGCTTTAACGGACTATTGGGGCAAGTGCACGTTAACAAGTAACACCGAAACCAGAGATAGACAAGCAAGCAGCATGCGCACGGCACCCATGCAAGGCACACACGGGGCACGCACACACGCGCACGTATCGCGCACAGGACACACAGCACATGAGGGACACAAAACACACACATACATAGTACATACACACATAGCTCGAACAGGACACACACAAAGCATGCACACAACACGCACAGACATAGTACACACATACACAGCATACGCACACATCAGACAGTAAAAACACACACAATAGATGCACCAATAAGTGGCGGTGACATCACCAAGGCACATGTGCCTTGTTAGGTGCTGTCTGTGCTTTAGCCACCCGATGCTCTGTTCATTGTTGTGAGCATTGCTCCTCTGTTGTTGCTAGAGGGCAACTGCCTCCAACTCCCCCGCAGCATCGTTCCCGAACCTCTTTCACAGAGGCCGATCTTGACACTGCTGGTACCAATCATCGGCAAGTCCACTCAGCTCCACATCCTTCTGTACCACATCACTCCATCTCTTCTTCAACCCGTTGCCGTGCCCGTTTAGCCCTCTAGCCGGCCGAACAGAAGCTGCTTGGGCATGCGGTGGCTGGGCATGCGGGCTACGTCACCCAGCCAACGCAGCCTTGCCTGCCGGGGTAGCTCACTGATGGAGCTGTGTCCAGCTCTTTCCAGGATATGTGAACTCCTCACACAATCTCGTCTGGTTAAACCCAGGATGGATCAAACAAGTGCAGATATTCCATTAGGGGGGGGGGGGGGGTCCACGTTTAGAAAGCATAGAAAAGGGGTTTAACTGTGCCCGAGAAGATCCAGACCTTTGTATGGAGAGGCCAGGTAGCTTCCACACAGCGTTACGCAGCTGATTAAAAGATAATCCTGCTCGACCGATTCGGAGTGAGACCTTGGCCACGAAACCGAAGCTGGTCATAAGCACACTGCCCAAGTATGGGAGCTTCTCCACAATTGGCCCCATCACTCTCAAGGTTGAGTTGCAGAAGGGGAGCATTCGATGGCATAAAATACCGAGGCAGGTGCTTTGTTTTTGTGAGGATGACGGTGAGACCCCCAAACTCTTAGTAGCATGCTCCAGGTTCAGCAGTAGCATCGCCAGACTCCTTCTCAGAGTAGGCAACAATCACCAGATCATCCACATACATATGGTTGACCAATTGGGAGCCATCCATTGCCCACACCCGGGCATCGATCAGCCTTCCATTATATCTATACCAAATGGGAATTCCACAGGTACATCCATGGAAGGCTTCTCAAACTACATGGTCAAAAACGAAGTTAAATACTGTAGGGGCCAAAGGACATCCTTGTGAAACCCAGAATCAGAATATGTATTTATACTGAAGGTATAAAGCTCGTTTTCACTGATGTCCAGTAGAGGCGGATCAGAATGTTACGCCAAAAAACAATACAAACACACGACAGGAGTGCAAAGCATGGGAACGGTAAACAAATCACTTATAAAATAAAAAAACCACTGTTTTTATCTTACCAGGTAAAGCCCACCGAGCAATTCACTTATTTTTCATTCGCGACCTGGCCACAAATTGTAGCATAATCAAGTGGCTTATCACGTGGAAATTTATAGCATAAAAAAACAAAATAATCTAAATGCATGCTTCTAAATGTGGAGGGAAAAACTGGAGGACCTGGAGAAAAAATCCACGTGACCACAGGGAGAACATGCAAACTCCAAATATACAGCAGGCGTCAGGGTCGCGTTCAAACCCCCGACCTCCTGCATACCAGGCGAGGAAGATATCACACCACTGCTCCCTTAAATAAATAACTTCAATAAGTTCACATTGCATTAGCACATCAAGGTGATCATAGAATGGCTCTGACACCCGGCCACGCACCTTTACCCCGGGCCTGCCCGCCATCATGAAGGTCCTTAATGATTGTGAGCAGACGGTCTGAGACACCAAAAACACGAAGAATAACTTATAGCCTTGGCTTATTGATGGTATCAAAGGCTTTGACCAAGGTCAATAAAGCAGAGATGTAGGTGCTGTTGAAATTCTCTACACCTCGACTGGTGCATACGGACACGAATGGAGATACCCCGGTAATTGTTGCAATCAGTGCGTTCCCCCTTTAAAAACATGGGGACCACCAGGGCATCCTTCCAATCCTATGAAACCCATTCTGTTGACCAGATGGTTATAATGATGTCCTATAGGGCAGTCTACACACACACAACACCCTCCCCTCGGCCGTTTTGCTTGGGAGGTCATCTTTCCCCGGTGCTTTAGCTGGTTTCAAGCTCCGGATTACCCTTCGCACTTCCTCAATACGATGGCACATCAGCGAACCACTCACGGGGAGAGGCTACCTCCTCCAATATTTGAGGCACAGCACAAAAGTACAAAAACACCAGGTCCACACATACACACATGATACAATTAAGTAGCATAGAAGTTTACGGGCATGAAACAAGATAAAGATCCACCGTGCAGCCTTAAACAGACTGCTGGGGCTAGTGCTATTAGTGAGCACCTATTAACGCCAGGTACGGCACGCGACGTGGTGGGTGGCCAACATTATGCTCATCCGCCTTTGGCTCCCCCCTCCAGTGCTGATGTTTACACACCACACCGGGCCCTAATCTAAAACCGAGGCGATCTCCATCAGCGTGCGTGAGCACGTACACGCAGCTGCAAGTCGGATAGGTTGATGATGAGTCCGAGGTCCCTGTGCAGCATTCGGGCCACCTCTTCGCTCTGGGATAGCGGCTTCCCATCCGTTTCCACCTCGTCATCCACACCTACAGGGGTCACAGGGGGGTCATGGGGGGGTCACAAAGGTTATTGGTCATGTAAACTTTGGAGGGAAAAAAAGAGACGATGGGGGAGGGAATTCCAGAGTGGAGCAGGGCGATGGAGAAAGCAGAAAGAGAAGTGTATTGTGGTGAGTGGGTGAGTGCATGAGCGAGTGGCTGAGTGTGTTGTTGTGACCTGCAGTGTGGCAGTGGTTGTGTTGTTTTTGTGGTTGTTGTGGTTCAGGAGGCCGGTCCCATCGTTTCACCAGCTGTGCGTGACGCGCCGTGCCCTCTGTGTGCTATATTGTGTTGTTGGTGCTACTCACGGGGCCGGTCCCATCGCTCTCCCGGCTGCAACAGCATGAGGCGTGAGTTCTTGTCCAGCAGCTGCAGGTACTCATCATCATCGACGATGGTGCCATCCTCCTCCAGCACCACCTCCACCTTGTCCGGAGCCGCATTCAGAGACAGCTTCACGCAGCCTTGTGGGGAGACACAACAATTGGCGGGCGCCCCTAAGTGACAGTGACATCACCGCGGTGCTTGTGTCAGGCCGGGTGCACCTTGAGAACAAGTTGCGTCTCAAAGGCTCACTGATAGGTCACGGTACAGATCCAGGTGTCATGGGTTGACTGAGATGACAAGCAGATGCTCCACCTGTGCCAGCTTGCTGGATGGCGACTACCTCCAACTGTCCAGTAGCCTCAAAGATGCACTTAGCGGTGTCACTTCCAGGCTGTAAAAAAGCGAACAATGTTGGTAACCCAGGTCACTCTTGCAAAACGAGGCTATCCTGGCCTCTTAAGAGCTCTCACCTTGGTTAAACTGTAACGCTGCTTACAGATAAGGGGCCGTCCATAAATGACGTCACGCACCTAGGGGGGGTCAGACGTTTGTGACGATGCGTGACGAAGGGGGGGGGGGTTGAGAAATGTGACGTCACATCAAAATATGTAACTTTAAATATAGACAACACGTTCTACTTAATTAAATAGACTTTTTCATGTTTTCTCCTACAACATCAGAGTGCAGCGCCACATTAAATACGCGCTACAATGATAATAGTTTAAAGCGATTTGAAGCTTGCTTTATATTGTTTTAGGGGGGGGGGGCAGAGCTTTGTCCAAAATCGCATGACGTCATTTGTGGACGGCCCCTAAGTTGATGATGAATCACTAAACTTAAAAAAACAAGAAAGCTAAACTCTTTATGAGCAGTGCTCTCTATTGCAAGGCCAGCGGGTCACTGGCGACCCCTTTGGTTGGGGCCTTTAGTGCGGCCCCAGACAATACACAATGTGAAAAACACCCCTCGCTGGCGGCGTGGCGGTCCTCAACACTGGCGAAAGTGCCCCTCACCTCTGCCATAGTGAAGAACACGGGTCTTAGAGCAACATTCCCCTCGCCGAGCCCTCAGCCACCCCGCCGGCCCAGCGGGCGGAGCGAGCCGTTGGCAATCGGAACTTCACACGAGTTAGAATCCTCGTCGGATGATGGGTTGACTCAACCCATCATCCCTCCCTCCAAGGGTCGATAAAACAGACACCTTTTTTGTCTGCCTATGACGGAACAGCGGTCGTCTAATGGATTAAAGTCGCTCGACCCACTTCCGGCTTCCGCAATATCAAACTTCCACAAAATGACACGGGAATCTGCAAACCCGAGCGAGCACCAAATCGCCCTGGCGCGCCGATGAAAAGCGGCGTCAAGTACGCGGGATTTGCACTTCGGATGTTCAAGGGCTCTGGTCCCGAAGGTCGAGAACCCCGAAAGTCAAAATGCGACACATCGCGAGCGGCCTCCGCTGCCCCTCGCTGCGAGGTCACCCCCGCACAAACCCGGGGTGCGTCTCAGGCAAGGCAGGCTCCCGCCTCGGCCTCGCCCGCGTCTACCCCCTCCCCCCGCGCCCGCCCGCGTCTCCTCACGTCCTCCCTCGCACCTTTCTGCCGCAGCTCTGGCAGGGAGGCGGCGACGAGGCCGTGCCAGGCCGCACGGCCCACGCCGCACACGCGGTAGGGCTGCCCGGGGGCCATGGTGTAACAAAGACGCGGTCCAGGTACGAGGCCACTCGCGGGGAAAAATGGCCGCCTCCTGTCATGTGCGGGGCGGGGCTGGGCGATACCAAAGGCAAAGGACCCCCGTGTAGCCTCAACAGACTGTTGGGGCAAGTGCTGCTACTCTATGAAGGCCGGAACGGAACACAGCTTCAGTTTTCAGTGTCAGTTTATTTTGGTATAGCCCTGTGAGCCATTCGGCTCTTGAATCGGGTGCAACCACAACAAACAAACAAAAAACAAAAACACGAACAAGAAAAACATCTTAAAGTGACTTTGTGTTGACTGTGCAAACAGAAAATCCATGGAAAAAAAAACCAGCAAAAATATTCCTGAAAAAAAGCACCGTACACCAACGCTGTGTGCAAAAAATCCCAGTGGGATGCAAGTCAAACAACAACAACACGAGGGCGTGGTTGGTTAGCACCACGCCCGGCCGCCTTTGTCTCCCCAGTGCTGATGTTCACACACACCGCAATAGGTCGTCAGTTTGAGGCTGAGTCGACCTAGGGGAGGCGCAAGACCGCTTCGGATAATCGTCACCGATGTTATTGGTCGTTAACGGGAAACGAAACTCGGGTCGCCGGGTTCATACAACAGTGGGGTAACCGCTGCGCCACCGCTCCCCAAAATAAATGACTAAATATAATAACGTCACACACACACACGTGCGCACATCCGCGCACAAGCTTACGACAATAACAAAGAACCACCGTATAATTCTAGATTTGAAGTTTTCGTGACTGCAATGATCCATACTCTTTGGTTCTTTCGGTAAAGTCACGTAGGTAAAAATAAAAATAAAGTTAATCAAATCACGACGTTTCGGAGGCAACGCAAGCTTCCGTCGCCAGGTGTAACTAGCACACCTGAAAGAACCAGAACCACCGTATAGCTGAGGCTGTTAGCGAGCAGCAGCACTTATGAAGGCCGGTACTGGCATTACTCCCTTTAACAACTGCAACAAAGATCCCCTGTGTAGCCTTAACAGACTGTTGGGGCAAGTGCTGTTAGCGAGGAGCAGCACCTGTAAAGACCGGACACTTTGGCAAACGAAGGGGTAAGGTGGCCAGCACCACGCCCGGCCGCCTTTAACAGAAACAGCAGCAATGACCGCTGCTCGCCACTAGGTGGCAGTGAAGTCAACACACATTCAGAATACAGGGACTCCCTCTACTTGCGAACAAGTTTACACACGTCGATTCCAAACATGTTGTACGGCGCGTACAATAAACATGGGGAATTACTTTAAACGATGTGTAATCTCCTGTAGATGTAGATGCCACTGCTTCTTCACGTTCTGCAGATGTAGATGCCACTGGTTCTTCACGTTCTGCAGATGTAGATGCCACTGGTTCTTCACGTTCTGCAGATGTATACGCCACTGGTTCTTCTTGTTCTGCAGATGTAGATGCCACTGGTTCTTCTTGTTCTGCAGATGTAGACGCCACTGGTTCTTCTTGTTCTGCAGATGTAGATGCCACTGGTTCTTCACGTTCTGCAGATGCCACTGGTCCTTCACGTTCTGCAGATGTACACGCCACTGGTTCTTCTTGCTCTACAGATGTAGACGCCACTGGTTCTTCTTGTTCTGCAGATGTAGATGCCACTGGTTCTTCTTGTTCTGCAGATGTAGACGCCACTGGTTCTTCTTGTTCTGCAGATGTAGATGCCACCACCGCCATCTATAGCGCGGCAATGACTCTCAGTCCAAACAGGCAACTGTACATACGGACAGGTTTGTTCGTATCTCTGAAAGTTATTAAGTCTAATGTTCGTAAGTAGAGCCCCTGTATCTATTTATGTATACTGGAGGAATCCGATCAACCATGAAGCTCTTTTTCCACAGATGTCCAGTAGGGGCACGGCTGTCAGAACTTTACAACCCAAACTTGTTTTTGCCAAGCTAGGTGCAGCCACGTTAAATATGGGAGGCCCTTGTTGCTGGCATGTCACGGGACAGGCCCCCAGGTATGATGGGTTGACTAAGATGGCTGACGGATGCACCTGCTGTGCTCCCCTACTGTCAATTCCCTACGTTTTATCCGCCTGGCGCCCCGCTCGTTGTTGTGAGCGTCACTCCTTCGCCCTCTGTTGTGGCCGGAGGGCGACTGCCTCCAACTGCCCAGGAGCGTCCTCCACGAGCCTCCTCCACAGAGGCCGATCGTGACACCGCTGGTACCAGTCATCGTCAAATCCACTCAGATCGATCATTATCTGATGAGAGATCTCCCTTAAGCATAATAAAATAAAGATCCCCCGTGTAGCCTTAACAGACTGTAGGGGCAAGTGCTGTTAGCGAGCATCAATGAAGGCCGGCAGGGGCACACGAGGGGGTGGGTGGCCAGCACCACGCCCGACCGCCTTTGTCTCCCCAGCAGCGATATTTACACACTGTACCAGGTACTCGTTTGAGGCCGAGTCGATCTCAGGGAGGAGGCCCAGGACCGGTTCAGACAATTGTCACCGGTGTTGACCGTGAGCGGGAATCGAACTCGGGTCGCTGAGTCCATAGGGCAGCGCGCGAGCCGCTACACGACCGAGGATTACCATAATCGTCACCATCGCACACAAACCACGCCAGCAAATTCAAACACGTGAGGTTGATGCAAAAAGAGGTCAGTGTGTGCAGAAGAGAACCATGGAGCATAAGACTCAATGGCCCATCAGAATCTAATACCAAAGGAACGGTGGTGCTATATTTATTTAAAGTTGCGCATTTTGAAGTGACGTCACATTTCTCAAACCCCCCCAGGTGCGTGACGTCATTTATGGACGGCCCCTAGGTGCCTGGTGGTGGATAGAGTGCACGTGGCTTATAACCCACCAGCACTGTGGAGGAGACGGTTGGTGGCTCTTCCTGCATAAATGTTGTGAAGCTCCCTTCCCGTGGGGGTTGAGGGCTTGCCAGGAAATGAGTACAGCAAGTGGACTAATTTCCACCTGTTTTCATCTGTACGGGGATATAAATTATTATTAAATTTTACTAGTTAAGGCCAACTGAGCTATATAGAATTTTTTTTAGAAGGAACCTCGCAAACACAAATTATATTAGCTCATCTGAGTGGTTTATCATGTTGAACGTGTTAGCAGCCAAATACTTTCTAAATGTGGCGGGGAAAACCGGGAGGACCCAGAGAAAAATCCACGGTACCATGGCGGGGGGGGGGGACAGACTCCGCAAACTCCAAATATACAGCAGGCATCAGGCTCGGGATGGAACTCACGACCTCCTCCATACCAGGCGAAGAAGTTAACATCTTTGCCACTACGGCACCCTTTTCGTGTTGTTCCCTTGCACATGTGTGTTTTCTCAGGGTGCTCCGATATCCTCCTGCTTGTATAAACTCACCGGCTGAAAAGATCTTAAAATAAGAACCCCGACGTAGCAGGACCCTCCTGAAATAAAAAAAAAACTGGGCACATGGGGTGGAGTGTGTAAACATCGCCGCACGAGAGACAAAGCTTGTTGAAGACTATAGCGGCGGAGCTGTTCGATCTCAAGGGATTCTCCACGCGTGGAGCATTTTAATTAAGAACTCGAACATTTGAGATTAATGCTAGTCATATTTACATCATCACCGTTACATTCTTGAAACCAGACGGCGCAACCGAGGCACTACAATCATCACTCTCACTCCGTCCCCACCGTGACCACGGGTACAACAGGTCGACCCGTCGCAGTGAGCAGCTCCAGGGTCCAACCCTGCCAATCCATTGCTGGATGGCGGCCTCTCCGCGCCAATCAGGCCGTGGAGACCAACAAACCATACTTCACCATGCTGGTCAGAGCGGCTTGGTAGATGTGGGAAGCGCGCACGTTGGGAGCACGGTTAAGGTACGATGCTGCACCGCCCTCTGCCGATCGCAATGAAGCCGCAGCAGCAGCAGCCTCCAGCGCCTGCTGCTGGGCACGGCGCTCGACCGATCAGAGCTCGAACTCCCTCGACACCGTGACGCGGGACGAGGTGGGGTGGCGGGTGGTGAGGGTGACAAGGTGGGGCGCCATGCGGTGAGGTATGAGGTGGGTTGACGAGCGGTGGGGTGGCGAGGTGGGGCGCGGTGCGGTGATGTGAGAGGTTAACCTGGAGACCGCATGCGAGCGCAAGACGCAAGCCAACAGCGACGACGAGATGAAGCCATCAGAACAGAACAGCGCAGGCCGGGAAATCCGTACGTGCGAGAGGCTACTCCACGAATATCGCACCCGGATGCAGACAGCACTGGTGACTTACTACAGTGCCGATAAGTCCTAATGCGAACAAAACCGGTCCACAGTTGCCTTCCACGGAACCGTTGCCGGGGGTCGCGGTCACATTCGCTCCAATTGGGTGAGTGAACGGGTGGGTGACTGGGTAGATGAGTGGATGAAAGGGTGAGTGAATGAGGGGGTATTGCGAGTGGGTGAATGGGTGGTTGAGTGGGTGAATGAGTGGTTGAATGAGTGAACAGATGGGTGAGTGACTGGTTGAATGAGTGAGTGAACAGATGGGTGAGTGACTGGACGAGTGAGTGACTGGACGAGTGAATGAGCGGGGTGAATGACTGGGTGAGTGCATGAGCGGGTGAATGGGTGAGCGACTGTGTGAGCAAGTGGGTGCGTTGCCGTCTCCTGCTGTAGACTGGTGGTGGAACGCGGTGTGGTTGAGACAAAACAGTCGGCGTTTTTTGGCAGAGCGAGTCCGCAAGTAGAGTTCGGCTCACGGGAACAGTAACCGACGTAGTAGTTGTAGTTCGCATTGAAGAGTGATTCGGGGGCGGCTGGATAATCCCGCCAGCGCTACTGCTGCTGCTCCCCGCGGGGTACGACCCAGGGGGGCAGTGTGGCTGTGAGCCGGGGAGCACTCCACCCCAGATGAGGCCCCAGACGCGACGACGGTCAGAGCGCAGACAACCACGCTAACGGCTGCCGCGGATTTCCAAGCGACGCCGCTGCGGGGCGACACACGACGGAGCTGTGCGAAACTCGGGTCTCGACACGGCAAACGCCAGGTACGTGTTGCACAGTTCGCATCGCCTCCAGTCGCCTGGCAACAGCGTTGCTTGAAGTTGCTCGGTTGGAGGCCGCTGGGGTTGCTTGTGCTGCTATGCCGTTGCATCACTTGCAAGCTCGAAGTAGTTCCGGTGAGTCTATAAGTTGCCGAGAGTTCCTCCTAAGCTGACGTCATAAACGAGCCGATGAGTAAAGCACGAGTTGTAGTGTCACAGCTGGCTGTTTAAACGTTGCCCTGTTGACGTTCGTCCTAGTTGCACGGTTGGTTGCAGGAACTCAAGTTTATGTTGCTGTTGTTGCACCACTCCGAGCTGGGGGGGAGGGGGAGGAGGTCGTGGCGTCGGGTTGATTTTGTGTAACCAGCTGAGGACAGGGGGCGTCATTTACAAGTGACCTGGGGTCGCTTACAAATGCTCAACCCAAGTTACTTTAGTTGGATCAAACAAAGTTCAGGTTGCTCTGCTACATCTTTGTCGTTGCATCGCGAAAGTTGGTTGTTGTAGTTGCCTGTGGTTGAAGTAGCTGGGTTGATAAGTCAATAGAAGTTGCTCTGTTGCAGACTTGGCGATCTGAACGCAACGTGGTGAGTGTGTTACGGTGTGTTTCTATGTGCTAATCTGTGCATACACGTGCCCATGTGTGTCCACGTGAATACGGGAGAGGAGGATGTGGCGCTGAGTGGACTTGCCAGTGACCGGTACCAGCGGTGTCTAGATTGGCATCTGTGGAAAGGGCTCATGAGCGATGCGACTGGAGCAGTTGGAGGCAGTCATCCTCCAGCAACAACAGAGGGCAGAGGAGCAACACTCACAACAACGACCGGAACATCGGGCAGCTAAAATGCAGAGAGTTGGCACACTGGGGAGCACAGCTGGTGCATCTACCCGTCATCTCAGTCCGTCAACCCATGACACCTGGGTCTGTCTTGTGACCTGCCAGCCAGCCTTTGACATTTCACGTGGCTTCAAGCTGCACCTAGTCTGGCACAAGCGCCACGGTGATGTCACCGCCATTTAGTGGCGAACTGAGCCTGGTGTGTGTGTGTGTGTACATGTCTTGTGTGTGCATGTGTGGCTGTGTGCGCGTGTGTGCGTGTACGTGTGTCAGACAGGCAGCGTTTTGCTGACTGTGCGTTTAACTGCTGAGGAGAAGAGACTTGTGAAGAACTGCAGTCCAGCCTGGCCCCCAGGAATGTAACTTATCAGATACCTGCGAACAACAGAGAGCAGGTCGAGCCTCTGGTTAGCGAGAGCCTATTAAAGATAGGGGGTGCAGTAGCTGGCGCATTGCGCTACACTCCGACCACAGCAAATACTCAAGATTCTCAGACTCAAGCTATTATTTCAGCTGGCAAGGCCCCATTGAGCTAAGCAGCTCAGTTACAAGCACGACCATAGGACAAGGCCATTGGCAGTGATGGCAGTTGCAGGACATCGCAGTTACATAGAGACCCATATAGTTACATAGAGACCCATAGAGTTACATAGAGATACACCGAGTTACATCGAGACCGATAAGACTTATAGAGATACAAATAGTTACACAGAGATCCATAGTTACAATGAGATCCACAGTTACACAGATCAACATAGAGTTACATAGAGATCCATAGAGTTACACTGAGATCCACAAGAGTCACAGAGACTCAGAGATCACAGCCCAATGACGTTGGCAGTGGCAGAAGCCACAGGACACCGTAAGGTGAAGGGAACGTGCCAACTCGCAAGCAGCAAAGACGACAACAGCAGCAGCAAGTTATTTACACGAAACCCACACTAGGACCGCAGGCAGGCTGAACGATAATCAGCGCCTGCATACAAACCAACAGAGCAATGTGTCGACAACTCCTGTCGCAGACGTTCACGGTCAACCAAAACTGAGCCCACAGCCCTCGGGGGTAGACCGGAGCCTGGCCACAGCATCCCACAATGACAGTGGCAGCAGGCGAGCGCCCCTGTGGCGCAGCGTTGACACGCGCGGTGCGTGACGGCGCGTTTGATGGCCAGATCACTTCTGAGAGAGAGCCATATAGCTCAGTTGGCCTTACCACTACAGGCAGCCACGTGCAGCGTAACCGCCACCACCACCACCACCGGCAGCCAGACGCAACCCAAGGGTCTACCACCGCTCTGCGTGGAGGCGTCCACCGGTCAGCAGCTTCATCAATCACAGAGGCGCCCAAGTTCCGGAAAGAGGGCAACTTGACAGTGGTGAGCGGGTTGCAGCGACCGCATCGGCACATACGTCGGCAAGCGCCTATTAAGGCCAGCGCTCCGCACAGCAAGGGGCAGTGAGGTCCCGTTGCCGCCCCCCCCCACCCCCCCGAGCCAGCACTCGTCTCCCCCCCAGCGGCGACGTTTTATATACGCGACACATCGGGTACTCGTTTAAAGACGAGTCGACCTAGGAGAGGGCCCAGACCAAAATTACTCCCCCCGCCCCCGGAGCCTTACCAGAGCAGGGCGACCATCTGCACAATGGCTCCCACAGAGGTGAGCAGCGTACTCTGCATCTGCAGACACATGGCCAGACGGACGCAGAGACAGGTGATTAGACAGGGAGACAGACAATTTAAACACAAAGACAGGCAAATAGACAATTAGACACAGAGACAAAGAATTTGACACGAGACAGCAAATTTGACACAAGGGACAGGCAGACAAATATCAACGATGTTGAATATGAAATCTTCACCGCTCCCCCAATGCAGGACCGCTGAGAAGTAAAACTGTAAACAAACACATCACAAGATTCTTGAATAGGACCTGAGTCCCGATTTGCGAGAGGTCACCAGGTCCGCCAGGGATGCGGATCAATGGCCATTCACTGGGTTTGGGGCAGGCTGCCATGGTGAGCAATATGGAACAGAACTGGGCTGTTCCTAGGCTGTTCCTGGACTGTTCTTGTGGTGTTCCTGGCCTGCTCTTGGGCTATTCCTGGTCTGTTCCTGGTCTATTTCTGGGCTGTTCCTCGTCTGTTCCTGGGCTGTTCCTAGGCCATCGAGCCAGTTCCCAGCAACTGCATAAAAGTATCAAGAACAGAGGACCTCAATTAGTAGTATTCAAGACTCTCCTCCTGTGTACGACTGGGGCTCCGGATACCAAACTATGGAGTGTGTAACTCCACATGAAGGTTGTGGGGGTACGGGTGGGCGTTATGCGGGCGGGTGGTGGGCGCATAGGTTGGGTTGGGTGGGTTGGATTGGGTGGGCAGATTTATGAGTGGCCAGATGAGTGACTTATTGGGTAGGTGGATGGATGGATGAGTGAGTGGGTGAGTAGTTGGGTGGGTTGGATGGTGAGTGAATGAGTGGATGGGTGAGTGTGCATAGCTCCAATTCAACTCTCAGACAAAGCAACTGAATGGCTAAACCAGACCTAAATCTCCAATGGTTGCTCTTCATTGGCTGTACGCAAAAAGATGACCCCGTGTGTTACATCGCATAATTGTGTCAGTGTACCCTGGTGCATCACATTGTCTGTGTCGGCGAACTCTGCGTGCACGGTGCAACTTGGAGAACGTGGAACTGAAGCCATACTGTAATGCGATGGCCTCAATGTGCACCTAGCCTGTGTTGACGTCACCACCACTTCGTGGAGAATGGTGGCTGTTGTATCAGTGCGCGCGTCACTGTGAGGAGTGGTACTGTCGCAGTTAGTGCGCTGCGCTACGAACCCGGTGACCCGAGTTTGATTCCCGCTTACGGCCAACACCAGTGACAATCTTGGGCCTCCCCGAGGTCGACTCAGCCTCAAATTAGTACCTAGTGCGGTGTGCAAACAAATGCTGCTGGGCGTGGTGCTGGCCACCCACCGCCTCGTGTGCCGTGTCGACCTCAATAGGTGCTCGCTAACACCACTTGCCCCAACAGTGTTACAGGCTATAAGGGGGATCTTTGTCTTTGTGTGTTGTTCCTGCATGCGTGTCATATTTGTGTCACTATTTCTGGGGGTGTGTGTGATTGTGTATGTCACTGTGCGTCACTGCGTGCCACTGTGTGCGAGTCAGTGTATTTCCGTGTGCGTCACTGCACATGCCACTGCGCGTGTCACTGTGCGTATCACTGCGCATGCCCCTGCGCCTATCACTGCGTGTGCCACTGCGCATATCACTGCAACTTCACGTGCCAATGTGTGTCAATGCGTGTGCCACTGCGCGTGCCGATGTGTGTGCCAGCGCACCCAGAGTGCGAAGTAGAGGGTGAACACCATGGAGCCGAAGTAGGCGGCGGTGAACGGGAGGCGCTCGGAGGAGCAGAGGTGCCGCACGTGGCTCCAGGGGCCCCACAGCAGTGAAAAGCTGCACACAGACACGTGCCTTAACACACTTCCGGGCCAAGTGCTGTTAGCGAGTAACAGCACCCACGAAGGCCGCCTTTGTCTCCCCAGTTGTTATTGTTTAATACAAAGCACATTGGGTACTCATTTAGGGCTGAGTCGACCTAAGGGTGGCCCTGGACCATTTCAAATATTCGTTAGTGATGTTGGTCCCACCACACACAACACCCCTCCACAATAGCCGTCACCACGGCTATTGTGCTAAGCCGCGTGCACCTTGAGGCCACGTGAAGTGTTGAAGGCTCGCCAACAGGTCACAGGACAGACCCAGGTGCCATGGGTTGACCGAGATGAATGGCAGATGCACCACTTGTGCCCCCTACTGTACCAACTTGTTGCAATTTATCCGTCTGGCGCTCTGCTCGTTGTTGTGAGCATCGCTCCTCTGCCCTCCACTTTTGTTGGAGGGCGACTGTCTAGCCTGTAACAGACTGTTGGGGCAAGCGTTGTTTGCGAGCACCTATGCAGGCCGGCACGGTACACGAGGGGGTGGATTGCCAACACCACGCCCGGCCGCCTTTTTCTCCCCAGTGGCAATATTTACACACCACACCAGGTACTAATTTTTGGCTGAGTCCACCTAGGGGAGGCCCAGGCCCAGGGCAGATAATAATATTCAATGGTCTTGGCCGTGAGCGGGAATCGGACTCGAGTCGTCAAGTTCGTAGCGCAACGCACTCACCGCTACGCTACACAAACTCGTGTACACACAACACCTGCTGATCACGAAGAGGCTGCCCATGGTGTAGAGGAGAGCGAACTTGCGCGCCTTCAGCAGCATGAAGGGGGCGTACATCGCTGCCTGCACGACAGAGACAAAGATCCCCCGTGTAGCCTTGACAGATTGTTGGGGCAAGTGCTGTTGGCGAGCAGCACCTACGAAGGCTGGCACGGCACATGAGGGGGGGGGGTGGTGTGGCTGGCCAACACCACGCCCGCCCACCTTTGTTTCCCCAGCGCAGATGCTTATCACACATCGCACCAGGTCCTCCTCTCGATCGAGAGGAGGCCCAGGACCTGTACCGTGTCTCTCGAGTTTCATTCCTTGCAAAAGGTTTCCGTGTGGTGTTGGAACAACCTTAACGCCTCCTGTTTTATTGCCAGAAAGAGTAAAACCTATTCTTATATCTCTATAGTTTGCATGGTCTGGCGTATAATAGAATGTTTGAAGAGACTCGCGGTATTGCTCCGTCTCAATGTCCGTCTCCTCCGCACTGTGTGTCCGGTTCCCAGCCTCCTCACGACATTCGTCTGGTGGCTCAGCGGTGGAGCGAGCAGCTCGCAATCGAAAGGTCGGGAGTTCAAAACCTGGTTCGGGGGGAGTTGACTCGGCCCAACATCATCATCTCTCCCTCGGGGGTCAATAAAACGATGGCATCCACTTTGTGGCGCTATCAACAGCGGTTTTCCTATGGATAGACTGGGAATGTGGAGTTTCCACCACTGACTCAGGGCTGTAAAACGGGAACCCGCTCACTCTTGGGGTACGCAGTGCGGCCCGCAACCCCAGCGCTGTGGAGGCACCGGCGAGGACGTTGTTGTGAAACGCCCTTCCACCCATGGGGATCGAGGAGGAGCCCGTGATAGCCTTACTCGCCAGGAGAAGGCAGCACAGCAAGTGGACTGATCTCCATCTGTACGGAGAGGTGGATTGAACGTCGCTCCCCCCCCCCTCTACTCTGGTTAGGTGATGGAGTTATCTCCTCCCACATGAATAAGAAACGCTCATCATCAATGGGATCTTTAACAAATAACAGCACCCTCGTGAATGACCCAGTGTGGCTCTCCTGGATGAATAAGAGAATAAAAGTATTTGTTTAAATTGGTTATGAAAGGTGCCTTGGTGAGTGATGAACCTGGACAGCCTCACCAGGGAGAAGCAGAAGATGCCCATCGCGATGAAGCCCACAAAGCCGACGATCCTCTGCTTCTTGGACTGGGAATTGAGAGACAGATAGACACACAGACAGTCACACAGACAGACAGCCTCGCAGATATACACACAGATAGACAGCCTCACAGATAAACACACAGATAGACAGCCTCACAGATAAACACACAGATAGACAGCCTCACAGATATACACACAGATAGACAGCCTCACAGATATACACACAGATAGACAGCCTCACAGATATACAGAGAGACAGCCTCACAGATATACAGATATACAGATAGACCGCCTCACAGATATACACAGACAGACAGCCTCACATATATACACACAGATAGACAGCCTCACAGATATACACACAGATAGACCGCCTCACAGATATACACAGACAGACAGCCTCACAGATATACACACAGATAGACAGCCTCGCAGATTTACATACAGATAGACAGCCTCACAGATATACACACAGATAGACAGCCTCACAGATAGACAGCCTCACAGATATACACACAGATAGACAGCCTCAGAGATATACACACAGATAGACAGCCTCACAGATAGACAGCCTCACAGATAGACAGCCTCACAGATATATACACAGAGATACAGCCTCACAGATATACACACAGAGAGACAGCCTCACAGATAGACAGCCTCACAGATAGACAGCCTCACAGATAGACAGCCTCACAGATATACACACAGATAGACAGCCTCGCAGATATACACACAGACAGACAGCCTCACAGATAGACAGCCTCACAGATAGACAGCCTCACAGATATACACACAGAGAGACAGCCTCACAGATAGACAGCCTCACAGACAGACAGCCTCACAGATAGACAGCCTCACAGATAGACAGCCTCACATATATACACACAGATAGACAGCCTCACAGATATACACACAGATAGACAGCCTCACAGATATACACACAGACAGCCTCACAGATATACACACAGATAGACAGCCTCACAGATAGACAGCCTCACATATAGACAGCCTCACAGATATACACACAGACAGACAGCCTCACAGATAGACAGCCTCACAGATAGACAGCCTCACAGATATACACAGAGACAGCCTCACAGAGAGACAGCCTCACAGATATACACACAGACAGCCTCACAGATAGACAGCCTCACAGATAGACAGCCTCACAGATATACACACAGATAGACAGCCTCATAGATAGACAGCCTCACAGATAGACAGCCTCACAGATATACACACAGACAGCCTCACATATATACACACAGATAGACAGCCTCATAGATATATACACAGAGAGACAGCCTCACAGATATATACACAGAGAGACAGCCTCACAGATAGACAGCCTCACAGATAAGACAGCCTCACAGATATATACACAGAGAGACAGCCTCACAGATAGACAGCCTCACAGACAGACAGCCTCACAGATATACACACAGATAGACAGCCTCACATATAGACAGCCTCACAGATATACACACAGACAGACAGCCTCACAGATAGACAGCCTCACAGATAGACAACCTCACAGATATACACACAGAGAGACAGCCTCACAGAGAGACAGCCTCACAGATATACACACAGACAGCCTCACAGATAGACAGCCTCACAGATAGACAGCCTCACAGATATACACACAGATAGACAGCCTCATAGATAGACAGCCTCACAGATAGACAGCCTCACAGATATACACACAGACAGCCTCACAGATATACACACAGATAGACAGCCTCATAGATATATACACAGAGAGACAGCCTCACAGATATATACACAGAGAGACAGCGTCACAGATAGACAGCCTCACAGATAAGACAGCCTCACAGATATATACACAGAGAGACAGCCTCACAGATAGACAGCCTCACAGATATACAATATAAAGACCCCCCGTGTAGCCTTAACAGACTGTTGGGGCAAGTGCTGTTAGCGAGCACCTATGAAGGCCGGCACGGCACACGAGGGGGTGGGTGGCCAGCACCACGCCCGGCCGCCTTTGTCTCCCCATTTGAGACTGAGTCGACCTAGGGAAGGCCCAAGACCGGTTCAGATAGTTGTCACCGGTGTTGGCCATGAGGTGGACTTAGTGGAGTTGTGAGAAGGTGGCGTCGAAGGTGGAGTTGTTGTGAGAAGGTGGAGTCGAAGGTGGAGTTGTTGTGAGAATGTGGAGTTGCTGTGAGAAGGTGGAGTCGAAGGTGGAGTTGAAGGTGGAGTTGTTTTAAGAAGGTGGAGTTGTTGTGAGAAGGTGGAGTTGTTGTGAGAAGGGGGAGTCGAAGGTGGAGTTGTTTTAAGAAGGTGGAGTTGTTGTGAGAAGGTGGAGTTGTTGTGAGAAGGGGGAGTCGAAGGTGGAGTTGTTTTAAGGTGGAGTTGTTGTGAGAAGGTGGAGTTGTTGTGAGAAGGGGGAGTCGAAGGTGGAGTTGCTGTGAGAAGGTGGAGTTGCTGTGAGAAGGTGGAGTTGTTGTGAGAAGGGGGAGTCGAAGGTGGAGTTGAAGGTGGAGTTGTTTTAAGAAGGTGGAGTTGTGAGAAGGGGGAGTCGAAGGTGGAGTTGCTGTGAGAAGGTGGAGTTGCTGTGAGAAGGTGGAGTTGTTTTAAGGTGGAGTTGAAGGTGGAGTTGTTTTAAGAAGGTGGAGTTTCTGTGAGAAGGTGGAGTTGTTTTAAGAAGGTGGAGTTGAAGGTGGAGTTGTTTTAAGAAGGTGGAGTTGCTGTGAGAAGGGGGAGTCGAAGGTGGAGTCGCTGTGAGAAGGTGGAGTCGCTGACCAGGCTGGGAATGATTCCGTCTCCCCGCGACGGAGGCGCCGTCTCCCTCTCCTCCGCCGTGGCCCAGGGGAGCAGGCGGCCGGGCCAGGCCCAGGCCGAGCGCTGCGGCCCTCGCCCGGACCCGGCCGCTGCTCCTTGCGAGGCGGCCCCGGGCCCGGGCCGCGAGGAGGAGGAGGAGGATGAAAGCAGCAGGTACTCCTGCAGGTCTCGACTCAACTCCGCCATGGGACTCCCTTCCACGTCTCCCACCACCACCACAACAACAACGTTTCCGGGACGTTTGTGCCAGGCTAGGTTCACCCGTCAATGGCCACGTCTCCACACCAACCCCCCTCACAAACCTTACAAACAGCGGACGCGCGACTCGGAAAGTGTCGATTACGATCGGATCGATTCCCCGATACAGCGCGTGTTGTAGACGGAAAGGGGATCGTCGATCCCGAGAGTGGTGGCAGGAATGTGCGAAATCGATTTGGGGTTTTAACTTTCCTTACGGGTGTAATCCTTCAAGCACTGCCGTCAATGCGATGCTCATTCGCACGTTGAGGCTCATTTGAGGGAGCAACATGACAGTCGAGGAACCTTGCTACAAACGAGACGCCTATAAATGCTACAGAGGCGCAGAGCGGAACCGATTCATTGGCCCCACTGGGTTCGCTTAATCGCGACGAACTATTCGTTCGTCGCTGCTGGCTAGGGAGATTTGTATTCTCATCGGATTTGCCGCTTTCGTGACTGCAGGAATTACTCTTTGTTTTTTTTGTTTTTTTCGGTAAAGTCACGTAGAAATGAGAAGTAATAAAAATTAGCTTTGTATTCTCATCGGATTCCTCCAGTCGCAGTAAAGATTCAGGTTCTGACAAACAACGCGTCCGAGTTTCTTTTTTTCCAACAACAACGTTCCCGACAAAATCACGAAATCGTCGAGGGTAATGTTCCACTCGTCGACGCGTCGCCCCCACTGCAAACACTGGGCGGCCATCTTACCTAGGGGAAGAGGAGTGCAATGGCGACCATCTTACCTGGGTGTGTGTGGGTGGGTTCAATGTGAACCTGACGACCATCTTACCTGGGTGTGTGTGTGTGGGGGGGGTCAATGTGAACCTGGCGACCATCTTACCTGGGTGTGTGTGTGGGGGGGGTGGTCAATGTGAACCTGGCGACCATCTTACCTGGGTGTGTGTGTGGGGGGGTGGTCAATGTGAATCTGGCGACCATCTTACCTGGGTGTGTGTGTGTGGGGGGGTCAATGTGAACCTGGCGACCATCTTACCTGGGTGTGTGTGGGGGGCTCAATGTGAACCTGGCGACCATCTTACCTGGGTGTGTGTGGGGGGGTCAATGTGAACCTGGCGACCATCTTACCTGGGTGTGGGTGGGGGTGTCAATGTGAACCTGGCGACCATCTTACCTGGGTGTGTGTGGGGGGAGTCAATGTGAACCTGGCGACCATCTTACCTGGGTGTGTGTGGGGGGAGTAAATGTGAACCTGGCGACCATCTTACCTGGGTGTGTGTGTGTGGGGGGGGGGGTGGTCAATGTGAACCTGGCGACCATCTTACCTGGGTGTGTGTGGGGGGGTCAATATGAACCTGGCGACCATCTTACCTGGGTGTGGGTGGGGGTGTCAATGTGAACCTGGCGACCATCTTACCTGGGTGTGTGTGGGGGGGTCAATGTGAACCTGGCGACCATCTTACCTGGGTGTGTGGGGGGGGCTCAATGTGAACCTGGCGACCATCTTACCTGGGTGTGTGGGGGGCTCAATGTGATCCTGGCGACCATCTTACCTGGGTGTGTGTGGGGGTGGGGGTGTCAATGTGAACCTGGCGACCATCTTACCTGGGTGTGTGTGTGGGGGTCAATGTGAACCTGGCGACCATCTTACCTGGGTGTGTGTGGGGGGCTCAATGTGAACCTGGCGACCATCTTACCTGGGTGTGTGTGTGTGGGGGGGTCAATGTGAACCTGGCGACCATCTTACCTGGGTGTGTGTGTGGGGGGGTGGTCAATGTGAATCTGGCGACCATCTTACCTGGGTGTGTGTGTGTGGGGGGGTCAATGTGAACCTGGCGACCATCTTACCTGGGTGTGTGTGGGGGGCTCAATGTGAACCTGGCGACCATCTTACCTGGGTGTGTGTGGGGGGGTCAATGTGAACCTGGCGACCATCTTACCTGGGTGTGGGTGGGGGTGTCAATGTGAACCTGGCGACCATCTTACCGGGGTGTGTGGGGGGGGAGTCAATGTGAACCTGGCGACCATCTTACCTGGGTGTGTGTGGGGGGAGTCAATGTGAACCTGGCGACCATCTTACCTGGGTGTGTGTGTGTGTGGGGGGGGGGGGGGGTGGTCAATGTGAACCTGGCGACCATCTTACCTGGGTGTGTGTGGGGGGGTCAATGTGAACCTGGCGACCATCTTACCTGGGTGTGGGTGGGGGTGTCAATGTGAACCTGGCGACCATCTTACCTGGGTGTGTGTGGGGGGGTCAATGTGAACCTGGCGACCATCTTACCTGGGTGTGGGGGGGGGGCTCAATGTGAACCTGGCGACCATCTTACCTGGGTGTGTGGGGGGCTCAATGTGATCCTAGCGACCATCTTACCTGGGTGTGTGTGTGGGTGGGGGTGTCAATGTGAACCTGGCGACCATCTTACCTGGGTGTGTGTGTGGGGGTCAATGTGAACCTGGCGACCATCTTACCTGGGTGTGTGTGGGGGGCTCAATGTGAACCTGGCGACCATCTTACCTGGGTGTGTGTGTGGGTGGGGGTGTCAATGTGAACCTGGCGACCATCTTACCTGGGTGTGTGTGTGTGGGGGGGGTCAATGTGAACCTGGCGACCATCTTACCTGGGTGTGTGTGGGGGGGGTCAATGTGAACCTGGCGACCATCTTACCTGGGTGTGTGTGGGGGGGGTCAATGTGAACCTGGCGACCATCTTACCTGGGTGTGTGTGGGGGGGGGGGGGGGGGGTTCAATGTGAACCTGGCAACCATCTTACCTGGGTGTGTGTGGGGGGGTTCAATGTGAACCTGGCGACCATCTTACCTGGGTGTGTGTGGGGGGGGGGGTTCAATGTGAACCTGGCGACCATCTTACCTGGGTGTGGGCCGGGGGGTCAATGTGAACCTGGCGACCATCTTACCTGGGTGTGTGTGGGGGGGTCAATGTGAATCTGGCGACCATCTTACCTGGGTGTGTGTTGGGGGGGGGGGTCAATGTGAATCTGGCGACCATCTTACCTGGGTGTGGTTGGGGTTCAATGTGAACCTGGCGACCATCTTACCTGGGTGTGTGTGGTTGGGTGGTCAATGTGAATCTGACGACCATCTTACCTGGGTGTGGGGTAAGGGGGGGGGGTCAATGTGAACCTGACGACCATCTTACCTGGGTGTGGGGTCAATGTGAACCTGGCGACCATCTTACCTGTGTGTGTGTGGGGGGGTCAATGTGAACCTGGCGACCATCTTACCTGGGTGTGGGGCAATGGGGGGAGGGTTCAATGGGAACCTGGTGGACATCTTGCCAAGGGCCGGAGTTAAATGTCAAGCTGGCGGATATCTTATCTAGGGGGTGGGGGTTATATGTGACTCTGGTGGCTATCTAACCTGGGGGGTGGGGGGTGTTGGGAGTTCAATATCAAGCTGGCGGACATCTTATCTCGGGGCGCGGGGCGATGAGTTCAATTGGACATCTGTGAATAAGAGCTTTACAGCTCATCGGATTCCTCCAGTAAAAATATTCAGAATTTGAATCTGACGCCCATCTTATCCAGGGGAGAATTTCAAGGCATTAAGTCATAAACTCATCAGAACTAATCTTTCCCTTACCAGCAGGCACATGGCGATGCACACATCCACTATTAGCCACTATTACCCAAGGGTTGTCCATAAATGATGTCATGCACCTGGGGGGGTGGGTTTGAGAAATGTGACGTCACATCAAAATGCGCAACTTTAAATGAATATAGACAACACGTTCTACTTAGTTAAAGACTTTTAAATGAATGTTTTCTCCTACAACATCAGAGTGCAGCGCCACATTAAATACGCACTACAATGAAAATAGTTTAAAGCGATTTGAAGCATATTCTTGGTTCTTTCGGTAAAGTCACGTAGAAGGAAAACAATAAAATAATAAATATATCAATATTATTTTATTGTTTCCCTTCTACGTGACTTTACCGAAAGAACCAAGAATATGAATCCCTGCAGACACGAAAGCTTTAAATCGATTTGAAGCATGTTTTATTTTGGGGGGGGGGGGGGGGCAGAGCTTTGTGACGTCATATTTGAGGGGGGGGTCTGACTTTTTGTGACGTCGTATGACGAAGGGGGAGGGGGTAAAAAAATCGTCCAAAATCTCGTGACGTCTTTTATGGACGGCCCCCAAGTAGAATACGACGTTACAATTGCGATGCGTTATGGAGAGGTTAAAGGTTAAACTGACGAGGATGGACACGAACGATATTTTCAGAAAGCGTACAAAAAAACAAATCAACCACAATACTCAAAACGATATCCAGACCCGCAATGTAAACATCACCATGGCGACGTAAACAGCACGAGACATGGGGCATAGCGCACACGGATAGCACTCGGATACCCTCCTCGCAGGTTGGGCTGAGCTAGCGTGGCTCGGCCTAGGCTCTGCTGGGCTAGCGTGGCTCGGGCCAGGCTCTGCTGGGCTAGCGTGGCTCGGCCTAGGCATTGCTGGGCTAGTGTGGCTCAGCCTAGGCTCTAGTGGGCTAGCGTGGTTCGGCGTAGTTTCCGCTGGGCTAGCGTGGCTCGGGCTAGCCTCTGCTGGGCTAGCGTGGCTCGGCCTAGGCTCTACTGGGCTAGCGTGGCTCGGCCTAGGCTCTATTGGCCTAGCGTAGCTCGGCCTAGGCTCTGCTGGGCTAGCGTGGTTCGGCCTAGTTTCCGCAGGGCTAGCGTGGCTCGGCCTAGGCTCAAGTGGGCTAGCGTGGCTCGGGCCAGACCTCTGCTGGGCTAGCGTGGCTCGGGCTAGGCTCTAGTGGGCTAGCGTGGCTCGGCGTAGGCTCTGCTGGGCTAGCATGGCTCAGGCTAGGCTCCAATGGGCTAGCGTGGCTCGGCCTAGGCTCTGCTGGGCTAGCGTGGCTCGGCCTAGGCTCTATTGGCCTAGCGTAGCTCGGCCTAGGCTCTGCTGGGCTAGCGTGGCTCGGGCCAGGCTCTGCTGGGCTAGCGTGGCTCGGCCTAGGCATTGCTGGGCTAGTGTGGCTCAGCCTGGGCTCTAGTGGGCTAGCGTGGTTCGGCCTAGTTTCCGCTGGGCTAGCGTGGCTCGGGCTAGACTCTGCTGGGCTAGCGTGGCTCGGGCTAGCCTCTGCTGGGCTAGCGTGGCTCGGCCTAGGCTCTACTGGGCTAGCGTGGCTCGGCCTAGGCTGTATTGGCCTAGTGTAGCTCGGCCTAGGCTCTGCTGGGCTAGCGTGGTTCGGCCTAGTTTCCGCTGGGCTAGCGTGGCTCGGCCTAGGCTCAAGTGGGCTAGCATGGCTCGGGCCAGAGTCTGCTGGGCTAGCGTGGCTGGGGCTAGGCTCTAGTGGGCTAGCGTGGCTCGGCCTAGGCTCTGCTGGGCTAGCGTGGCTCGGGCCAGACTCCTGTCAGCTAGCGTGGCTCGGGCTAGAATCTGCTGGGCTAGCGTGGCTCGGGCCAGGCTCTGGTGGGCTAGCATGGCTCAGCCTAGGCTCTAGTGGGCTAGCATGGCTCGGCCTAGGCTCTGGTGGGCTAGCGTGGCTCGGGCCAGGCTCTGCAGGGCTAGCGTGGCTCGGCCTCGACTCCTGTGGGCTAGCGTGGCTCGGGCCAGGCTCTGCTGGGCTAGCGTGGCTCAGCCTAGGCTCTGCTGGGCTAGCGTGGCTCAGCCTCGGCTCCGCTGGGCTAATATCATCAGTGAGGGCTGCCACACGTTTGAAACCATTGGGGGTTGTCAGCACGATGTTGTTGGGGTGTTTTCACGCTTGTGTATTGTTGGGGGACCGCACGTCAGGGGCCGCACTAAAGGCCGTCCAAAACCCACAGGCCTTTGCAATAAAGAATATCTGAGTTAGGGTTCAGGTCTCGGGTCTGGTGGGATAGTGCAATTAGCGGCGCTCGCCGTTCTACGGTCTGGCTTCTGGTACCGCCACAAACCTCCCAAGCGAGGTCAGAACGCTTCGACTCCCCTCCTGCAGTGCTGTCACCATCCTGGCAACGATTTTAGGTCGGGGGCTCGGGGGGGGGGGGGGGGGGGAGTAAAAAATCATTAAAAAACTAAATCGTCTCTCGTCTCATGTCTCTCGGTGGTGTCCCACGTTCGCTGCCCCCATTTCGTCCGATTTCGTCAAAATGTGTTGAAGGCTACAGGTATCGTTTGCTCACACGGTGCTCAACGTTTGGCAAAATTGGAAACGATCAGTTTGGCGAGCACGTCACCGTGTCGTGGGAACACATATCCGCTCCATCGGGCCTATCAAATGACTTGGGTCAACGATTTGAACCTCGGTCGGCACCCCCCGTCAATTCTTCCTCGGCACACCGCGACGCAATCGCGGACCGTCGCTCGCTTCCACCGGCAAAAAAAACGCGTTCTTGCCACACGACGACGAAGCAATGGCGTCGTCCTACTGTGACGTCGCTGCCTCGTTGCGTGTTCGCACGCGCCCAGGACCTTGGCCTGGTCCCCCTACGACTTCCATCTCACCACATCCCCCCCAACCCCCCCAAACCCTCCCAAATCCCCTCCCGCCCGCCCGCCACCCATCCTGCCCGCCCGCCCGCCCGCCACTCATCCTGCCCGTCAAACTCAAGTTTGGTTTCTCACTTAAGCCGACAAAGATTCAAGTCGTGAGCGTTCACGATTTAATATCGGAACCAGCACAATCGGTGTAAAAGGTCGATATGTATAAAACTAAAAAAACACACAATCATATAAAAGAGGAACTTCAGGTTCATAGATCTCCATTGCCAGTGTCTCCACATTTGGTGAAAACTCAGGGCTACGAGTTGGCCGGGTAGATGGCAGTACAAGGACAGCATGCGGACACTTTAATCTACCGGTGCATATCTGTGGGTGTTATCTCCTTTGGATGTATGCTGGGGTTTTCTCCCGCTTCTCCTGTGTCCTTCCACACAAGCCCAGCACGGAACTGGCCAAAGATCTCGACGGAGCGAGACCCTCCTGGCAGAGCGCCTTGAGACTCGGTGAGGCTTCTGCGGACAAATGACTACCGTCATTGCAGACGCTCGAGTGACGTCACTTCAGTCCTGTGTTGTCGCCGTGTGTGTACGGGAACGGCAGTGTAGCAGTTAGTGTGGTGTGCGAACATCACCACTAGGGAGACAAAGGCGGTCGGGCGTTTGTACTGGTCACCCACCACCTCATGTGCCGTCCCAGGTTTCATAGGTGCTTGCTAACCAGCACTTTGCCCAACAGCCTGTTCCAGACGATACAGGGAATCTTTGTCTTCGTGAGTGTGTGTGTTGTATCTATGCGTGACAGTAGTGCACTCTGAACCCAGCGACCCGAGTTCGATTCCCACTCACGGTCACCAACACCAGTGACGATTATCTGAACCAGATCCTGTGCCTCCCCTATAGGGGGTCGACTGAGCCTCAAACTGAGGAGGGGAGGGGGGGGGGGTACCGCTGTCTTTTTGGTGTGTCTGAGACTCGGCGAGGTGTTCCTGAGTGTACGATGATTGATACATTGGCAGGGGCCAGTCTTACAGCGCCAACCAGATCGTTGAGTCTCTGGATCCCTCTGGATTCCCTTTCTCAGCCGCTGATCTCCTCCACCAAATGGCGACTCCTGGGTGGACGAGAGGACGCAGGGGGAGCAGGGACCCACAGGGGGTGTGTGGGGGAGGGGGGTCAGGAGTTGTCCACTCATCTCTTCACAGCCCAACATCAACCGCCTCACACACAGAACCACACCAGGGAGGGTTTTTGCCGGGCCACACCAGGGAGGGTTTTTGCCGGGCCACACCAGGGTGGGTTTTTGTTAGGCCACACCAGGGAGGTGAAAGGCCACACCAGGGAAGGGGAAAGGCCACACCAGGGTGGGTGGAACATATAAGGGGGAAAGGCCACACCAGGGACGGGAGGCCACACCAGGAATGGGAGGCCACGCCAGGGAGGGTAAAGTCACACCAGGGACGAGAGAACATGCCAGGGAGGGGGGGCCACACCAGCGAGGGTGGAACACCCCAGGGAGGGTACGGCCACACCAGGGAGGGGGGGCCACACCAGGGAGGGTGGAACACACCAGGGAGGGTACGGCCACACCAGGGACTCAAGCTACACCATTGAGCCAGGTCACACCAGGGAGTCAGGCCACACCAGGGAGCTAGACCACACCAGGGAGCCAGGCCACACCAGGGAGCTAGGCCACACCAGGGAGCTAGGCCACACAAGGGAGCGGGCCACACTAGGGAGCCGGGCCACACCAGGGAGCCGGGCCACACCAGGGAGTCAGGCCACACCAGGGAGCCTGGCCACACCAGGGAGCCACGCCACACCAGGGAGCCTGGCCACACCAGGGAGTCAGGCCACACCAGGGAGACGGGGCCCACACCAGGGAGTCAGACCACACCAGGGAGCTAGGCCACACCAGGGAGTTAGACCACACCAAGGAGACAGGCCACACTAGGGAGACAGACCACACCAGGGAGACAGACCACACCAGGGAGGCAGGCCACACCAGGGAGGCAGGCCACACCAGGGAGGCAGGCCACACCAGGGAGTTAGACAACACCAGGGAGTTAGCCACACCAGGGAGACAGACCACACCAGGGAGACAGGCCACACCAGGGAGTCAGATCACACCAGGGAGCCTGGCCACACCAGGGAGCCAGGCCACACCAGGGAGATAGACCACACCAGGGAGTCAGGCCACACCAGGGAGTCAGACCACACCAAGCAGACAGGCCACACCAGGGAGATAGACCACACCAGGGAGGCTGACCACACCAGGGAGTTAGGCCACACCAGGGAGACTGGCCACACCAGGGAGTCAGACCACACTAGGGAGCTAGGCCACACCAGGGAGTTAGACCACACCAAGGAGACAGGCCACACTAGGGAGACAGACCACACCAGGGAGTCAGACAACACCAGGGAGTTAGGCCACACCAGGGAGGTAGGCCACACCAGGGAGTTAGTCCACACCAGGGAGCCAGGCCACACCAGGGAGCCAGGCCACACCAGGGAGTTAGACCACACCAGGGAGTTAGCCACACCAGGGAGACAGGCCACACCAGGGAGACAGGCCACACCAGGGAGTCAGACCACACCAGGGAGCCAGGCCACACCAGGGAGTCAGGCCACACCAAGCAGACAGGCCACACCAGGGAGATAGACCACACCAGGGAGGCTGACCACACCAGGGAGTTAGGCCACACCAGGGATACTGGCCACACCAGGGAGTCAGACCACACCAGGGAGTCAGGCCACACCAGGGAGGTAGGCCACACCAGGGAGACAGGCCACACCAGGGAGTCAGGCCACACCAGGGAGTCAGGCCACACCAGGGAGTCAGACCACACCAGGGAGTCAGGCCACACCAGCGAGACAGACCACACCAGGGAGACAGGCCAAACCAGGGAGACAAGCCACACCAGGGAGCTAGGCCACACCAGGGAGCAAGGCCACACCAGGGAGCCAGGGCACACCAGGGAGCAAGGCCACACCAGGGAGCCAGGCCACACCAGGGGTCAGGCCACACCAAGCAGACAGGCCACACCAGGGAGCTAGACCACACCAGGGAGTTAGGCCACACCAGGGAGACAGGCCACACCAGGGAGTCAGACCACACCAGGCAGACAGGCCACACCAGGGAGCTAGGCCACACCAGGGAGACAGGCCACACCAGGGAGACAGACCACACCAGGGAGACAGGCCACACCAGGGAGCTAGGCTACACCAGGGAGCAAGGCCACACCAGGGAGCCAGCCCACACCAGGGAGCAAGTCCACACCAGGGAGTCAGGCCACACCAGGGAGTTAGACCACACCAGGGAGCTAGGCCACACCAGGGAGCCGGACCACACCAGGGAGCCAGGCCACACCAGGGAGCCAGGCCATACCTGCGGGGGCGTCGGCTGCGGCAGCAAAGCGCGCTGAAGAGTCGCGCTCTCACAGGCGGCGTGCAGAACACAAAGAGCGCACAGTTAGCGGCGCCTTGCAGCGAGTTCCCCACGCCCTGCACCACCACACACGAGGGCAGGGTGCTGAGTAAAGGGCGCTGTGTGCAGGGTGCTGGGCGTAGGGCACTGTGTGCAGGGTGATGAGTGCATCACTCCGCACCCTACGCTCAACGCGCCTTGCAGGGCGTTGAGCGTAGGGTGCCGAGCGCAAGGGCGCCTCACGTGGAGCAGCACGAGTGCAGGGTGGTGCAGAGCGGGCGAGTCCGTGAGCGCCAGGAAGAAGCGCACCGTGCTCCACACGCGCAGCGCCACGAACACCACGGGGATGAGCACCAGCTTCCCGTCCCCGCCTGGACCGCCACCCCCGGCGGGGACACCCCCGGCGGGGACACCCCCGCGGGTCACCGGGCCCCCCGCGGCGCCGCGAGCGGGGGGCCCCCCCGAATGCAGTAGTGAGCGGTACTCAGAGAGGTCTTTGCGCTGCAGATGGGAGGAGAGGGGGGGGGGGCACACGGAAAAGTGACGTCACCTCAAACGTCGTCGCCAGCCTCTCACGACATCCATCAGCAGCATTGGCAGGTGTAGACGCAGGTGAGAGTGTGTGTACAGGTGAGCCGTGCATACAGGTGAGCCGTGCGTACAGGTGAGCCGTGCGTACAGGTGAGCCGTGCGTACAGGTGAGCCAGGTGAGCCGTGCGTACAGGTGAGCCGTGCGTACAGGTGAGCCGTGGGTACAGGTGAGCCGTGCGTACAGGTGAGCCGTGCGTACAGGTGAGCCGTGCGCTTACCACTTTGCGGATGTGGCACGTGGTGTGCAGGTACAGCACAGGTAGCGCCGTGTAGGCGAGGAGCTCCCAGAGTTTCCCCGTGAGCAGCATCCAGAGGAGGGCGCCCGAGGTGTCGATGCGCACCCAGCACCAGCCCACGGACACGGCCGAGCCGTCGTAGCCCAGGTGGCCAAGCGCCATTGCCAGCGAGGTGGACACCAGGGGTACTAGCCAGCTGACACCAACAACCACCATCATCATCATCAAGAACCAGAACTATCACCACAAAATCAACAATCACCAGCACCCTCTCATCACCACCACCACCAGCACCCTCCCATCTTCACCATCACCCTGATCATCATTAAGAACCATCACTACCACCACCACACAACCAACCATCACCACCCCCCTCTCACCATCAGCACTACCCTCCCATCATCATCATTACCCCCTCTCATTATCGCCATCACGCTCACCATTACCACCACCCTTCCATCATCATCACCATCACCCTCTCATCATGGTCATCATCACCATCACCCTCTCATCATGGTCATCATCACCATCACCCTCTCATCATCGTCATCATCATCAGCAGCAGCACCCTCCCATCATCATCACCACTACTCTCTCATCATCACCACTACTCCTCTCATCATCACCATCAACCATCGTGGCCCGGTCGTTCCTTCTACGCCCCTCCCCCTCTCTCCCTGCCGCTCATTCCGAGCCGTGCCGCCCTCTTTGTTTCCACTAACTTCCCCCTACCCGTGCTGGACCACGGGGAAACGTGGCCTGGGTAGGGGGCCACGGGTAAGCGTGGCTCGGCACGACGATCACAACAAACCATACTACTCACAAAGCGCAACCAGAACCACAACAATTGGTGACCACAACAGCGAACATTCACCAGCCACAACCAGCAAAGACAAAAATCCCCCCCACCACCACCACAATTCCCCGTGTAGCCTTCACAGAATGGCCGGTACGGCACACAAGGAGGGGTGGGTGACCAGCACCACGTCCGGCCGCCTTTGTCTTCCCAGTGTCGATGTTTACTACACACCGCAGCAGGTACTCATTTGAGGCTGAGTCGACGTAGGAGGGGGGGGGGGAGGTGCCCAGGAGCGGTTCAGATGAGCGCGTCACCGGTGTTGGTGGCCGTGAGCGGGACTCGAACTCAGCTGTGGCTGTGATTCTGAGCGCAGTCAGCTACCCCGCTAGCCTCCACGCCCGGCCATCACAACCACCACAGCGAGTTGCAAACATGGTAACACGCCACGCCTAGCTGGTCACGACGAACATTCTTCTTTCCCGCTTCATCATCTTCTTCTTCTTCACGTCGCCATTCCGCTCGTCGGACCCAGGAAAGCCTCAGCAAGTCTCAAGGCTCCCAGCGGGTTCTCCCAAGTCGCCGTGGCGAGATGTTATCTCCCTCTCACCTGGTATGCAGGAGGCCGTGGGGTTCGATCCCGAACCTGAAGATGCCCGTTGCCGTATTTTCAGAGTTTGCGTGTCATTCTCTCGCTCTACTTCATCGTGGTCGCGTGGATTTTCTCCGGGTCCTCCGGTTACCCCCCCCCCCCCCACCACTCTACATTTAGGATCAACGTCACGCGCTTACAGAATATTTGGCTGCTCCAAATGTCCACACGATGATGATGATGATGATGATCCGCCACTTGGTTGGGCTGTCATTTGCGATCGCCACAGGTTGCTTCTTTAAAAAAAATAGCTACGTAACTCAGTGTGACCTCACCCACTGGCCAAATCAAATTTAAAACAAATAAACAGCGGTCCCTCTTCTCCTCGGCCTCTCCATTCTCCTCTCCATCTTCCTCCCCACCACACACCCCGTCCAAACTCACCTGACGACGTGCAGCCACACGTGCATGCGCTCGGCCATCCGAAGATCGCCGCGCACGATGGTCACGTGCAGGTGGAGCGCGATGGCCACGGTGAGGAAGAACGACGCCGAATTGGCGACGGAGGACATCGCTCCCTGGAGCGCGCAGTCCCACGAGTCGCCGTGGAACTGCCGCAACGCGCCGTACAGGTAGGCGACGGACGTGAGGGCGTCCGCCGCGGCGAGCGACGCCAGGAGGCGGCGCGCCGGGGTGCGCAGGGAGGGCCACGCGGCGTACGTGCCCAGCAGCAGCGCGGAGCCCAGCAGGGACAGGGCGCAGGCGACGCACAGGGCGGCAAGGCACCACGGCGGCACGGGGGTCTCGTCCGGTGGCACAAGGGGGAGGACGGGGGGGGACGCGCCTGAGGTCGCCGCGGAGACGTTCATGGCTTCGTGCCGCGCCGGTGTCTCGCAGCGAACGCGGCGGAGAGACGACCGGAGAAGGGGGAGATGGAGAGATGCGCAAATTGGGAGAGGCGCGTGGAGGAGATGGGGGGGACAAGCGGGTTGTGGGTGCGGGGAGATGGCGAGGTGGGAGGGACGCGATGAGGGGGGCGGGGGTGTTGAGGGTGGGGGGGCACGTGCAGGAGATGCAGGAGATGGGCGGTGACGGTGGAGGAGATGGACACAGAGGGGGGTGGGAGGAGGGGTACACGTTGGGGAGATGGAGACACAATGGGGGAGAGAGACTTTTGGAGAGACACGTGGAGGAGATGGGAAAGAGACACGTGGAGGAGATGGGAAAGAGACACGTGGAGGAGAGAGGGGAGAGAGACACGTGGAGGAGCTGGGGGGGTTGGAGATACGTGGAGGAGCTGGGGGGGTGGGAGATACGTGGAGGAGCTGGGGGGTGGGAGATACGTGGAGGAGCTGGGGGTGGGAGATACGTGGAGGAGATGGAGGAGAGGGACGTGGAGGAGATGTGGCCACCGGTGGGGGTGGCGGGGGGAGACACGCGTAGGAGACAGGTGGAGGAGACGGGGGTGCGAGAAACGATGGGAACACGGCGGTGTGAGAGATGGATATATGGGGAGACGGGGACAAAGGATCATACACGGGGAGGAGACGGAGTGGGGGATGGAAGATGAACAGGGGCTGGATTTGGTGGTGGGTGATGGGAAGCTGGGACGAGGATCAGGGGCGGGTGGTGATGGCATCGTGGTGGTGGTGGTGTGAGTTGGGGGCAGGGCGTGGTGCGAGAGAGGTCAGATTTGGGTGAAGGATGTTTGTGTTTACTGTGCGGGTGTGAGTGTTTAGTGTGTTTAGAGTGTTGGTGTGGGTATGAGTGTTTATTGTGTGGGTGTGAGTGTGTAGAGTGTGTAGTGTGTGGGTGTGTAGTGTGTCTAGTGTGTGGGTGTGTTTAGTGTGTAGGTGTGAGTGTGTAGTGTGTGTGGGTGTGAGTGTGTAGAGTGTCTAGTGTGTGAGTGTGGGTGTCTAGTGTGTGGGTGTAGAGTGTGGGTGTGAGTGTGTAGAGTGTCTAGTGTGTGGGTGTGAGTGTGTAGTGTGTGAGTGTGAGTGTGTAGAGTGTGTAGTGTGTGGGTGTGAGTGTGTAGTGTGGGTGTGAGTGTGTAGTGTGTGGGTGTGAGTGTGTAGTGTGGGTGTGAGTGTGTAGTGTGTGGGTGTGAGTGTGTAGTGTCGGTGTGAGTGTGTAGTGTGTGGGTGTGTAGTGTGGGTGTGAGTGTGTAGTGTGTGGGTTCAGTTCAGTTTCAGTTTATTTTGGTATTGCCCTGTGAGCCATTCGGCTCTTGAATCGGGTGCAACCACAACAAACAAAAACACGAACAAAAAAAACATCTTAAAGTGACTATGTGACTGTGCAAACAGAAAATCCATGGAAAAAAACAGCAAAATATTCCTGACAAAAGCACCGTACACCAACGCTGTGTGCAAAAAAATCCCAGTGGGATGCAAGTCAAACAACAACAACAACCACAAAAACTTAGATTAAGGCCATCAGTCTAACTCTGTACTACAACAAAACAAACATGTCCAAACCAAAAAACTTTTCCAAATCACCAAAAAATAAAGCCATAATTGCAACGTAACAGTGATCACAAGGACTGTGACCGAATTTTTACAATAAACTACATAAATAACATGTAACACCAAATTGTAGAGCCATAGCTGGCTGCATGAGTTACTCCACAACAACAGAAGCATCGGTCAGAGTATCAAATTTTCAATGCACCTTTAAGATCAGCACGCTAAATCAAAATACAGATAATACTTTGCAGCGTCATCCGGAGCGAAACATTTTATTTTATTTTACGCCAATGAATAGAAGTGGCAGCTAGGGGTGTACAACTCCTCTAGAGCATATTCTTAGCTCTTTCGGTAAAGTCACGTTGAAGGGAAACAATAAAATAATAAATATATATAAAAACAATAATATATTTTATTGTTTCCCTTCAACGTGACTTTTCCGAAAGAGCTAAGAATATGAATTACTGCAGTCACGAAAGCTTTAAATCAAAATTCCTCTAGAGCAGTTTTGAGAGAAGATCTCATTGGTAGCGATTCAAGTTGCAGTTTATTGGCAATAGCATTCCCGACTCTGTGAGTGTGTGGGTGTGAGTGTGTAGTGGCTAGAGAAGAGATGGAGTGACGTGGTACAGGAGGACGTGGAGCTGAGTGGACTTGCCGATGACTGGTACCAGCGGTGTCAAGATCGGCCTCTGTGGAGGAGGCACGTGAAGGACGCTACTGGGCAGTTGGAGGCAGTCGCCCTCCAAAAACAACGGAGGGCGGAGGAGCGACGCTCACAACAACGAGCGGAGCGCCGGGTGGCTAAAGCACAGCAGGTTGGCAAAGTAGGGGGCACAGGTGGTGCATCAGCCAGTCATCTCAGTCAGTCGACCCGTGGCACCTGGGTCTGCCCCGTGACCTCCTGCCAGCGGGCGTTCGACACTTCACGTGGCCTCAAGGTGCACATGGCCTGGCACAAGCGTCGTGGTGACATCACCGCCACTTAGTGGCGAATGGCGGTTGTTGTTGTTTAGTGTGTGTAGTGTGTGAGTGTGTAGTGTGTGAGTGTGTAGTGTGTGGGTGTGTAGTGTGTGGGTGTGAGTGTTTAGAGTGTGTAGTGGGTGAGTGTGTAGTGTGTGTAGTGTGTGGGTGTGAGTGTGTAAAGTGTCTAGTGTGTGGGTGTGAGTGTGTAGTGTGTGAGTGTGAGGGTGTGAGTGTCTAGTGTGTGAGTGTGTGGGTGTGAGTGTGTAGTGTGTGGGTGTGTAGTGTGTGTTTAGTGTGTGGGTGTGAGTGTTTAGTGTGTGGGTGTGAGGGTGTGAGTGTCTAGTGTGTGAGTGTGTGGGTGTGAGTGTGTAGTGTGTGGGTGTGTAGTGTGTGTTTAGTGTGTGGGTGTGAGTGTTTAGTGTGTATTGTGTGTGGGTGTGAGTGTGTAGTGTGTGGGTGTGTAGTGTGTGTAGTGTGTGGGTGAGAGTGTGTAGTGTGTGTAGTGTGTGAGTGTGTAGTGTTTGGGTGTGAGTGTGTAGTGTGTGAGTGTGTAGTGTGTGGGTGTGAGTCTGTAGTGTGTGGGTGTGAGTGTGTAGTGTGTGGGTGTGTGTAGTGTGTGGGTGTGACTGTGTAGTGTGTGTAGTGGGTAGCGATAGTGTAGCGGTTAGCGCTACGCTGCGCTATGAACCTGGCGACCTGGGTTCGATTCCCGCTCACGGCCAACACCAGTGACGATTATCTGAACCGGTCCCGGGTCTCCCCTAGGTCGACTCAGCCTCAAATGAGTACCTGGTGCGGTGTGTAAACATCGCCACTAGGGAGACAAAGGCGGTCGGGCGTGGTGCTGGCCACCCACCCCCTCGTGTACCATTCCGGCCTTCATAGGTGCTCGCTAACAGCACTTGCCCCCACAGTCTGTTACAGGCTATATGGGGGATCTTTGTCTTTTTTGTGTGTGTAGTGCGTGGGTGTGTGTGTAGTGTGTGGGTGTGAGTGTGTGTAGTGTGTAGTGTGTGAGTGTGTGTAGTGTGTGAGTGTGTAGTGTGTGGGTGTGAGTGTGTAGTGTGTGAGTGTGTGGTGTGTAGTGTGTGTAGTGTGGGTGTGAGTGTGTAGTGTGTGAGTGTGTAGTGTGTGAGTGTGTAGTGGGGTGTGAGTGTATAGTGTATGGGTGTGAGTGTGTAGTGTGTGTAGTGTGTGGGTGTGAGTGTATAGTGTGTGGGTGTGAGTGTGTAGTGTGTGTGTAGTGTATTGGTGTGTGTGTGAGTGTGTAGTGTGTGGGTGTGTAGTGTGTGGGTGTGTGAGTGTGTAGTGTGTGGGTGTGTAGTGTGTGGGTGTGTAGTGTGTGGGTGTGTAGTGTGTGTAGCGTACATGTAGTGTGTGAGTGTGTGGGTGTGAGTGTGTGAGTGTGTAGTGTGTGGGTGTGAGTGTTTAGTGTGTGGGTGTGAGTGTGTGTAGTGTGTGTTATGTGTGAGTGTGTAGTGTGTGTAGTGTGTAGTGTGTGGGTGTGTGTGTGTGTGGTGTGTGAGTGTTTAGTGTGTAGTGTGTGTGTGTAGTGTCTAGTGTGTGAGTGTGTAGTGTGTGATTGTGTAGAGTGTGCAGTGTGTAGGTGTGAGTGTGTAGTGTGTTTATCAAATAATTCACTGTTTTTGCCCCCACATAGCTGGCAATTAAATTGAGATTGCAGGCTTCATAGACTCTATCATGGAGCTCTTGTGGTATTGCAGCCACACACCGTTGGTCATTGTATATTTACGTGCGGAATTAATGCATTCAAATGTAGCGGTTGTAATCGAGCTATTTAGTTCATGGGCCAGAGCAGTAATTGGTACAATGTAAGGTAGCATGTTTAATCACACTTTCGGATAAATACGCCTAATGAGTGTGTTACTTGATACACTCGGCTACATATGGTGCGAAATAAATTCAACATGCATACAACACCTCTCATTTCAAATGTTTATCAAATAATTCACTGTTTTTGCCCCTACATTTGGAATTTGCAACCACTGAAGTGATGCCATCTCGTGGATTAAGTGGGTATCTGAACTGCATGGCAAAACAGCCATCAAAATTCACTACTTTATTAAACACAGAAATAATGCAGTAGTCATTTCATAGGTTCACGTTGCTGTATGGATGTCCCTTGGCTATTAGATCTGGACATGGCCTTACGAACTACATACAGAATCATACCCAAGAACAAGAAATTGATTCAAACTTTTTTTATTTTAAAGTACGTATGGTATTCACAAAATAATAAAATGTACACATTTACAATGGTAATAATCTTCTTTGTGGATGTGGTGCTGGCGCTGCTGGGCTGTGTTGTATCAGCGGTATTCATCAGGACCCGGTGTGCATCGCCCTTGCAGTGGTGGCAGCGGTGGTGGCAGTGGCAGCAACTTGACCACGTCCCTTGTGATATCATCCATCAGTGATGACGGTTGATCGCCGGGGTCAGGGGTTGTCGCTGCCGCCTCTTTTGATGCCATTTCCCATGGCCGCCGTTGATTTGACTGCACACGGGTATGGCCTTCATCTCTGGGGACCTGCACACAGCACATGGAACGACCGCTACGTGAGTTTCATTGGCCCAAAGGGCAACCTGGTGAACTTCCCGTGAGCTCAACAGAGATGGAGCCTTAACAGCAAAGGCGGAAGGCAACCTGCCCAACTTAGGTTAAAGTTTTAATGATAACGGCGTAGCTCTGAAATTTCTTGCTCATGCCACTGCTGGCAGAAAATCCTCGAGTAGACAAACTCTGGATGATATTTGGTCTACTCTTCCACATTGACCACAGTTGTTGTGGGCATACCCACAAATACAACTCGTGAGTAACTCACCTGATGTAGAAGAGGATGTATGCCTGTTTCTCCATGACCACCCTGGTGTCGACCGGCGTCACCAAGTCGTCGTCCATCCGGAACCATCTCCCATCGCAGATCTGTATGCAAACAACATCGAAGATTAATTACGACGATTATCCAATTGCACCTAAACTCCCCATATATTCGTAAAATGACACATGAGGAACAGAGGTGACCCTCTTATTCCACCTATTATTGTGTTGTCCTATAAGTTGAGTAATCGAACCGATAATCCATAAAATAATTTATTACATTTGAAAGTTCAAATCCTGCGTCCTCCTGCTGCGACATGAATGGCCGCACGTCCAGGTGCTGTGGGTACGGGCAATGCTGCAGTGGTGCGGGAGGAGGCAGTGATGCAGAAACAGAGATGGTGTTAGGCAGAGAAGAGGAGAAGAATGATGCAGGGTCGAGTTTAGTTCTTTATTATAGTTTTTGTTCTATTTTTTTACTTTACCAGGTAATGTTGACTGAACTATATAGCTCTTTCTCAGAAGCGATTTAGCCACAAATGATAGCTCAACGAAGTGGCTTATCACTGTGAATAGTTATAGCAGCCAAATACTCTAGAAGCAACTGGAGGACCCGGAGAAAAACCCACGTGAACACAGGGAGAACATGCAAACTCCAAATATACAGGCATTAGGATCGGGATCGAACCCACGACCTGTATACTAGGGGAGGGAGTTAAGATTTCTCTACCATAGGGCCCAGTTTAGGTAGATTAACCAGGTGGGAGCTCGAGAGAACATGAAAAGTCACATTTGTACGAGTGATCTCGGTTAATACCGTGGCAAAAGAAATAACGCGAAATAAATCACAGCAATGACTCAAAAAGGAAGCAGCACAAAAACAAGCAATGAAAAATTGGAGAAAATGTGGCCACATTTTAGGAGAAATGTAAAAAAAACATGTATATTAACCAAACATTACCCGATTGATCTTGTTTCCAAACAGGTCATATCTCTTGATGGAGAGGGCCAAGACGTTCGGGAGATGGTGAAGGCTCATCCTCTTCGTGGCCTTCACCTTGCAACAGCACCTGCGCAGCAGTGTCAGTTTAATGACCGAGATGCCCAGTGAAAAACTGTACAAATATGTTGGCGTTACAAAGTAGACAGACTCGCGTGAAATTGACGTCGTGCCATACTCACCTTTGGCAAGTGTATTCGTCCAGTGTCTCTGTCTTGGTGAAATCTGCAAAAGCAGCCAGCAGATCTGGCGAATTCTGTCAAAAAAACGACGTGACGGCAAATGAGTGCTTGAAAAGAACACTGGAAACAACTTTTGCAGCCGTTAGAACAGTGAGTCCTTATGTTGTACTGGCTGTGGTGTGACATAAGAGGGCAGTGTCTTTAGTTGACAGGATTTAAGGATGTGCTCTCAATTTTTAGAGTCATCCGATGTCCAGCATTCCAGACGATCGGCAAACTTAATGTGTTTGAGTGACGCTACTTGTGTAATGTACACGATCTGAAAAAGATCAAAAGTGTTGTTTAAAAAGGAGAAAATAATTAATCCCAACTTTTAAATCCGAAACTCGTCACGAGTAAAGATACCATTTAAGTCAATCGAGTCCTCGTCGATTCTTACGTTAATGTGAAGACTGATGTCCAGGCAGTTTTCGAATCTGTCCGAGGTGCAGGAACACTGCGTGCACTCCACTGTGAAACACAAATCAACCCACATGCACACATCCACACGTGCAATTAGAGGAGGTTAGCATTCTGATTAGAATAATAGAATAAAATGAAGTTACATGTTCCCTAGTCAAACTCACAGTCATTCCCCAGACATCACCCACTCAGATACAACCACATGTGATATTGACTCACATTCTAAGTTATTTTCTGCTCAAATGGGCATTGAGATGGTGATTATCTGCTCGTTATAAACCTAAGGCAGTGGTAGATTGTCCTCATTCATATGGTAAGAGGGAGTCTGTTAATAGGACAACCACTGTTGATTTCCCCAAAACGTGGTACTCAATTTAGTGATCCCAGATTGATGATGTAGCGAGTTAACCCCCAATCTGGATTTAAGCTTACAACCTTCCAATTGCGAGCTGCTGGCTAACCCACTGAGCCACATGGTAATTCCAAGTTAAATGCTGTCAAATAATTACGTGCACGCATGCAAGTTGATGTTAAGCTTTAATACTTGTGTTTGTATATGATCATATGGGTTGTTGTGTCTGTGTGCTTGTGCATTTTTCTATTCTGCGGGGAGTGGAAATATAGCGGTTAGCGCACTGGTGAATTGATTTCGATCCTTGCTCACAGCCAAAACATCTGAACCTCGGCTTCTCCCAGGTTAATTCAGCCTCAAATGAGTATTTGGTGCATTGTGTAACTTCAGCACTGGTGCTAGCCACCCGAAGGTGGCCGGGCATGGTGCTAGCCACACCACCTTGTCATGCGCCCTGTTGGCCTACATTGGTACTCGCTAATAGCAATTGCTCCAGCATTCTGTTAAGGCTTCAGGGAGATCGCTGTATTTTTGTGTTTTGCTTATGTCCTGCTCTGTACGTGCGTAAGAGAGTGTAGAGTTGATCTGCATTATTCAGCATGCGTCGTCACACTCGGTGTGATCGCTACTTGCAGCGATGAATGTTGCACATGGAGCTGGCACACACCTGTCGATCTCAGCTGCCCTGTGAAGATCTGGTTAATCACCGAGGTCTTTTCCATATGTTCTTCTGGCCTGCACGTGGAAATGAACAACATCACACATACGGTGGCTTACAGATGCATCATCTTTACCAAGTGTGCACATGGGACAGTTACTCCTTTTTGCTATGCGTGTTTGAACCCTATGTCACCTTGCAGCCAATGACTAGGTTCTCAATTCACTTTGGAGTGTGTACAATTGTGTTGTACTGGATGGAACTCACATGAGGTTTTGTACGATTTCCAAGGGCTTGATGACCTTGCCCTTGGAGCTGAATGTTGCAATGGTGTGCCTCTACAGTATGCACATCATACAAAATCGATTCTCTCTACCTGTGAAGTGAGGCAGGGGTGGCACATGCTGTCAGTACAACACCAATCACAGCTCAGCTGCAGGTGCAGCACACAGCCACGAAATCTTCAAAAACAATTATTTTCAACTATTTGGTATTTCACATCTTCCTGAGTGGTGTCTGCCAGTGTAAGTTAGGCACTGCAGGGTCGCATTGAGGAAACAGGTGTTCCCCATGTTAAATTTTGATTTAAAGCTTTTGTGACTGCAGTTATTCATATTCGTGGTTCTTTCGTTCTTGGTTCTTTCGGTAAAGTCACGTTGAAGGGAAACAATACATTAATAAAATATATATTTAAAAAATTCTCACGACGTTTCTACTGTAACACAAACAGTCATCAGGTGTGAAAACCAACGGCAAGAAACATTTGAAAGAAGTGGCGGTATTTATTTATTTTTAGAACGTTCGCGCCACGGATAGCGATTTGACAGTTTAGAAGGACGAGTCCATCTATGTTCGGAAAAGAGGAGGGGGGAGACGAAAAATTAAGGTATGCTGTCTGAAAGCCACCGTAAGCGTGAACAATCAATTAAGACCCGAAATGGTTTATCAAATCCTTCCAATGATTGCTAAGCCAGAATCCATCTCGGTGGAAATTGTCTCTGTGTTCGTATATGTGGATAGCCTCATGAACGAATCTCTCATGGTAGCCCGATGGCTTGCAAAGAACCTCTCTCTTGGAGAAGTCAATGTCATGTGAGCCGACTGAATTATAACAGTGATCTGCCACGGCCGAGATGTTGGTCCTACCGTGTTTAAAGTCTGCTTTGTGTTCACGAATGCGGTCCGAGACATGGCGTTTGGTTTCTCCAATGTAACTACTACCACAGAGGCAACTTAGTTTGTAGACACCAGGGTACTGTATGTCCGGAATCACATCTTTTACAGACGGAACCAGATCACGGATTTTATGTAATGTGTTGAAACGGACCTGGATCTTGTGTTTATTCAAGATTTTGGAGATCTTTTTTGTGAACCCCGCAATGTAGGGTAAAGTGATGGGTTTTAAAGGCTCCTCAAGAGGGTCCTTCTTCATGGTTTGAGTGATAGCTTTGCGGATTGTATAGTCGGAGTAACCATTAGCCTTAAGAGCTTGGTGTACGTGCTTGAGTTCACTGCCTATGTGTTCCTGGTCGGATATGCATTGGGCTCTATGGTACAGAGTCTTGATGAGAGAATTCTTCTGTGATGGATGGTGATGGGAATCCGGTTTCAAATAAGCATTCGTATGGGTAGCTTTCCTGTAGACAGAGTAGCTCATTGAACCATCAGGTCTCTTTTATATTAGGACATCTAAAAAGGTAGCTTGCCATCTTTTTCGACTTCCATGGTAAATCTGATGGCTGGGTGTATGGAATTGATGTGGTCTAAGAATTGGCCTAGAGCAGGCCGGCCATGTGGCCAGATGACAAAAGTGTCATCCACGTACCTCTTCCATAAGGTTGGGCGCAGAGTGGCAGTCTGGATGGCGTCAGTCTCAAATTTCTCCATGAAAATGTTGGCTATAACCGGAGATAGGGGGGCGCCCATTGGGGTGCCCTCAGTTTGTTTGTAGAAAGTTCCATTCCAAGTGAAGTATGTATTGGTTAAGCAGTGTCTCACCACTGCAATGAGCTGTTTTTGACATTTCTGTAAACGTGGCCAAGTTAACAATATTCGTAATGAATGAAAAGGGCGTGAATCTGGTCCTTGTCTGATATTTCACTTTTTCATATTTTGTCACTAGATGTGTGTCTGTGTACCTTGCAGTTAAATATCGGTACCAGTTACAGAAGGGCATCGATGTATCCCGTGATAAATAAATATTAATATTCTGAATGTACGTTGATTTCCCTACATTTAATGGTGTCTCATGGCTTCGTGTAGGTTTTGCCAACCAAATTAAACATATATAACAATGTACATTATGCAAAAATCAGAAAATTAAAGATTAATCCTAAACAATCAAACATTTTAATCTCAAAAACATCCCTACTACGGAGTCGCCTATTACTTTCCAGTTGCACCATGAGAGGTTTTTGCTCATGCAGTTTTTGAACGCAGTCCTAAATGCCTGAAACGTCAATCGGCCCATAGTGAAATTATAGTAGCAAAGCGTTAACACCTTTTTTTGGATTGGACAAGGTTTTATGAACTTTGGAAAAGAGATCATGGGAGGGAATTTAAAAGTCAAGATGGAGGTTACATTGGCACAAGTTTACCTTCCACAGCAGGGTTACCCGGGACTGGAGGAATCTGAGGTGGGCCTGATGATGGCAGATGCTGTGGATGAAATCGCACACTTCCGTTTGCGATCCAGGACACCCCCATAAGCGCAATGCTGGCCGCCCCTCCAGCTGACAGCTTGACCGGCGGCTTGGACGACCCCGCGGTTTGCTGCCTGGCCTCCCCCGGGACCAGCAGCCTGGTCACTCACGGGACCTGAGTTGCCCCGCTGGCTGGTAGCCTGGCAGCCCTCACATTGGGCAGCCTTGTTGCTGGCAGCAAGCATATCGTCGTGGCTTGCCGCCAGGCTCATGTTGCCCCATTCGCCTACACTTAGTTCCCGATAAGCCACCGGGCTTGGCCCACGGCCTGCCACCAGGTTTGACCCGCTGTCTGTCATTGGGTTCAGCCCATGGCTACCCATCTGGTTTGCCTCTTGGCTAGACACCGGACTCGTCTCAACGCTAGCCACTGGGCTTGTCTCACGGCTAGCCACCTTTGTCATTTCATTACTAGCCACCAGCCTCATGTTTCATTTATTAAGTATATCCCTGTGAGCCATGCGGCTCTTGATTCGGGTGCTACCGCAACAAAACAAAAACATGAACAAGAAAAACCTTCAAGTGACTACACGCAACAGAAAAATCCTGGAAAAAACAGCAAGGTCTTCCAGAAAAAAACACCGTATTTCAACGCTGTGTGCAAAAAGTAAAGTGGGATGCAAGTCAAACAATAACAACCATAAGACAATGTAGATTAAAGTTATCAGGCTAACTCTACTACAAAAAACAAACATGGCTAAACCAAAACGTTTTCAAAACAGTGATCATAGAAACGGATTCAAATGTAACAATAAACGATATACATTACATGTACGACCAAACTTTTCAGCCATAGCTGTCTGCATTAGTCACTCCATTACAACAGGAGTATCAGTAGCAGAATCTAAATTTTTCAATACACCTTTAATGATCAGCACACTATAATCAAAACT